CCATACTTCATATTTTAGTATTTGTTTATTATTTTAAAATTCAATGTCTGCTTGTCCCGGTGCTATTGACATTTTGCAATAGATTCAGTTTAAGTGTCTATGATTCAGGCATAAGTGATGTTAGTGATGTTTTTTTGTTTTTACTCAAATATTCATCAAACAGATTATAATGTTTTTACCTTGCTTTACAGTGTAGGCTTTTTGCAATGAAAAATCAGCCTGATTTTCTGTGCAATTCTCAAAACACCAATTATGCTCTTTTCAAGCAATTGGGGGCATTTTTGTGGCTTTTGTAACTCACCGAGTCGAGGATGCCTTTAACATATCCACCATGTTTAGTATTAAAGAGAAAGTTGAGTTCTGGGAAGAGGTGAAAAATAATTTGTGAGCGTTATCATTCTTATTATGCAAGTGTGGAAGAACATCCCTGAAAAGCATGGCTCTTCAAATGCCTTCATATTCTAAATATGTCATGTACATCGTAAAACTCGGGGGGGGGGGGGGGGTAGATTTTTTATGCCATGTGTTCGTGTAGTCCCATATACATCTTTCTGTGTACAGTGTTTGTAACTTTACCAAGACTTGGTCAATTTCTTATCATTTTGATGATTCCAGAACCTTGCAATACACACAAATTCTTACATGCCAGATGATCAACCTTTTCTTGTCGATTCCACACCGTTTCTTTCACAATGCAATCACATGACCAGGACTCAACTTCATCTTTAAGTGGCATGTACTCTAGAATCAAGTCTTTTTTTCCCAGTACCAATAAACATTTTACAATAGATCAATTACATGGACGTTGCAAGCTAATTTTGATAGATTTATGGCTGTTTGAAGTTCTCCAAATGGTTGATGCTTTTAATATTTCCTCCCTGTTTAGTGTTTACTCTATGTATGAGACAAGCCAGTGTTAGGGCCAGAAATGCATTAGCTCATATCTTTTTAACAGAGAGCTTTTTTTTTTTTTACTCCCTTCTGGATCTCAACAGACCATTTAATTGAATTATAAAACCATAGAACCATCAGATGATCAGGTTGATAAATCATTATTTCAGACCGAAAGCTGTCTTTGTAGTCCATAATATACAGTATCTGTATAGCGCAATAGAGACACCACTGCTCCACCACTGAGCCATCGCGTCATGTAATGCCTTTTTGGCTCTGTACAGACCGATAATCGTAGCTTCAGGCTAAAAGCTGTCTTTGAAATCCACTGTCAGAGCCAGAAGGATGTTACTCCAAAACAGGGGTACGCCGTAAGGGCTTTCTGTCTCTCATCTCATCTCACCTCACATTATGATTTTTTTAATTTGATGAATCCTTCTGGTTGATAATCATTCTTTCAGGCTAAAAAATCTGCTATGAAATCCATTGTCACTTGTCAGTGCCGGAAGGGTGTTAGGTATAAAGCCCAAGGTTCTTCTTACACTTATCATACATTATAATTAGATTATACTAGTATACCATGATTCCATCAGGGCGATAAATCATCATTTTGGGCTAAAAGCCCCCAATTCTGACTGATTATTATGATGAATTATCCCGCCATTTAACTCCCTTTCATCTTGGTGACAGCCATGCTCCTTGGGATGCAGTCACTGATGACTTTACCATCTCGCTTGCGAAAATGTGCACAATTCCATGTGTTATTTTGAAATTGATTCTTCGCTATGCGATGCGAGCATTGACATTCAGTGGAGACAGAGCAATGCTCTTGTATACTGTACTAGTGGTCTTTCAACCAATTCTTACTGTACTACCTGTGTAGTGCTTTTCCCCCTACCTCTCTTCAATGGAAAAAGACAAGTCTAGAGTAACTTAATGTAGACTAGTTTGCATTTTTACATTTTTGTTAGTCTTTCACATCGCAACGATGGCTCAGTGGTAGAGCAGTGGTACCATATCTATGAGGTCCTGGGTTTGAAACCAGTTCGATGCGCTAGTGCACTTTCGCAGGGCATTAATCCTCATTACCAAGTTTCTGGCTGTGAAAATGACTGTATACAATTTGCGAAAGTCTCGTGATGCAAACGTTTGCCATGACATCTGCTTGTTTAGGCTTGGCTCAAGCCACATTCTATTCAGCCTTTGAATTCCATGTTTTCAATATTTTATCTGCTTTAATATTATACTTAAAAGGAGAGACAGAAAAGCTTAAATAAAACAAGACTTCATTCAATCAATCCACTCAATGTCTCAAGAAAGTCCAAACAAATTATTCTGACGTGAAGCCGGGTCACTCCAAATGGACCTGAAACCCTCTTTTCTGATGATATGATTTTATTTGATAGTATGATGGAGAGGGGAGGGAGAGAGATATTAATGCGTTACCCATCTGCCCGGACACTGATGTATATGGCGGTGTCATCTTACATTGGCCCTTGGGCTGATAGGGTTTATACCCCTAAGCCAATTCATTGAGGTGATGAGCTGTCTAGTCTTACGTCTCAACTATCCAGACCCTAAGACATTGAATACCATGGCTGAGGTGGACAGTGTCTAATAATCTTACTACCACAGACCCTTTAAAGGTAAAGACCAGTTATGGTCATGCGATTGCTTTGTGAAAAAAACGTTGTGGAATCGATCAGAAAAGGTTGGTCATCTAGCATCTAGCATCTGCAAGGTTCTGGAATCATCAAAATGATAAGAAATTTGGCCCATTCTTCGTAAAGTTACAAGCACTATACACAGAAAGATGTATATGGGACTACCCTATATCTCTCACAGACCATGAGAGAAACAAATTTACCAAATATATGAATTAGTAGGCGGTTTCCCGGCAATTTTTTTATCATCATGTATTAGTCAAAACATATTCTTTCACATGATTGGTAATGAGAGCTTCCATTTCATTTTTTGAAATTGGGGCGTTTCCAATACTGGTCTTTACCTTTAATAGGCTGGTGGTGTTTATACCCCTAATAGTCAATTCATTGAGGAGATGAGCTGTCTAGTCTCACCTCTTCAGACCCTATTAAGACATTGAAAGCCATGTCCCATGGGCTATCACAGAATAAGGCAGTTTGAGGTGATCAGTGTCCTAGTCTTTATACTACATGTACATGTATATCAAACCCCTAGGTGATAAGATGTCTAGGCTTACAACTTCAGACCCTAACACATTGAATACCACAGCTGGTTGGCTATGCAGGATATTAAGGCAGTTGTAAGTCACATCATTGAGGCGACGAGCTGTCTAGTCTCACTTCTTCAGACCTTAAGACCCTGGACATCTACGTGTACCAAAATAGAGGAGGTACAACATGTAAGGGGGGGGGGGGGAGAAGGAGAAGAAATTGAGTGATTAAAACAGAATTCCTCTTTATTTAAAACAGTTTTTAAAGTGTAAAAGAAAAAGTAAGCCCTAGTTATAAAGGGGTTATTTGTTAATTGTAGGAAAATTATTATCAGCCAGCTTTCTTGAACTATCAAAATCTTTGGGAATTACAAGATCAGGAAAGAAAACTTCAAGAACATTTGATGGGCCTGGAGAGATATATTGAAAGCGGACGTAGAAGCTAATTTAGAACGAGGAAGGAAGGAAAAGTCAAGATGTTTTATTTCAGTCTTCCAATGGTGGCACTTGTAATTAATGGTACTTTAAGAATCTTGGATTAAAGGCCATGACAGCGTTTAAAACCAACTGAAAAGGAAATTCAAAAAATGTTGTTACAAATTTTGCAAACGCATGTGTACATGAATGGCAGGAGGCAATATTTTTTTGGTAAAATCAGACAGTTGTTTGCAACAATGGCTGCTACATCACTATGCGTTAATGTTTTATTTGATCATTGTGTTATAATTCATAGAAATGTCTACTTTCCTCTTGATACTATCAAGCACTTTCAACTTTTTTTACATATATACATGTACAGGGGACTTTTTTGACAAGAAGGCTGTATTTTTTCATGGTACCCTCGAGTCTGTGTATAATGATTTGCATCTGTGCTTGTACACATATTTATGATTTGTATGTGTACATGTATAGTTTTACTGGAATTAAATAAAATTGAATTTGAACTTGAACTTTTCCAGCCTATACATGTACACAGGTCAGGGATCGTTCGAATAGTTCAAGGGAAATCCAATCTTGGTATTAAACTATTCTAGAGGAAAGCAGAAAAATCAAGAGTAGTACATTTGTAGACTGGTGAAAGTTTGAATGAGATTGGACAAAAACGTGATTATAGTTCAAAGTTTTTGAAAGTAATGGGCTCTTCAACTTGGCTGAATCCTTCATGTCTCTGTGACGTAGTGGCAGACAACCTTCCAACCTGCTCCTACACACAAAATGATTAGAACTTCAATAAGAAAAAAATATGAGACTCAGGATCAGGAGTATCTATTCTCTTTTATAGAGGACCTTTATACTCTTTTCACACTGGTTTTGCTTAACCCCGTACTTTGCTTAGCCCCGTACTATCCTTAACCCCAGACTATTTTTTTTGGCTTTTCTCACTGCAATTCCTTTATAGCCCCGTACTAGCCATGGCCATGGAATTCATTAATTCGCTTCACTGCGTAGTCCCGGACTATTTTTTGTTTCTGTTCTCATTCATTTGCTTGGCACCGCAATTGCGGAGTTAGCAGGAGTTAGTACCACAATTGTGAGGTTAGCCCTGCTATTTTGCAGGGTTAGTTAACCCCGTACTATAGGTGGGGTTAGCCCACTTTGGTAAAAACGAGTCTGAACAGAAAGTGGAATAGGCTTAACCCCGGACTATAGGTGGGGCTAAAACCCCCCCTTTAACCCCACCTATAGTACGGGGTTAAGCAAAATATTGCCAGTGTGAAAACAGTATTAGTATTTAATATGCTGTCCATAATTGATATATTTGAGAAGTGCCCCCGAGGGAGACAGTACTTTGGGGGAAAACAATTTTTCCTATTTTTCTGCTTTCAAACAGATGAACTTATGATGACAAATGTTGGATTGTCCTTTGAGTGCTTAATAACATTTTTTTAATCTGATATTTTATCTTTTTGCCCAGATTGCTCCAGTCCAAGAAAAACAGGACATCTTCAAATTGGCAACATTCCAATGCAAGTGCATCGTCTCTCCAATCTCCCAAAGCCTGCAAAATGATCACGTAGATTAACGTGACTAGTACTACCAATTTAGAGTTGAAACTTATTCCTGTAGATGTTTACCGTAGTTGTTTAGCAGGACTTCCTCATGAGGACTTGACAACAGGGACGATAAACAGAGTAGGCGATATTATTTTTAGGATCGAAAGATAAGTGGAGAGAGCGCTACATCCTGAGTTGCTTTATTTCTTCTTGAGAAACCTTGCTGATACATTTTGTACATGCATCATCGGCCTGGTCACCAAGAGGGACGTTAGATTGAAAGAGTAGTGGACGTTCTGTGTTTGGTACAAGATACTCCTGTTCCAGGCACGAAGGTCCTCCAGAAGTCAAGGAAGCCTGAAGGGTCACAGACAACCCGTGATTATGTTCATCAGGTCTGCGTGACGCTCATTCGAAGACCACGGAGAAGACCCTTGATGCATAGCATCTGAGAAAGAACCCTTGAGAAAGAAGCGAAGCAAGGACAACGCTACAATGGCGCGTCAGAAGCCAGAGAAGATCTACCACATATCCGTGATGGGCATGTCGGGAACGGAGACAGAGCGCGGGGCCACGGGAGTCGGCAAGTCGTGCCTCTGCAACCGCTTCTTGAATCCTCACCAGGACAAGTACTTCACAGACCACATCTCGGTCATCAGCTCGAGTGATTTCAGCGGGCGCATCGTAAACAATGACCACTTCCTCTACTGGGGTGAGACTCAAATCTTGAATAATTTCATTTATTATTCATTACCGTTTGTATATCTCCAAACATTAGCATAGGAAATCAAATAATAAAGAATAAAGGAGAGAAAATTCTTCTTAGAAATTTAATTAGAATTTTAACTAATGTGAATCATTGAAATTATTTTTGAATAAATGAAAAAGCATGAAGGTGATACCATGACATTTTATGATAGAATCCATTCATGATTTCTCCTTCAAAATATTTGTAGAATGTTTTTAAGATGAATGTGGTTCATCAATGTATATGAAGCATAATGACGTCACATGGATAAGACGAATACGATGTTACGCAAAAGAAAATTTAGTCTTTTCTTCAGAAGATTGACTATCTTTCTATTTGTGGCTCCATTCACCTGAAATACAATGTAACTTGAATATCATGCCATAAATGAATTACTGAAAAATGAATTAAATAATCTAGATACATGTAGATGCATGCATGTTGTGACAGACAAAATTCATTGATAGAGGTGTTGTGGTCCAGTGGATAAGTCTCCCGACTTTGAACCACAAGGTACATGGATCAAATCTCTGCCACAGTACTAACGTCCATTGGCAAGACATTGATCTACATATTTGCCACACTCCACCCAGGTGAGGTAAACGGGTACGTGGTAGGAGTATTCATTAAAATACACTGTGCTCTTATAACAGCTGCCAGAGCTAAAGTTTAGGTGGTATTAATTCAAAAAGCTCTTTGGAAGCTCATGGGGACATTATTTACTGTGATATGCCCTTTACAAGAACAGAATATTATTGATTATTTCCTTGATGACTGATTGTTTCTTTCTCATGCAGGTGAATGTACAAGGAAGTATGATGGCGATTCAATAACATACAGAGTGGTGGAACAGACAGAGTTTATAGATGACTCCTCCTTCTCGCCCCTCAGAGGGTCAAACACCCATGCGTATTACAAACGAGCTGCGGTCACAAACCTCAAGTCTGCGGAGAAGGTCATGTACATCTGTAAAGATCAAGTTGGTGAGTATGAGGGTCATCCAGCAATTGCTCGGGGACATTTGCTCGGGCTTGAAGTTATGATTCCCTATTAAAGATAAACTCCAGTACTGGTAAAAAAAAAAAAAATAATTCTCACAGAATCAAACGAAACTTACACTGAATGTTCAAGATTACAAATAAATGACATGTGCCAAACAATTTTGGAAGAAAATGTATACTGGCTGAGTAATGAGCATAGAAAGACAAGGAAATCAAGTTATTACTAGCCCCGACACCATGTGTGTTGTCAAATTTATTATGATTTTGATGACTCCAGAACCTTGCAGTGCACACCAACATGCTACATGATCAACTGTTTCTGATCCTTTCCACACCTTTTCTTTCACAATGCAATCGCATTACCAGTACTAAAGTTTATCTTTAATGTGTTTGTCACATCACCAAACAGACTCGACACCGCCTGAAAAAAAAAAACCCTGAGCTTTCCTTGGAGGGACATAAACAAATGGTGCAATATAGATTTTTAAGATATTTTTACAGTTAAAATACCCTCATTTAACTTGTATTCTATGGCTTTGAGGAATATGAAGGTCATCTTTACATCATCGTCATCACCATTTAGCATAGATCCGCTTTTCCCCTCGCTGTGGGGCTGAGCGTTCATTCCCTTTAATATGGCCCTTCCCCAAGCCTACGAGTCTCCAATGTCCACCTGGGAGAGACCATGGACCTGTTTCACAAAGCCCTTTTTCAATGACAAGTGACAAAAATCAGTTACAAACTTGCTGATTACCAATCGGAATCAAGAATTTCAGTAGCTGATACAAATACTGTCATTTGTCACTGATGACAAGTTTTGTGAAACGGCCCCCAGACGCTCTCATATCTAAATGGTTATTCAAACTCAGGTCTGAAATGTATTGCTTATATCACACAGGTGACGAAACCAACTTCACCCAGAAAATTCTCCCAGACGGTAAATTCCCTGTGGATGGTTTCTTGATCATCTACGACGTCTCGCGGTCACCGGGACACGAGAAACAACTGGAATGGCTCACCAAGCTGCAAGGACAACTCCACAAGGCAAAGCGGCCGGTGGTCGTCGTCGCAACCAAATACGACGAAGCCTGGGACCAGTACGTGCGTGACGCCAAGGCCTTCGCGGCGAAGATCAAAGCCCCGCTCATCGAGACGTCGTCGCAAGAGGGTGTCAATGTAGACCTGGCATTTGCGATGATCGCAAGCAAGATCGATAAGAGAAGCGGGCCGAGGGAGGTGCCGTTCCCATCAGCTAACGAAGCGAGGCAGAAGGTGATCACGAAGGCGGTGGACGAGTATGAACAGATGCTCAAGAAAGAGGTGGTCAACTACCATGATCTGTGGACGTCGCGCAAGAAGCAGTACCAGAACAGAGATGTTTTTAGAAAGGTATAGTGTCCTTGAGTATTAAAGGCCCACTGCACTACTTATAGCTACTTGTGCCCTCTATGTAGCAAACAATGCCTAATCGGAGCCTGTTGGTCCCCATGATCCTCTTTTTCTTATTTTAATTGCTAGCTGATTTCATGAGATACCACCTGTCAGTGACCTTGTAGGGAGGTCTAATCCCCTATGGGCAAACTGATGCAGACAGGGGAAGTTTACCTTGATATTATGTTGGCTTTAATAGAAGAAGGAACAGGTCAGTGAAAGTGTGAGCAAAATCGAATTACAATTAACAAAGTTATGGATATTTGAAGGAGCTTTATTTGTTAATTTCTTGTTGGGAGCTTGCAAGATACATCACCGAGTTGCCAAGTTGTGTTTGATTGATCGCAAACTTAAAAACTTTCTTTAATCCATTCTCTAATTGTGCAAGCCTAAAGTACCTTGTCCCATTAGTTAATACCAGTTGCCTCATAAGTCATCAATTTACTTCTGTCGCTCGTCACTTACACTCTTCTTTTTCTTTGCCTATTTTAATATCACACATCGATACCACACATCAATATGGCTCCTCAATATCGCTCTTCAATGTCACTCCTCAATATCACTCAAAATATCACTCTTCATGTACCGGTACTTGACTTTGAGAATGTACATCACCTGATGTGGTCATTAAAATACAACTTAGGACTTCAGAAATATGTCTCTATTCTTGCCACAAAGCTGTGCATTGAATAGGCAACCAAAACCACTCGATCGTTTGCGGTTTACAGGTAGCTCTGTATGCAAGGAGATAAGTACTTGTGGGATATTTCCTTGCTCATTCTAAATATACACCTGATATCCTCTTGAGTGTATAATTTACATCGTATCATTTTACTGTAATTCGATAGCCGAGGACATACTATACTACAATTCCTACAATGTACATTGCCAGACTGATGACATAATACGTATATACCAGCAAGAAAAATGTCCACCCTTAGTTCTGTAATCACACTCCACGTTGTGTCTGGTACTTGAAAATACTTTCTTTGACTGTATTCAAAGTGTAGAAGATAAGTCTACAAGAGCAGACTCTTTGCAAATATACAAAGATATTTCTGTATGTATATGGATATGCATTATGCATATAGATTATTGCCATTAAAGGCAGCTTTACTACTTCAGCTAGAAGGGATTAGACCACCCAGCGATCCAGCGAGGTCACTGTGACAGGTGGCTATATCATTAACTCAGCTCTCATTTAAAATAAGAAAAAGAGGATCATGGGGGACCAACAGGCACCAATTGTGGAAGTTTTCTATATAGAGGGAGCAAGTAGCTACAAGTAGGACAGTGTGCCTTTAAAACATTGTAACTAGTTGGTGTTGTCTCTGGGAAAGCTTATTTCAAACATTTTCCTTTCCTGTATCGTACAGTTTAGATTGATTTACCTTTGTAGAGCCAAATACTTTACTGATGCCCTTGGAAGTATATTTGTACATTGTAGATCATTGCCATAGTGTTATTATGATTATTGCCTGTACACTTAGTTAATGAGCATAAAATCATCCCACCTCTGAAGCAAATAAAACAATATTGCAGAGCAGAGGTAAAAAGGTTTTATTTTGGCACCACAAATGTTATAAATTGTGCCAAATCTAAATAAATAAGCAACAGTATCCACCACTGTTTATGTTGCATGTGTGTCCAGTCTACTTTATTTATTGTTGAACGATCGTGCATAATGACCGACACAAGCTTGTTTATGCAAAGTAATTAAATACCTATTGTTCTTTTTTGGAAAATAAAAATAGGTTGTTGAACTCATTGGTACAAAGAATGCCAAGAACTACTTCACACGGCACACACAGCGGCTTCGCCAGAACCACCAGCAGAATAAAATGAAGCTATATCTGGGAAGACTACCAGACGCACTGGAGAGTATATTCCCTGATTTGAACTCCATCAGTGGAAGGTAAGCATTCCCCTCCCTAAAATGAGAATGGAACATTCCTGTTTCATAGTAAGTAGCATGTAGAGGAGTCTAGTTCATTATGCTTTTAGGGACGGTGAGTTTGAGAAAGTATCTGGCAGCACTACCAAGTGCACTAGGGAGTATATTCCTTGATTTGAACTCCATCAGTGGAAGGTAAGCGTGCCCCTCCCTAAATTAAGAATGGAACATTCCTGTTTCATAACGGTAGCGTGTAGAGGAGTTGAGTTCATTATGCTTTTAGGGATGGTGAGTTTGAGAAAGTATCTTGCAATGCTACCAGATGCACTAGAGAGTATATTCCTAGATTTTAATTCCATCAGTGCAAGGTAGGCCTTCCCCTCCCTAAATCTAGAATGGAATATGCCTGCTTCTGAACCAGTTGCTATGCAGAGGAGTTGAGTCCATTAAGATTTTAGGGGATGCGAGTTTTAAAAAGTAGAAGAGAATTCATCTGGGACGGTTTCCCTATGCACTGGAAATATTGTTCCCCGATTAAAACCCATCAGTGAAAGGTTAGCTTGCACCTCCCTAGATTTAGAATGGACCACTCTTTTTTCTATGACATTAGATTGTAAAGGAGTCAAGTTCATTATGATCTTAGGGGTGATCAGTTTCAAAAAGTTAGAACAAGATCAGACCCTCTGTAGCTCATTCTAAAAGTAGAGTCCATTCCCTGATCTTCACTACCTCATTGTTAGGTAAACTGATTCCCCCCTAAATTGTGAATGATAAGGTCCTGTCCATCAGATAACAGGTACTCCAATAAGGAATATCTGCTTGCTTTATATATATATACCTCTCAAATTCGAAACAAAATGTTTCAGCGGTATTCCTGCCACTCATTATACCTTAATATCCCCCATCATGTCATAAATACTTGAATCAAAACCAATCGCATACTTAATCGCCCACTTGTTTATAATGGCATCAGGTTTCTCTCAATAATGAGCATTTTTAACGCACATATTTATTTTATTAGTTTTTATACTTCATTCAATTTCTTGCCTACCGTGTGAACTCACAGCGATCTTTTCTCTTCGATAAAGATGGAACAGTTTGTCACGATTTTAGACGGTACGAGTGTCGCTATGTCACTGTTTATAGATAGTAAAAGATAAAGTGGAGTTTGTGTCATACGGTTGCCTTATGTGTGAAACTGGGAGGGAGGAATGGGAGAGGTACTACATGATAATTGGTAAATAATGTGATTTAAAAAAAAATCATCAAAATGGTAAAAATTCACTCATGCTTGCTGAAAGTCACATGCACTGTACCCAGAAACATGTACCAACTACACCAACATGTGGCATGGAAAGTTTTATCCAAATAATTTAACTCTTTCAAAATGGGTTGAACGTGCCCAACTATAAACTGTAGCGCACTTCCGTCGTATACAAGACCTGATAAAAGTTTGTTAGCCGCTCATGGATAAATTGAGACCATCAAGACTTATCGTAGCTTTGTTTGTTATCTCTATGAGGAAGAATCACCCTTTATTAAATTTCACATTCAGTCTTGTTGCCATTATCTTCCAAAAGTTAACTGTAATGTAAACAACTGGCCTTTAAATTATCGAAACAAAACCCACTTAACTCCTTGAGTCACCGATACTTTTAGGTAGGAAATAAACACTTGTGCGGTTATGGGCGCGCCATCAAAGCTAATATTTATCAATAGGTTTCGAGATTATTTATAAAGTGTGTGCAGTACTTCCTTGCCAACTATTGCCTACATGTGACTTTAATATGCCATGTTCTCGAGACAAAATAAATTGGATAAAAGCAATTTTTCAACTACTTAACAAATTATAAAACATAATAAGGGTATGGATAATTTAGTTGTTAATTGTACATACAATATGTTAAAGGTAAAGACCAGTATTGGAAATGCCCCAATTTCAAAAAATGAAATGGAAGCTCTCATTACCAATCATGTGAAAGAATATGTTTTGACTAATACATGATGATAACAAATTTGCTGGGAAACCGCCTACTAATTCATATATTTGGTAAATTTGTTTCTCTCATGGTCTGTGAGACATATAGGGTAGTCCCATATACATCTTTCTGTGTATAGTGCTTGTAACTTTACGAAGAATGGGCTAAATTTCTTATCATTTTGATGATTCCAGAACCTTGCAGATGCTAGATGCTAGATGATCAACCTTTTCTGATCGATTCCACAACGTTTCTTTCACAATGCAATCGCATGACCATAACTGGTCTTTACCTTTAAAACTTGGATACAAGCTTCTCATTTTGTACTGATTTTTTTACCCAAAATTTCTTCAGCAACTACCTGTATAGAAAGTTTCCCTTTGAAAAATGTATATCTACTATAGGAAACTGTACATAAAGACCACCTGCCTAGAAATACCACCTGTCTAGTTGCGCCCCCCTTGAGTGGTCTTTTTATACAGGTTTCACTGTATTGCATTGTTTCTCGAGATAATTTTCTATCTATCTCTGTCTACGACCTCCCATCCATCCCTCTCTGTGTCTCCCTTGCCCCTCCCTTTCTGACTCCATCTCCCCCTCTCTCTCTCCCCTCTCTCTCTCTCTCTCTCTCCTATCTCACTCTCTTCTATTTCTCTTTATCTCTCTCTCTTCTATCTCTCTCTTATATCTCTCTCTCTCTCTCCCCTCTCTCTCTCTCTCTCTCTCTCCTATCTCACTCTCTTCTATTTCTCTTTATCTCTCTCTCTTCTATCTCTCTCTTATATCTCTCTCTCTCTCTCTTCTATCTCTCTCTCTCTCTCTCTCCTATCTCACTCTCTTCTATTTCTCTTTATCTCTCTCTCTTCTATCTCTCTCTTATATCTCTCTCTCTCTCTCTCCCCCTCTCTCTCTCTCTCTCTCTCTCTCTCCTATCTCACTCTCTTCTATTTCTCTTTATCTCTCTCTCTTCTATCTCTCTCTTATATCTCTCTCTCTCTCTCTTCTATCTCTCTCTGTCTGAACTCTCTCTCTCTTCTATCTCTCTCTTATATCTCTCTCTCTCTTCTATCTCTCTCTTATATCTCTCTCTCTCTTCTATCTCTCTCTGTCTGAACTCTCTCTCTCTTCTATCTCTCTCTTATATCTCTCTCTCTCTCTTCTATCCCTGTATTCTATCCCTCTCCTCTATCTCACTCTCTTCTATCTCTCTTTATCTATCTCTCTTCTATCTCTCTCTCTTCTATCTCTCTCTGTCCGATCTCTCTCTCTTCTATCTCTCTCTTATATCTCTCTCTCTCTCTTCTATCCCTGTATTCTATCCCTCTCCTCTATCTCACTCTCTTCTATCTCTCTTTATCTATCTCTCTTCTATCTCTCTCTCTTCTATCTCTCTCTGTCCGATCTCTCTCTCTTCTATCTCTCTCTTATATCTCTCTCTCTCTCTTCTATCCCTGGATTCTATCCCTCTCCTCTATCTCACTCTCTTCTATCTCTCTTTATCTATCTCTCTTCTATCTCTCTCTCTTCTATCTCTCTCTGTCCGATCTCTCTCTCTTCTATCTCTCTCTTATATCTCTCTCTCTCTCTTCTATCCCTGTATTCTATCCCTCTCCTCTATCTCACTCTCTTCTATCTCTCTTTATCTATCTCTCTCTCTTCTATCTCTCTCTGTCCGATCTCTCTCTCTTCTATCTCTCTCTTATATATCTCTCTTTCTCTTTTCTATCCCTCTATTCCTCTATTCTATCCCTCTCCTCTATCTCTCTTCCTCCCCCACGCTTTCTTTCTTTCTCTCCATCTCTCTCTATCTCTCTCTCTCTCTCTCTCCATCTTTCTTCACTCTCCCAGGGACTGGACAGAATGTCGTCACATGCTGCCCGAGATGACCAACTTCGCCCAGTGGTTCATTGTGCTGCCACACGACCAGTCTTGGAGGGAGAGTGAATACATCGACACGAACGAGGTTCGCATCCCTTACGACCTTCTCGAAGGCAACGAGATGGAATGTGAGAATTGCTTCCAGGATCACGTCAATAGACTCAACGCTGCCAAGAGGAAAGAGAAGTAAGTTTAATAAGAATAAATATAATAATAATAATAATATTCCGCAGGCTTTAAATTTCAATATTTTTAGGGCAAGGCCACTTTTCTGTACGGCACATTTCTATATTACAGCACAAATAGGAAGAATTGGAAAGGGCACAAAATTCTCCAAGGCCAATGAGAGGGGCATCCACTGATATGGCCTTGGATTAATTTAATTAAGCCCTGATTCCGTTTTTATATAGCGCTTAAAGCCACGTTGTACTACATGTAGCTACTAGCTCGCTCTATATAGAAAACAATGCCTAATCGGTGACCATTGGTCCCCCATGATCCTCTCTTATGTTAATTGAGAGCTGAGTTGATGAGAAAGCTACCTGTCAGTGAGGTTCCTGGGTGGTGTAATCCCTCCTAGCCAAACTAGTACAGACAGCCTTTAATACATTGATGATGTCTCTAAGCGCTTTACAGATTTATTATTACCCCGGTCATAGGATTCAGGCTTGCCCGCACACAATGCATGCACATTCTCCACTCCCTGGGGAGCATTCCAGCCTGGCTTCATTTTACAGGAGTTTACATTACCTTGAAGAATTTATACTGTAATACTTCTTTATCTTGGGACATTTCAGAATGAAGGCAGACTTCAAGAAGCTGCTGGAAAATCTCCCGAACATCGTCCTTCCGTTCCGCGCCATGGACGAGGACGTCGTCCTGGACGCGATCTCCAACAGCGAGAGCTTCGGAGAGCTCGACGAGAGCACGAAGGTCGCCATCTACAATGTGCACCAGGAGAACATCCAAGCCCGGGCGCAGTCGGACTTTGCCGAGCTCCTGATGGAGAAATATGCCCTACTTGCTAGTGTGGATATCACCCAGCAGCCAAGCAAAGAGGTGCAGAAACTGGTGAAACAGCTGGAGCATGAGCCTAGGTAGGTAAAAGTTAAATCTGGGTTTAGTGAAAAAAACAGCTGGGTGTTAGTCTAGGTGAGAGCTGGTTTGTGTCAAGCTCCTGATAGCTCCGGCAGCCGTTATCAGCACACAGTGCATTTCAAAGAATAATTCTACCAGGTACCCTTTTACCTCACCTGGGTGGAGTGTGGCAAACGTAGATTAATGTCTTGCCAAAGGACATAAGTGCCGCAGCGGGACTCGAACCGCGCACCTCGTGATCCACAGTCCGATGACATATCCACTCGACAATGACACCTCTTTGCACTGCTAAGCTACAATGTAGTGCAGATAAGTATGGTGATTGTAAAGCAATGATTATGAAAACATGCAGTTAAAGATTAAAGATGAAGTTGAGTTCTGGTCATGCGATCGCATTGTGAAAGAAACGGTGTGGAACTGCCAGGAAAGGTTGATCATCTAGCATATAGGAATTTGTGTGTATTGCAAGGTTCTGGAATCATCAAAATGATAAGAAATTTGGCCAAGTCTTGGTAGAGTTACAAACACTGTACACAGAAAGATGTATATGGGACTACACGAACATGTGGCATAAAAAGCCGCCCCCCCCTCGATTTTTACGATGTTACATGCATATTTAGAATATGAAGGTATTTGAAGAGCCAGGCTTTTCAGGGAACATGTCTTATTTGATGTTCTTCCACACTTGCATAATAAGAATGAGTAATGCTCACAAATTATTTTTCACCTCTTCCCAGCACTCAACCTTCTCTTTAAGTTGAGTTCTGGTCATGCGATTGCATTGTGAAAGAAACGGTGTGGAATCGGTCAGAAAAGGTTGTACTGCAAGGTTCTAGAATCAAAATGATAAGAAATTTGGCCTAGTCTTGGTAAAGTAACAAGCACTGTACACAGAAAGATGTACAATGTATATGGGACTACACCAACATGTGGCATACAAATTGGGCCTCATTTTAAAGCTGTTACTTGTCATAAAATATGATTTTTTTCTCTGATCTTCTTCCATGAAAACGCTCACAAATTTTTTGTCACCTCTCCCCAGAACTCAACTTTCTCCTCAAACCTCTCATGTATTCAACTTATTTTTAAATCTCCCCTTATTCCCACAGATGGCAGAAGCTGTCTGAGATGAATCTAGAGAGATACGTGATGCTGCTCAAACAGCTTGCCTTCGTACACAATCCCACGACCGACAGCTGTTACTACGGCGAGAAGTGCATGGAGAAACTAACTCAACTCTGCATAGAGAGAACAGTACAGAGGTAAGATTTTTTTTTATTTATTTTAAATTTTTTTATTTTTATTGGGTACTCAAAAATAATATAAAAGCCAACTGGCTATTTACAATCATGTACAAGAATGTGAAATGACAAAAACATATAGTCCACTACAACTCAAATATAAACTTTTTAAAATAGAGGCTTAACTTGCCATATTTGGCTGCAATTACATATTCAGATTTAGACTTAATTTTTATCAAAGGTAAGAATGATTTGTCATGTATTCGTTCACCAAACCTGGGACCCGTTTCACAAAACTTGTCATCAGTGATAAATGACAGTTGTTGTTATAAGCTACTGAAATCCTTGCTTCTGATTGGTCATCAGCAGATTTGTCACTGAATTTTGTCATTTGTCATTGAAAAAAGGCTTTGTGAAGCGGGTCCCAGGTTGAATATGATGTTGGAAGTTGTAGTTGGAACTCTGAACAAGACACTTGCAGGTGCCCGCTAGTGGTCCAGGGGGTGTTTCACAAAGATCCTAAGTAGAACTTAACTCTAAGTTGGACTTTAAAAATTATGGACAGCCATTGGAGTCTTTAAATGAAATATATTCAAAAGCAGAAATTCAAGTGTTTTAGACTTTTTATAAATTCCACATCCAGAACATGAAATATCCTTGATGATAGGAAATATGAACGATTTGAATCAACATTTTATGCCTTTTAAAATAACTTTTACAAAATATTTTCAAAGATGCTAATGGCTTTCCATATTTTTTAAGTCCAACTTAGGATCTTTGTGAAACACTCCCCAGGGCCCTGTTTCATAGATCTTGTAATCAGTAGCATGGGGGCAGGGACATTAAATATATATTTGTTTCAATTTTGCCCAATTTGTTTGTTTTTTGCTCTGCAGATCACCGATCAAAGAATTGGGAACTTGGGACGACTCAAACAACAAACTCAACATCATTGTCGTTGGTGAGGATGGATTGGCCGATGAACTTGACACCGAAATCAAGGTATGGGACTGCATGCCTAGAAGTGTCGACAATGTACAGTAGAGGCATGTAGCAAGCAAGCACCAATGTCAACAGGGATGCGATTTGTCAGATTTTAACATGGTTTTAGGCTCTGTTGCTTCTGTGTTTCAGGCTTTTTCAGATCTTGTATTGTCAAGAACTTTTGTGTTTCAGGCCTCAGTAGTCTAGATGGATTCTGTCCGGGTCGGAAAGAGTCCCCCCTAACTAATTACCCTTAGTCAATAGTTCATGCATCAGTCACACCTCTGCGTATTTGGCTCACGACTTGCTGCGTATTTGTGGCAAGCCGTTTTAACATTAATTCCTATTTCTTGATATCAAGAAATGATTTTCTGTTGTAAAGCAATGGTAGTTCTTGATATCAAGAATTAATTTCTTGATATCAAGAAATAGGAATAAATGTTAAAACGGCTTGCCATAAATATGCAGCAATACGCAAGCCAAATACGCGTTATGAATAATTGTACTTCATTAGTCAGAATGTGAATTGGATACATTAATTGTTGCTAGGTAGGACAAACATTATGGCTCGACCTACCTTATAACATGGAATGTATGCAATTCACATTCTGACTATTGAAATACAATTAATTTGAAACAGGTGAATTCAATAATTTGTAATGAAACACTAAACAAGTCATTAAAGTTGATTTCATTACAAAAATGGCCTATCAAATGCAAATTTAACATGAGGTGAATCTTTCTCTGGTCAGCCTTGTCTGTTTTTAAACAAGAGTACGCAGTTACTAACATATATTGTTGAATTAATTAAAACAATCTGGCTTTCTATTTCTTTGAATCTTTAATCTTGCATGACCTTTTGTAGAATTCACAGGCATTTCGGGGCAGCGGAAGGAATTATTCCCAGGTATACGTATGACACAAGTCTCAATAATCTAACAAAATTTCTTTAATTTTCACCAATATTCTATCAAATTCCATGGTCTAAAATTAATTTCACAATCCATTTTGATGATTAATTTTACTCACAATTCCACACCGTTCCTTAACATGTATTTATTCTTTTTAAATTATCAAGATTATAAATGAAATACATCATTAAACCACCATATTAGAAGTTTATAACATACATTACCCCAATGAATAGCAAAATGGAAATTAGAATTTGGAGAGGGAAAAAAAAAATCAAAGAGGACAATTTCATTTCAAGGAAATACATTTACTGGTATTTAATGATGTAGACTCTTTGCATTGGAGTATTTTGTCCTGTGATTGCTGTGTGGTTCATTAGCGAGTGATGTGTTTGTTTTGTAAAACATGTTTCTTTATATGGGTCAAAGGTCACTGATTAAATTCACACTTTCTTCCTGAAGATATGAAACTGTGCATACAGATAAGTTCTGTTCTTCTTTTCTAACACTCCATGCATGGACAAACTTAAAACATACATGTATATGAGTCAACTGCTAATTTAACCGTACACACATACCATTCAATTTTGAATTCAAGCTCTAAACTATGTATATTGATTTTGTTTAACATTGACACTGCCACTTCATATGAACTGATACAATATTATTTTCAAACACTCTTTTTGTTTCCACAGTTTTTCTTATGTTATGCATACATGAACACTTATATATTTCTAAAATAATTTTTGCATGAAGTATAATCTACAGGTAATCTAAAAGATTCATTAATTTATCGCCACTATGTTGTCAAAAACATACAACACCATAAATATAACACTTAATGTTCAACTTAAGAAAATTGGTTGGTGATCAGAACATTTACATGTATGTAGTTGATGAACACATCTTGAAAAGTGGATCATGACAAAGAAGTGATATAAAAAAGTATAAGTAGTGTTTGCAGTATATTCCGCCTAAATTGGTAATGCAGAGGGAAAGTTAGGATTACTATTTTTGGTGTGCACAGTGAAAATTTCTTGTTGATACTGGTTTAGTTTTCATTCCCACTGTTTCATTTAATAGACATTTTAATTTCTTTTAAACTATGAAACAGTGGAAAGTGGAAGTAATTGTTGCCAATTCGAAAAAAAAAGTCTGAACTTATGGGTTAATACAGAGATGCCAACCCTCCCGATTTTATCGGGAGGCTCCCGATAATTCACCCCAACTCCCGACCTTACGATCACCATCCTTATCCTCCCGATTTATTTAAAAAAAAAAATAAAAAAAAATGATTTTATTTTTTTTTTTTTTTATTTTTTTTTTTTTTTTTTTTTTTTTATTATGATTTTTTTTGGAGGGCGCTTATCAGTATATATATCTGTGAATTGAAAGAGAAATATCATCTGCTAACTTAAGCATGTAATAATTCCACTATGTTAAAAGACAAATTAAGAGTAGCGAAAGATTGTTTCAGCATATGGATCGCCGTAACCAATGCGTGGATATTGCCACAGAATCCAAATGGCGGAAAATCAGCAAAATAAGACCAGGAAATGGTCTCGGAAGTATAAGACCGAATACAGTATCAAGTACCTGTGTAATCGGAAGTCTGAAAGTAATTCATCATGCATTTTGTACAATTTTTATGTTATTTTAAAAAAAAGGGGAATTATTTAACTAAATACACATGTAAAATGCTCCAAAATAAGGCTCAGATTGCACCAGAGAGCATCTAGAACCCCAGAGCTTCCAGGGCCCTAAGGCGGGCCCTGGACCCCGGCCGCATGTGTCGGGCGCTACGCGCTCGAGATGTGCGCTACGCGCACATTAATTGGTGTCGATTACAAATCCTCCCTATTTCTGATTTCCAAAAGTTGGCATCTCTGGTTAATATAAAGAGCTGTTAAAAACACAATATTGGATTGTTTGGTAATTGGGAACATATCTAGGTTCAAAAAGAAATATGACATTTTTGTTTTTTTCAAAATCAGCACTTTTCATTTTTGCCATTCTGTAGATGAATGCCAAGAATGTTTCAAGCTGCACACATTCTTTCAGCTACTTTACTACCTTACTTTATCCTATGAGACCGTTGGTAATTCTGTTGGTGAGGAAAAGGATTATAAACATACGAGGAACTCCTTTTTTGAAAAATTCAAAATAGAAAATAGAAAATTAAACTCAAGCTCGGATCTACTTTTGACTGGAAAAGTACACCAGTTACGCCTCAAAATGAGGTGCTGTGTGTTCAAAGTTTATTTCAGCACTTTCAAATATTTTGGTATGAAAGTTACAAGCCATAGGGTTCTCTGTTTTTCATGATTGAGACACAGTCTACAGAAGGAGTATTAAATCTGGTCCATCTTAATCACTTTTCTCCATAGTCGCAATCGTATGATGGTGACTACACGCTGGATAAGGTTCTATACAGCCTCGATCTGAAGACTATAGAGGGCGATATCACTCATCCTAGTAATCAACTCCAATCGGAAAGCTTCACACCGCAAGGTAATACAAATGTAGACTGCAAGACATTGTATCTTCATTGGTAGCGAGAGTTGTCTGGAGCTTCGTTGTCTCCTGGTGAATCCTCTCCTAGACAACCCTTAAGGAGGCAACAGAAGGGAGAGAGACACTTGAAAATTCACCCAAAGTTAGAGGCATTGACAGACCTGCCAACCAGTACGATTTAGTCGTATTTCATACAATTTTTAGAAGCAGTACGATTTTCCTCAATAAAATATGATTTTCATTTTCATTTTTATTTTTTAATTTTTTTTAAATATTTAAAAAAAAAAAAAATTTTGTTTATGTGTCTGTGCCATTTTCAATGCCAAAATGCCCATTCTGTCCTGTAAAGTATCCTACAAGCATCTCACATCGGCAATTTGGGGATGTTCATTGGTTCATCGAACACAACAGTCATGACGAAATCATGCATATATTCAACCAATGATCCTTTGAAAAATTTATTCCTGTATGTAGGCATGGTAAGAGGCATTGATCCACGTAACAGTCCGTGTTTACTTTTAAGAATACAAATTTTGTTCGTAAAATACAACTTTTGGGATTGAAGAATACAGTTTTTGAGCTCCAGAAGTTGGCAGGTCTGCATTGATCCACATATCAGTCTGTTTTTGTTTTTGGTTGATACAATTTTTGTCAGTAAAATACAACTTTGGAGATTGAAGAATAAAGTTTGTAAACTCCAGAGGTTGGCAGGTCTTGCCAAGTCACTGTTGATGAAGAAATATGCGGGAGTGGGGAACGATGTTGCTCCAGAAAGCTTAACAAAAATAGCTCTGGCAATTGAAAAAAAACCCAGAGATGTGATGTATATTCTGAGTGTGAAGAGCACTAAACGGAGACTAGAGAAAGAAGTGGCCATTGTAGGCAAATTATTGTCTTACGTGTTCATTCAGGTGAATATGAAGGGAACGAAGGATGTGTTCTTTACACGTACATGTGTAGGTACATGTACAGGTGGTCAGCTAAGCAAGTACGGCAGTATACAATAGCTGCAAAAACATCTCACATCTGTTGGTCAGTAGCAATTCAAATAATGATATTGCCTGAAAAGTGGGAATTTTACATTGCTATTTTTTTATCCATTATTTTCATTTATCTAGCGCCCTCACCCAATAGACCAGTTCACAGTGCTACATAAAAAGCCTTTGTTTCCCCTTTTCAAAGCATACTTCCACCCATGTATCACAGAGTGCACTGCTTGTGCATAAATGAATAAGTATCCAGTATTTTGTCTCTGTGTATTTCATAATTTGTTAACGGTGTGAATATCAGTTCAGTTGACAAATAAATGTTATTTATTCTTCCTTCTTTGACACCAGGTTGTATCTGTGTCTTCACATCTCTGGAGGGTTTCCAGTACATCCAAGACGCCCTGGAACGTACCATTCTATCCGACCAGGAGGAGTACAACTCAACGACCCTGAGGGACCTGGCCGTGGTGCTAATGTTCGGTCGCAGCACCAGTCCGGAGGCGGACGCGGCTCAGGTCAGGGATAAAGCAGAGATGTTGTGCCGCAGGTAAGCCACGGTGTTGCAGCACGTTGAACTTTGAACCCTGAACCTTGAACCCTGAGGTGTCCTACAGATCCTGTTCCTTAGTTACTAAATCCTTGCTGTACTATTTCCCAAAGACAACAGACGATTTTGCAAACAATGAACAAGTTCTGACTTTAGACACTGCTCATCCTTTCTTACGACTATGATGGAGGAAACTCACGTTATAAAATGGGTCTTTTTTCATGTAGGTTGAACAACTGCCAGATCGTGAACGTGCCTCCAGACAACACGACCCTGTGGCACGGGAAGAAATTCAGCGAGTCTCAGATACAGGACGCCCTCAGATCCGTGGTCGCAGGTCAGAAGTATCGCAGCGGGACGCCCAACCAGGTGGAGAGTGACAGAGGAGATAGGGGAGACAATGCTTTCAGGTTTGCACCTCTGAATTCTTGTAGCCGGTTTGTTGTTGAATCTGATCATTCCTCTCTTTCTCTTTCTCTTCTTGTTAGACTATTTAGCTGATGTCTCAAGCTTTCTCTGTCTTTCCTCTCTGTTTTTTTGTTGTTCTATTTAAAGAAAAAAATCCTCTTTCGTTGTTTTTTCGCACTCTGCCCTTGGATAACTAGTACGTTGTGGCTTTTCCCCCCCCCCTCTCTCTCTCTCTCTCTCTCTCTCTCAAGCTAACTCCATCTTTTTCTTTCTGTTTCTATTAAATAACAAATTGCTCTTTTATTGTTTCTATACACTCTGCTCTGGGATAATTAGTATGTTTTGGCTTTTTACTTAGCATCTCTCGCTCTCTCTCTCTCCCTCTCCATATATTGTTTGTTTTTTGCTCTTGCTCTCTCTCTCTCTCTATTTCTTTTCCCCCTCTTTCTCTCATTTTCTTCATCTATCTTTATCTATCTTTGTCATCTCTTTTTCTTTTCTCAATGCCAATCTGTGTATCTCAATTTGTTGCTATTATCGTCTCATTCTGTAGATGTTTCTTATCTATTTGGGAGATGTTTCTCTTTTTATATCATTCTTGTTTCTCTACATTTTTCATTCTTACCCTTTTCATTTCTTTTCTTGTCTCACTAGTATTTGTAGCTCATTTATATACATTACATAATATGTTTACTATGTTTGGATTAATACATAATATTATTCTGCATAAGCTTCATTTTAGATGCTCTACTTCATTTCTTGCTAATCATTACTTGCTCAAATCATGTACATGCTATACACCTTATGATGCTAAGATTATACACCTTAAAAGCTATAGCTAACTCTTATATCAAATGCTGTATTATCCATATTTGTTTTGCTTGACTATTCAGTCTATCCATATCATATTAATTTTCTTATTGCTTTGCATAGCTCATTATTCATTCTACATATTTTGCACCATGTATTTATCTAATTTACTTTTTCTTTCTTGCCTGCCTGTCATTGTATTGTACATGAATGTAATTGTTTCTTTTTACTGCACTTTGCGTCCTGTGCATCTGTGTGTCTCTTCGCCATCCTTTAAAAAAACTTGTGTTGGTCCATCCTTTCTTCCCTCCCATATTTTGACATTTCTTTCCTCCCATATTTTGACATTTCTTTCCTTTTTATTCTTTCTGTTCCCTTGAAAAGAATGTCTGCCTCCCTTTTCTTTTGGCAATTTCATTTTTTCCAAATCTCTTTTCCACCCCACCCTGTCCTTCCTTCCTCTATCCCTCTCACTCTCTCACTCCTTTCATTACTCTTGCATTTTCATACTACTCTCTTTTCACCTCTCTTTCTCTGTCTTTGTCTGTCTCATTCTTTCTCCCTCTCTTTCTCTCTTTCTCTCTTTCTCTCTCTACCTCTCTCCCTCTTTCTCTCTCCCCTCTCTCCCTTTCTATATAATTATGTATTTTTCTGTTTTTCTCTCTCCATATCCATCCTCTCTCTGTTACTGTATGTCTTTATTTCTCCTTTCCTCCCTCTTTCTTGCTCTCCCTTTTTCTCTCCCTCATTCTCTCCATCAATCTTTCTTTCCCCACCCCTCTCTTTCTTTCTGTGACACACTGTCCATCTCTCCTTCTTTCCTCTATCTTGCTCTCTCTCTCTCTCTTTCTCTCTCTCACTCTTTATTTCTCTCTTTGTTTGGCACACTCCACTTTCTCTTTCTCTCTCTATCCTCTCTCTCTCTGTCCTCACTCTCTCCCTTACTCTTTCTTTCTCCACCCCTCTCTCCCTCTCCCTCTCCCTCTCCCTCTCCCTCTCTCTCTCCCTCTCCCTCTCCCTCTCCCTCTCCCTCTCCCCCTCTCTCTCTCCCTCTCCCTCTCTCCCTCTCCCTCTCCCTCTCCCTCTCTCTCTCCCTCTCTCTCTCCCTCTCCCTCTCCCTCTCCCTCTCTCTCTCCCTCTCCCTCTCCCTCTCTCCCTCTCCCTCTCGTTCTCCCTCTCCCTCTCCTTCTCCCTCTCCTTCTCCCTCTCCTTCTCCCTCTCCCTCTCCCTCTCCCTCTCTCTCTCTCTCTCTTGCTATATGTCTCTCTTTGTTTGACACACTCTCTATCCCCCTTGTTCCACTCCATTTATCTGTGCATGTTTATCACTACACCATCCATCAACTCATCTGCTTCTTGCACACACTCTGTCCTTCACCTATGGTAGGATTGGCATGTGCTTAGCGTGTGGTGATCCTTTCTCACCCGAGTTGGTCCTGCCCTTTCTCAGGACACACAACTACAGCCTCTCTCTAGATAGGTACACCAGTCTTTCTCATTCATGCTAGCCTTTCATTTTGCACACTATCTTATATATTGAACTTATATTGCTACTCTACGGTACGTCATGATTATATATTTCAAATTATCCTGCAATGCATACTTATGTCCTTGCCATTAATCATCATTTTCATTTTCTGCTTCCATTAAACTATTTTCTTGCTAAATGCCTTTATTTCATTTTAAATTCCTCTGCTGTTTTTGCGTCTTATTGAAATTCTTATATTTTCTGCCGCTATTACATTTTCTTTCTTTTTTCTTCATGGCATTATTTAGGTTCTGTTTTCATAGAGAATTCAAAGTTTACAATAATAATCTTGTGGTATGATGTTCTTGTGTATTAAACACTATGTTCTTAGATAGTGTCCGTATATGATCTCTGGAGTCATTTTCATAAAATTATTACAAAAAATATTGACTGATGTAATTGGCAATTTTGAGTAAATGATTGCATTTTAAAAGGGGAAAAGGAGAATGCTCCGATACGAATAATAATAATAACAATTTAATAAAATGATGGAAGAAATTAATATTCGCTTTATAAAAAAGTAACAATGAATTATGATGACCTTAGTTTGACCTCCTTTGCATAACACCTCCCCTCCCTCCCCCCACCACCACCAACACCACCTCCACCCCTTTCCATCCACCCCCTCAGGATTGGGCTATGCATGCCTTGCGGTGACCCCTTCCAGCCGGACCTGGTCCTGTCGCCCATCACCAGCCACAACTGCGTGGCGACGCCCAACGAGAAGAACTCCATCACCTGTGATATGTTCCTCATCGACACCAAGTGCAGGGTGGACTTTGAGATCTCATCCTATCACTTAGGGGACATCCTCAGGGAGCAGCGCGTTCACCACGGTTACATCCTGGTCTACGCAGCTCAGCGGAAGGCATCGCTGGAACTGCTCAAGTATGACCGACATAGCAACAATATTTTTCTTTGATTGGGGGAATATATTGGATGGCTTTGAGTGTGATACAAGAATATACTGCTCGAGCTATGACAATATTGGATGAGTCAAAGACGAGTCTAATATTGTCTTAGCAAAAGCAATATATTTCTCGTATCACAAGAAAACAAAGCCATAAAATATTATTATCTATATTATTCTGACTAGCGAATTAACAAAATTTGACTTACCTCAGTAAATATGGCTTTGTTTTAGTGTGATATCGATAGGATATCGATATCAATAGTTGAGGTTCCAGGATGACTGAACAATATGAAATATTGAATACGCTGATTCATTGTAACACTTGGAACCTTATATAGATAATAATGTTGTATTGAGGGAAGAGGAAACTAACAATAATATGAAAATTCAAAGGCAGTCATTAGAAACATTGTAAGGGAACATCTTATGAGTACACAAAGTCATCATAGATTTTGATTTTAAAATGTTTATCAGACTTGGTACACCCCTTCAATATTGATTTTGTTCTCTTCAGGTGGTTCCTAAAGATGGTGGCTCCCATCCCAACGCTAGTCGTGGCCGTGTGTGAGGACATCAACTCGGCTGCGGACGGGATAGCAGAGGGTAACCGTCTAGTGGACGATACACCCACTGCAAGATTAGTGACAGCGAACTGCTCATCATTCAGAGATCAAAGTATGTACTGTGTGTAGGAGTTTTCTAGAATTGCAGTGCCTAAGTAGGGGTTTGGTTAGGAATGGGTAAAAAAGTGTTAACAGGGGAATCCGAATGCATGTTTTATCCGGGATAGCAGAGGGTAACCGTATTGTGGCTGATACACCCACTGCAATGATTAGTGACAACAAACTGCTCATCATTCAGAGATCAAAGTATGCACTGTGTGTAGGAGTGGTCTAAAAATTGCAGTGCCTAAGTAGGGGTTTGGTTAGGAATGGGTAATAAGGTGTTAACAGGGGAACGCAAGTTTTATCAGAGATAGCAGTGAGTAACCGTCTTGTGGATGATACACCTACTGCAAGATTAGTGACAGCGAACTGCTCATCATTCAGAGATCAAAGTATGTGCTGTGCGTAGGATTGGTCTCGAATTGCAGTGCCTAAGTATGGTTTGGTTAGGAATGGGTAAAAAGGTTTTACCGGGGGAATGCATGTTTTATGAGGGTTGTTGTACATCATAGCATTTTGTGAATGGAAGTTACGACATTGTGATACCCTCCTTCTGAAAAAGTAGGGGCAAGTTAAAGGTTATCAGAACTTCCTCTTTGGAAATAATGTAAATTCATTTGAAAGTCACATTTTTTCGTTGCACAATGTTGGCAGCTCTGGGAAGTACTGCTACTGCTTTTACTATTGTACAAAACCTGTAATTCGGCTTTTGAGCCGTGATTGATTTTTATTTCAAGAAACCATTACTACTACTACTAGTATTACTTGAGATATTTGTGCGGTGAGGGGTTTGGTATTTGTAAATCGTTGGCTGTGTATAATTTACTTTACCTATATTTAAAAAAACTTGTACTGTATTAGTTGTTGCACTCTCTAAACCTATTACATGGAAACCTGTTTTTATAAAGACCGCTCACGGGAAAGATGAAAAGACGTGTTGCAGGTGGTTGCTAAAGCAGGTTTGACTGCACTTAAGACTATGTAGTGACCAAATCTCATGCATCAATATTCTTTTCCCCCTCCCTATTCAGCTGTGATCTACAACAGGTTTCTGAAGGAAGCACTTGACAAGAGGAGAGAGACGGAAAGGATGTTCAAGGTGGAGGAGCCACCCAGTCCAAGTCCTTTCATATCTAACAGACCTCCCATGGAGCTACCCTCACCCCAGTAAGTTCACTAACAAAATATTATTTCTTTCTTTATGTATTCATTTATATATGTATCTACTGTAAAGACTGTTATTTTCGAGCGATTCATTTTTCGCGCTGAGCGACCCCAAAACATATTTGCTGGTTCTTAAATTTGTGTTGCACCTAATTCAGCCGGTTCAGAACAAGCATAAGAAAACATGTTTATATTTTCGCTGGTTCTAAAATTTGCGGACACCGACTTCAGCCCGATATTTGTGAGAATTACTGTACCGCGAATATTTCCTCGTTTACAGTATGTATCTTTCTATCTATCTAACTATCTAGTTAAGAGATAGTTCAGTAACAAAATCTTGTCGTTTTTTAACTACAAAATGCTGGCAATTGCCAATGAATGTTGTTGTAAAATATGTAAACCCCCCCCCCCAAAAAAAAAAAAAAACATAATAGAAGTAGATTTCTTGAATGGTCCAGAATCAAGTTTCATTCTTTATAATAGTAATATGGATATTTATTTAGCGCCGGTATCCGCCAGGCTCTGACGCTCATGGCGCTTTACACATATTACCCTGGTTGTAGCCGAGCTGCCAAAGTAACTAGCGCTCAAGCATATCAGGTACCCATTTACACCTGGGTGGAGAGTGGCAAATGTAGATTAACGTCTTGCCAAAGGACATAAGTGCCGCGGCGGGACTATTCTATCACCAGAGCCTTGTTTCATAAAATGTGCTAAAACAAAACAAATTACAGTAACTGTTATAAGCTATTGAAATCATTGCATTTTAAAGGTAAAGACCAGTATTGGAAACGCCCCAATTTCAAAAAATGAAATGGAAGCTCTCATTACCAATCATGTGAAAGAATATGTTTTGACTAATACATGATGATTAAAAAATTTGCCGGGAAACCGCCTACTACTTCATATATTTGGTAAATTTGTTTCTCTCATGGTCTGTGAGAGATATAGGGTAGTCCCATATACATCTTTCTGTGTATAGTGCTTGTAACTTTACGAAGAATGGGCCAAATTTCTTATCATTTTGATGATTCCAGAACCTTGCAGATGCTAGATGCTAGATGATCAACCTTTTTTGATCGATTCCACAATGTTTCTTTCACAATGCAATCGCGTGACCATAACTGGTCTTTACCTTTAATAGCTGAGAGCAAATTTGATACCAAAATATGACACTTGATATTGAAAAAAATTTGTTATGAAACAGGGCCCAGATCATACTCAGGGCTTGAATGCATGTATACCACACATGTCTTATGTGTGACTGTCTTCTTTTTTTGATGTTCTGTTTTTATTATTATTTTTCCTTATAACAATTTATTTTTCCTTCTTTTTTTTTCTTCAGCAGAGACGTCACGCTAGATGATTCCCAGACCCCTACGTCAGGTAAAGCACAAGCCATAACTTTCCCCTCAAATATGTATCCTTATTACTCCATTCTGCATGGAATGAATCATATATTCTTGCATTTTGTAGTGTCTTTATATCTTCACAGACACCATACTAGTTTTGTATACGTCTGTTTAGAGCTATTTGGGTCCCATGATGATAGTAAATGTTATATGTACGTACCATAAGTCAAATATGTATTCATGCAGTACATATTCATATAAATATACTGTTGATTGTGAAATTCAGATGCCAAACATTACCTCATCTGTCTATTTTCTCACATTACTTTTTCATGTACTTTTTCATTTAAATTGCATCACATTTAGGTTTACATTATCTCTTTCCTTTTAAGCAACTTCTAGCAAGGCTGTCTGTGTCTTTGAATCAGTTCTTGTCAATATTAGAAAAATTTCAAGTAATATATTTTAAAGGCAGTGAATAGAAAAATAACAATTTAAAAAGTAAAGACAAACAAAATGAAAATGGTGATTAAGAGTTTTAAGAAAACAAGATTTGTATTTTACTTTAATAATTCTTATTTATTTATTCATCTGTTTATTTATTTCTTTTTACAACCTTATTTCAAATGTACTTTACAAATTTAAAATAGAGAAGCCAAGACTTGGAAGGCAGACAGAAATAAGAGAAAAATAAGGAGTGTAGGGAAAAGACTTATGTTGCAAAAGAACATTTCAAAAAGAAGGAATGCAAAAATATGGAGAGGAAAAAATGACAGTAACACCATGTTTTGAGATGGGAGATAGATAAATATGTCAAGGCTATAAAGAGGAGAATTTGTATGAACCTCATAAGGACTGCATCCAACTAAAGCTTTCCCCTTGATATACATGAACATATATGAATGAAACAAAGCCCTCCTAAATGTCTAAAGTGTTATGCATCATAGATATACCATTTCCCTGTATAGCAATATGATATGATTGTTGTAATTGATAGCATACATATATGTAAGTGGCATGATTTTGACCTGGATTTGAAATTTGTTCTTTAATCCGTCATAACAAATCCAAGTCGTACATATTATACATCTCTGTGTAGGTTCCTCAGCTAGCTTTCTATCGATACTTTGGGCTTAAAATGATAAGTTGCTTGGATGCAAATGAACAATTAAAACCCTGTCAAACTCCTGCACAAATTAAATCATGTATATTAGTATGAATTCACCAATTATACAATATACGCATCTACTTGTAAAACCGAGTATGCATGTTCTTTCTTTTTTATTTAACAAAGATATCTGTATACTTTTAAATATGGGAATGGCATTATATAGACATATCAATATTGGATCCAGCATTTCGTTTGCTGGTGTTGTAGGAGCTATATAATTTGTTTTCCTTCTCATTATTAACAAGTCCACGACTAATTATGGTGAAATTGTATATATTCAAGTCAGAATATACTTATTTGTTTTGCAGAATTAAATGAAAAAGCATAACAGGGTCTTTGGGTTTGCTAAATGAATTCAGCCTGCTTTTACCCTTACATAAATGTTTTTTGCTCCCTATAAATTTGTCCAACCTGGTTGTGAGGCTATCTAGAATCCTCTTATAAAATTGTAGCAATGGTCTGAATTGCTACAATCGCCGTTCCTATCCCTCAAGAAATTCTATTCAATTCAAACTGTGTGTCAGACATTTTAATGCAAGGAAATTTTCTCTGTAATTTAGAGAATTAAAAAAAAAATTATGAACAAAGGAACTTATGATTCAATTAGAAATAAGTCAATTACTTGAAGCTACAGAGTGACAGAGTCCCTATTTAGTTAAGGAAAGCCACATATATTTTCTGCATGATTTTATAAGAATGATGAGATATATACTGCTATCGTGTGACACAGTTCAAGATTCCTTTTCCTCCACCTTGTGTTTGTTGAATCCATTTTTTCTAAATGCAGCAGTCGAACATCATCATGAGAATCTCCTAGTTAGACGCTGGTAGATACTTCCTTTTTCTGGGCTTAGTGAACTTGAAAAAACAAACAAAAGGAAAATGGAATTGGTGAAACAGTAATAACTATCCTGAATCTTGTTCTAATTTATCCTTTCTTCATTTTTCCATCCTTCCATCCCTCAAATTTGTTGGCTTACCTTCCCTCCCCTCAACCCCCTGTTTAATAAATGGCATCTTCCAATTAATGCACTGTGTCATCAATGTGCTGAAATGAATTTCCTTTTTTGTTTTTGCTTCTTTCCTCCCTTACCTGCATACATGTGCTGTACCTGTGATGTAACTATGCGGTTTTTATCTTGTAATTGATGCTTATTTATGTGGTGGTTGTTCTACTTATAATTATTGTCTGTCCTTGCTAAATTTGTCCTCCATTCCTCCTTGATTTGGTCTCGTCATCTACTTCCATGAATTATCAAATCTCAAAAACACATATTTCATCTCTGTATGGTCCTTTTTATTGATTTTCTAATCTTTTGTTTTTGTGTTGAATATTACAAAATAATGTGTACCACCACAAATTTTATTTTCATCAATTTGTAATCGTTTCTTTGGGTTTTATCCTTTCAATGTCCTTCGATTTTTGTTTCAAATTGGAATTGATAAATATCTTTAATAAACAAAATGCATTTCCTTTCTCATTGATTACATTTGAACAAATTAATTGTCAATATTTTTTTTCTTTATGTATGGTTCCATGTGTTCTGTTTTGTGTCATGTTATCATCTGCATCACACCAACATTTTTTTTTCATCTCCATACATATCTTACGGTTTAATTTTAATATGTCCATGACTATTCTGTGCATAATACAACCATTAATTAATGCTATGATTTATTTATTTCAACTCTGGTGTAATATATTGATACATACACATTCCCCTTTATTGCATTTATTGGTACTCTAATCTTGTATCAACTTGACTTCACAATGATTAAATTCCGCATTACTTCCTTTGATTCTTCCATTTCATTTGATACCTATTCTATCCTCTTAATATCTTGATATGTCAATATAATGCACTTGTACCTCCATGTAAAATCTAATTTGATTTGTATAATGCCCAATCGGTCTGCATGAAATTGATGGTATTGATATATATGCATATATTTGTTGCATGATGCACCGTGACCTCCCAACCCCAACCCCAACCCCACCCCCTTCTCGATGGTGCCAACCCAAACCCCCTTCCAATAGGCTACACCCCTGAGTTTGTACCCCGCAAGAGATCCGTTTCTTCTGAAGCGGTGGTCCACGACCCCTTGGTAAAGCCCAGCGAAATCCGCAACCGCATGAGACTGCAGCAGCAGACGCATTATAGTTTCAGAGGTAAAGGAATTAAGGTGTCGTCTTCTTCAACAGGAGTTTAAAGTTTGAATTTCTTCCAGTTTCACAGGCAGTTTAAATGTTTGATTTCCTGGTGGCAGCAGTGGGATATAATATAATATATGATATTTTGATGTTGTGCTTAAAGATACCATATCCCTTTTGCAGGCAACATCAAATTATGTAGAACTTTGCAGGGAATTATGAATATGTAATGTATGTCCTATCTGTGAAATTTAAACGTTAGCAGTGTCCTAATATTCAAATTATGCAAGGAAACCCGTTTACTTGCTAGACTTCACTGTCAGACACTATTGAGTGAGTGACTGGTTTTCATTCTTCTTTGGTAATAACATACATGAAAAGAGTTGTAAAGGGTACATGAGCATTTGTCTACATCAATAACCCACTTCTTAAAATGGCCAAAATTAAACTAATTGAATCTTTGCGCAGCATAAAACGTATGACAATTCGGTACAATGGTCTGAAAATCAGACTATTACTTACTAGCTCTATAGCTCGATTTGACAACTAATACTTTTTTTTTTCCCCACTTAACCCTTACTGTACTGGGCTATTTTGAGCACCCTCTGACTGGGGGGGGGGGGGGGGGGGCCTCGGAGGCCCCCCCTATGATCTCGGCCGTCGAATGTCCGATTAACACGAAAATTTGCATATTTGTAGATATTTACGTAAGGAACAAGATGGTATAATTAGTTTTTTCCTAATATGCAAATTTTTGTCGTTATTGCCTAATTAATTATGCAAAATGCTAATCTTATGCATTTTACAGAAAACTCTACATATTTGTACGTAGACTTGTGAAGAATCTTGAAAATGTATTGAATAAATGTTTCCTTCATTTCAAATTCATGAGGTTTCATTATTTTTTATGATATTTGAAAATGCATAGGTTAATTTGCATAAATTATGAATACGCAAATTACGCATTCTTGAATATCAAATCTGGAACTATATTTAGGGAACTAGAATCATTACAAAAATTTTCAGACTCCACTTTTAGAATGTTGAAACTCATTATTCATATGAAACTTCTTTTCTAACACAAAATAGTTATTTGATGTAATTGATAATGATAATTTATGCAAATTTGATGCAATTTTCAACTATTTATTTTCTTATGTATTTTATTGTTTTTTATTTCTTATTATATCTATTGTTTTATTTCTAATGTATTCTTTTGTTCTGGAATACATCAAGTTACTCTGAGAAACATATAAAAGCAATTTGATATCAATTCATATCTTCACATTTCTGCTTGTACATGAATATATGCAATTATAGCACTTTTTTGATGACATGCGCATACTAATTGTTATGTAACACCTTACAGGTATATCCGATTTCGACGAAAATTGTATCAAAATGTGCGTAAGGCTTGAGGGAAAAAAGTCATGAAACGACAATTCAAAATTCCAAGCGGTTGCGGCGCGATCTCCGAAAATGTCGAGGGGGGGGGGGGCCTCCCAGGCCCCCCCCCAGTACAGTAAGGGTTAAAGACATTTTCAAGCCCCCCCCCCCCTTTTTTTAGGGAAGTTCTGAAATAGTATTATCTTTTAAATGCTGCTGGAATTTAACCTTTTCCTTTTTTGGGCCTGCAAATGGGACATAGTACCTGTAAAGGAATAAACGTGTCGCCTTCGTCGATATGTGTTGGCACCCAATAGTAATAGACTAAATGTAGTTTTCACATTTTATTTAAAACTCTGTAGGCAAATAAATAATTGATTAGACATGTCATCATCATAGCATTCCTTTTAACTTCTTGTGAAAGAGGGTTTTACAAAAGTTTTACAAGTTTTAAGAAGGTAAATAGTAGATAGGTTACTGATACAAAGAGCAGAGAAATGCTCTTCCATGTTTGTGTAATTGTCCTATCACGTTCATTTTGATATACGGTTTGTAAAAAGCAGGGGTTCTATTCTTTGATTGAGATTGAAGGAAAGATTGGGAGAATGAGAGAAGGAAAGAAAAGCAGTTGTTCATAGAGGAGATTAACATTGTAGAATAAGAAAGAAAGTTTATGAAGTTTATTATTTGTTGTATGTGAAAATGAGATTTTTCCTGATTTCTTTCTTGAGAAATTTAAATATTAAAGCTTATTTCTATAAGTATTGAACAAAGCCGTCATTCAACGAGCCCCCATTCCATTCTTGATTTAAGAATAACGCACACACTTTTTTTATTTACAAGGGTTACAAATAATTTAGTTGTTAATTCCATATACATATATACATTATTACATACTGTACCTGTAATATTACCCTATTTTTTCTTCATTATGTATCCATTAACATTTTCAATATTCTTGACCCTTTAAATATCATTGGTTTAGTTCATTTCCTCGATATACTGCAGAGAACTTTCCTATTGATCTCTCCTAAGTCCTAACCATGCTACTGTCAAGTTACGTTTGATCTCAATGGTCATTCAGTATCATAAATCTACCGTATATTATCATCATGAAGGCTTTTTCACATAAGCCGTGCTAAATCGAAAGTGGCGTTTTTTCATGTGTACTAAATGAATGTTAAGTGGGGACACACCAATTGTCCTATGCGTACTCACTTATCTGTGTGTTTTGAGACACACACATGTGCAGTGTATTGCTCCCAAGTACGCTGAAATACAAAATAAATCCTTGGTTAACCGTGGCAGTTTACAGCGTCATACATGTGAGTGTACAGGCCTCATTAAAGGCTTGTTAAGATATGATGCAGCAAACTGCCAAAGGCCACTCACTATGAATACGACAGACAAAGAAAGCGGACAAAATATACAGTTCCTCAGGTAGACAAAGGAACATCCCTTCACTGCTATTATGTAAAAAGTGAATATGCATGTGACACCTGTTCTACAAATTTTTACATAATAGCAGTGAAGGGATGTTCCTTTGTCTACCTGAGGAACTGTATATTTTGTCCGCTTTCTTTGTCAGTCATGTTCATAGTGACTGCATGTGTAATAGGATGCCAGTTGCGCACAACTAAGGTCTTGTTTGTCTTCAGTGAGCTCTGTGTAATTAGATACAGAAATGTGATGCGTATCACACCTTGCCTCATCAAAGCCTCTGCGATTTCACAGCGTCGTATCTAAACGTATCTTTAGCAGGCCTTAAATTTCAATATTTGTAGGGCAAGGCCACTTTTCTGTAGGGCACATTCCTATATTACAGCACAAATAGGAAGAATTGGAAAGGGCACATAACATCTCCAAGGCCTATGAGAGGGGCATTGAGGCCAATCAAAGGGGCATCCACGGCCATGGCCTTGGTGGCCTTGGATTAATTTAAGCCCTGCTTTTTTAGTATGTTTTTTTCTCAATCGTAATATTTGATATTTATTTTTCTTGTGTTACCCGGTACTAGGTGGTGAAGACTCGTTATACGATGTGATAAGCCAAAGCCAATCCTCCAAGTGGGCCCCGAAGCCAACCAATGAAGGTAAATACGTATTATGGCTGCAGGGGGATGTTTCACAAAGATCCTAAGTCGAACTCATCTCTAAGTTGGACTTAACAATTATGGAAAGCCATTAGCATCCTTGAAAATATCTTGTAAAAGTTATTCTAAAAGGCATTAAATGTTGATTCAAATCATTCATAGTTTCTATTATCATGGGAGATGTCATGTTCTTGATGTGGAATTTGTGAAAAGTCTAAAATACTTGAATTTTTGCTTTTGATATATTTCATTGTAAGGCTGCAAATGGTTCTCCATAATATTTAAGTCCAACTTAGAGTTAAGTTTGACTTAAAATCTTTGTGAAACACCCCCCAGGCGTTAAAGGGCATACAAACTATCATTAGAGACATATTACCAAGCTGAAAGTGGGATCATATATTGAGGGGTCAGTGACACAAAGACGTAACTCCATTTTGGCCATCTTGAGAAAAAGTGGTTTATGTGTCACTGAGTACTTGGGCCTTAAGGAGTTAAGTCTATGTTTCACTAGCCATTGACTTCAATTGAGTGGAATAAAGTCATTGTTTTCTGGAAAGCCCACATTTTTCTGAACATTTTGATATCAAATACTCTTTTTGTCAAAATATGGAGTTACGTCTTTGTGTCACTGAACCCTCAATAAGATGCTCTTCCAAGTATGATTGGGAATGGCTGATTTTGTATAATTTTGTCACTGCTTTAGAGATGAAAGGGTTAAAATCTCCTTATCATAATAATCCAAAAAGGACAACATTAACTAAAATCATGTCTAATTGGTTTTGGGGTCCGAATGTCATGAAACTATTGCTGCTGGTGATACATCGTCAAATATGTATGTTAATATGTGCTCATCGTGCATGCAGGACCTTATATGTTGCAGCAATTTATTGAGATGGAAACCATACTGCATTAACATCTGAAAAGTAGAAATAGGTTGTGAACAATGATAACTCATTTCATGTTTACCTAACCTTGGGGGCAAAAGGATGTCATGAAACTATTGTTGCGTATCACCAGCAATTATGAACGCTAATATGTGCTCATGTACATGTATGAGGGAACTCATATGCAGCAGCAACTAATTGACACAGAAAACATTCTGTATTTACATCTGAAATTTGCTAATTTTCTTATCCTCCTCAAGTCATGATAAAAACCACATGTACCATCATTGTTCCAGGTAAAAAGTGTGAGCTCTTTTGTGTGCGCCTGGAATTGAGTGTGCCTGGGTGTGTTCAGGCTTTTGCTTGGTCATGTTTTACTTGATGCTAAATCATGCTATGGTAATGGGACCATGCATTTGTCATTGCGCAATGGCCCCTGTCTGTAGTGCGCTAACTTAAAAACAAGGGTTACATGATAACCTTATTATTTGTGTGCTCTGGGGTTGCAATTCCTGGTAATGTATGTTTTCAGGACTCTAGGAGACCAAACATAGAAGAATTCACCATAACTCTGCTTGGAACTTATTTAACCGAGCAGATGTAATCGTTTTAGGATGGGCTGTAATGTGTTTTATGGCTTGGCATTTACTTGCATGCTGCATTCTGAAGGAAGATTTCGTAATGGGGAGTTTGTCTGCCGTGTGAACAGTCCATAAGGAGAGGCGGTCCAAATGATCAAAGCCTGTGCCTTCTAGTCCCTTCCATAAAAATCCATTCTGAAAATAAAACAAATTTCATTTCCTCATGAGGGCCACATATTTGTTGTTATTGCATTGGGTCTGTTTCCTCATAATGTCCCATTTTGAGTCGATCTTGCTGTACTGCTGATAAAGAGAAATATAGAAATACTTATGACATGAATTTTAAAGGGTCATTTTTTTCCACTCAATTGGTGTGAAACCGTCTCATGTAATTTGCATAATCTCCCAGCAGCAAATCGAAGTTTGAGAAACTTGTCGTGTTTTGATTAATCATGGTTTACTTTCTTTTTTTAATTACCAAGTCAGCTGTTGATTTGGCCTTTGAATACAGATTGCAGCATGGGAAGTTAATGAGAGCAATTTCTAAAAAAAACATTTCTTCTTGATTTTTATTGAAGTGAGGATTTATGGTGTTTTATTATTATTTTTTTTACAACCACACCTTTCCCCACCCTCTGCTCTCCAACCTTATTCCTCAATACCGTACCCTACTTGCAATATACTACCCCTTCCCTTCCATATACCCCACCCCCTCATACCATCTCATTATACAACCCCTTATGCAACATCCTTATACCACCTCAATACCCCACCCTCTTAACTACCCCTTTCCTCTCATATATACCCCAATATCCCCACCCCATTATTCTACTTATCCCCTCTCTGATAAATCCATCTCTTATACCATCCCTTATACAACTTCTCATACCACCCCTATACCAACCACTTATACCACCCTCTTATACCAACTCCTTTAAACCACCCTCTTATACCATCCCCTTTAAACCACCCCCTTACACCATCCCCTTATACCACCCTCTTATACCAATCACCCTTTTCTTATGTACATACCACATCCCTATCATGCTATCCCATTTCTTACCAACTTCCTATGCCACACCCTTTACCACCCTCCATACACACCCTTATACCAACCCATTATACCACTCCCTTATACCATCCCATTATACCTCTCCCATACACCACTCCCATACACCTCCTTATACCACACCCTAAAACCAACCCATTATATTACCCCTTTCCTTGCAAGCAGCCCGCATATACCATACAGCCAACTATGAATCCAGGCCGCGCCGGTGGGGCTCGGAAGTGCGGCGAAAGCCAAACTTGCCCCTGCCCTCAACACCTCAGAGTTCTGGTACAGAAGGTAGAGATTTGGTTGAAAGATTATTTCAATGTCTTATGTGTGCTTGTGCACTCCTTGTATGTAGTGCCCTCTGTGCATTGTGTTACTTATACTCATCCTGTCTGTATTATTCTGTCCTCTCTATACTGTAAAAGTGAGAATTTTGGGGTAAAATGAAAGTTGAGTACTGGTTACTCACATTACATATAGATGAAAGAAAAGAAATGACACACAGAGTTGTCATTGTGTTGCTTTGTCAAAGAACATCATGTCAATTAATATAGGAGCATAACAAGTGATGCATTTGTAGCTATTTGACATGTGTTTGAAATTCAGTGGTAGAAATTGACAAAAGAGCTATTTTCACTCAAGCATTCCGTTTCATACAATCCCCAAAATATTGCTTTTACAGTATATACCAGTATTCTCTGTTTTCTTCTTTTGTCTTGGGGTCGTTTGAGAATGCATACTGTTTTCCTAACATTTTTTTACATATTTTTTCCGTCTTCATTTAAAGGAAAATGCTGATGTAGAAATCATGATGTGTCTCTGCACCGTACATTAATATAACCAATTGTGCATTATGTTTCTGTATGTCTGTCTGTTTGTCTGTTCGACTCTCTGTGTATGTTACCCTGTTATGGATTTTTGGTCTTTGTGGATCTTTGATTTCCTTTTTTTTTAAATTTCGACTTTCCTCGTTATTTTCTGAAATGTATCTGTATATCTCTATCTCGGTTTTTGGTTAATGTTTCACTTGAATTTCTGATTTGTTTTTATTTATGCTAAATTACATGGGGGAATTTCACAAAATGGAATCAGTGTATTTTCTAAACCTTTTGAAATTTGTTTTTACTTTTGCTGGAGGGTAGAAATAACATTTAGAAAAAAAAGTGAAACAAAGATTATAGAAAGAAATAAATAAATCACTAATTCAAATCTCAATCCTTTGAAAAACACATGCATGCTGAAGCCTGATTTCAATTTGGTGGGTAGCTGTGATATTAGTGTATTTAAAATAGCATTTCTGGTTTCCTTGTGGGCAAAACTCTGGCATCTTGTAGTCTGCATATTCCTGTACTATGCATGCTCCGGGAGTACATCCATATAAATCAAACATTAAATCTATATCTATATCTTTATATATATATATCTATTTTTCTGCTTGTTAAAAAAAAAAAATCAATTAAATACTTAAATGTACTTTTATTCTTTTATTCTGTATGTAGATGATATAGGTTCATTTCCCCTTAATATTTACAATGTATTCTACATTTGCATTGTTGGTCACTGCATATGTGTGTGTCTTCACTTGGATCCATCGGGTTTGTTGTCCTGGTATATGTATGAACACAGTGTAGAAATATATTGTGTGTGCATTATTTACTCTCTGTATATCCAGCATTACATGTAGCCTTCCACACAGACACTGGATCTACTGGTAATACATTTACTCCGCAATCCAAATGTTAGCGCAATTGTTATTGTTTTCTGCGATGTGTGATCAGCCATTTTTCAGCACTATCAGACCTTCACAAAGGCAGATGCCTAGTGAATTACTTGAGTCGGTATGTGCTTTCCTGCCTTATAGTAAACAAAATCATATTATACCGGAGCTGGGGAGAAGGTCATCACACTTGTCCCATATATCTTATGGAGTTTTATCAGTGCACCTGAAAACTGTTTTTATTTTACTCTATATGGGTGTTTTTTCTCCTTCTTATCTGACTATGGCTTCGGTTTTTATCATGGCTGTGGTTTTTATCCTGGTTTTAGAATTATGTGCTATATTATTACCTCCATTTTCTCTGACAATTCCTATCTAAGTATACATAAAGTGTATATATTTATGTTAAGATATACTGTATTTGAGTAATTCTTCCATTGTATACTAAATATAGCACTTGTGAATACAATTCATTCTTTTTTCATTGGCTTTTCAAAGATCTGCCTCGGTGCCTTAGAACAATAACTAACACTTCTGTAGTAAAAACATTTTTCTCTTGTTTCTCTCCTTCTCTCCTTCCATTCCTCTTTCTGGCTTTCTGTCTTAACATTCTCTATGTCCCATCCTAACCACCCTTTCAATCACACATCTATCTTTCCTTCAACTCTCCTTTCCTTTCTCTTTTATTCACTCTCTTCTTTACTCTTGTTTCAACTGGTCTTTTACTCTACATTTCTATCATTCAATCAATTCTTATGTGTTTCTCTCACATCTCCTTTTCACTGTCTACTTTCTCCTTCTTTTCTTTTATCTTTCCTCCTTTCTTTTCTCCTCCCCCCCCCCTGCTTCGCATATCGCATAACGCTTCATCCGCAACTACCACGAACATCTGGACCAAAAAAAATAAAAAATCAACATTTTTTGCTGTAGCGCACTATATACATGTTGAGAGGAGAGGCTCTGAACCTGTACGGCCATCGGTGGCGCTGTCGGCCCGGCCACATCAAGGTTTGTTCAAATGCATGCTTGCTAAATTGCTTTCCCCCATGGTTTCTGTATCTTTGATTATTAACGTGTCTCTCATTGGAACTGCATTTCCTAATTTCCTGTACCCTTTTCATTTTAACCTTGTTTCATTTAGTTTTCTTAGGTTTTCTGTGTGCTTGAAATCTTGCTTTTTGCCCATCATTGTAATAGTTTTCTTTTGTTTCCTCTGTTTTTAGTCAGAAAGGCATTACCTCATATACTTTAACCCAATGACTACTGCAACCGCTTGGTCCCAGGAGGCAATGGGTTCATTATAGAGTAACGCTCTTCTGGCTCTGAACATACAGTTGATTCCTCTCTTCCATATCTCCAGAGACTGTCCATTATTCTCCCTTTTTGGTATATCAGTTATCATTTGGTACCAAGTTTTCTTTATTTTTCTGTATGATTACAAATTTTAACTCCCTCTTGTAGTTTTTATTGTTTGTTCCTTTCTTTGCTGGACCTGAATGTCCTCATGATTTTCTTCCTCTTTGTTTTATCAGTTATCATTTCTTACTCAGTTTTCTTTAGTTTGCTATAAGATATTTCCCTTTCAATAGTGTCCTTTATTCATTTCTCTCCTTAACCTGAATGTTGATTTTCATTTTTCCATCTTTGTTTTATCAGTTATCATTGGTATTGCCACCACGTTTTCTTCATTTTTCTGAATGCCAGCAAGTCTTACTGCCCTTCAGTTTTCTATTGTTGATCATTTCTCTGCTGGACCTGAATGTCTCTTATCAGTTATCTTTAGTATTATTGCTACCAAGTTTTCTTTTTTTCCCCTGTATGATTATAAACCTTACCTCCCTTTAGTTCATTATTATTTATTCCTCTCCTTGCTGAAGCAGATTACCTTTTATTTTCTCCCTCTTTGTTTTATGAGTTATCAGTGCATACCAAGTTTTCCTTATTTTTATGTACGGTATGATAACAAATCGTACTGCCCTCTATACTTTTCATTGATGATTGTTCTCTGAAATTAAGTGCCATCTTTTGTTCCAATTTTTATTTTCCAGTTATCACTGTTTACTAACATTCCTCAATATATCTTATCTTCAATCACGGACCTGAATAATTTTATCTGCTGAGATCCAGCTAGTGTTATTCGTATCAGTCCTTTAATACAGTTAAAATCCTTCCTGCTCTCAACAGACTGATTATATTTTCTTTTGTTTCTTCAAATTTTCCCATGAAAATGCATCGTCACTCTTAAATAGTGGTCTTATTTGTACAGTTTTGTTTCATCCATTTGTTTAGATGTTGTGTTATATGGTTTATTTCCTTTACACATTTTTGTTTGAGTTCTTTTTTCTCAAGTTTAATCAATGGCAGACACTTTCCCCAGGTTTCTTTACATAATGATGCATTTTTTTTCATTCATATTGTTATATATAGAAGTAGAAACTTCATTAGGCAACTGAAAAGCAAACCTGTGTAAATATTTATTTCCCCTCCCCTTTTTCTGTTCTATGGCTGTATTTGGAACATTCTCTGTAGCTGTTAATGTATGCATTTCATCAATCTATTGTATCATAAGTAGGCCTAGACTATAATTCAACATTCCCTTTTTACTATACAGAGAAAACTGTTGTGGATTGAGTTGTGCTATACATGTATATATTAGTTACATTGTATATTTTTCTAACTGCCAATAAGTAATGTACTCAGCAGAAGCCTCAATGTTCCTTGCAAACAAATGTATCTTATGCTAAATCTTTGTAATACATGAAAATCTACAATTCAAAAAGAGGAAGTGGAGATAAAAAGTAGGTCATAATTTGGCAGATAACATGATCGTATTTACAATTTTTGCATTTGCTATTAAACTTGGTACTGGGGAAATCTATGACAGATGTTTTGATTTGAAGGCACATATATCAACTTTCAATTAGATGAATTGTACTCCACCCAATCTTGTGTCCCTTTGAAGGCATACCAGCCCTGTGAAATCTTTACACTCCCCACCTTATTTCTTAAGTGATAATTCTGTATTTTTTTCCATGAAGTTAAATGTTGATTTTTATTAAAGGTCGTTTACTCAAGGCCTTAGTTATATTTTTGCTTTATTAAATATCTTTCTGAATTTGTTTTCTTCTTCTGTGCAGTACTATAAAAGGACTCCAGGCATTTTCAATATTTAAACCTTTTATCTTCTACTGAAGATCCTGCCCTGTTTTAATGTTTTAAATTATGATCTTTCTGAAAGTATTCTTTTTCTATTAAGTTTTGGGTGTTTTAACGCCCTGTAAAGGGGATAATGTCCTGTTTGAACGTCTGCCTTCATGTTTCTTTTTCTGAAATTAAAATTCTTAGATTATTTCCTCTTTATTTCTCCCTCATGCTTCAATCAGACTCCTTCCACCCTAGTAGCCCTAACTTAACCCACAGTCAAACCTAATTTGTCTTTTTGAACTTGTTGCATTTCACTACATTTACTTTTTTTTCTCTTTTATCAGTTTTTAGCCCCTTTAAAAGGACTCCAGCCCTTCGCAAATTCTGCATTGCTGTACATTTTTCTGAAATCATAATTTTTTGATTCTTTCCCTTCATTTTTTCTTCATGCAGACTCTGTCCATCCTAATAGCCCTACCAAACCAAAAGTCAAACCTAATTTGTATATTTGAACTTTTTGCCTTTTGCCTATATCTAACCAATTTATGGCTCCTTTAAAAGGACTCCAGCCTTTTTTTTCGAATTCTGCATTGCTGCACATATTTCTGAAATCATAATTCTTTGATTCTTTCCCTTCATTTTTCCTTCATGCTTCGACCAGACTCCTTCCAACCTAATGGTCCTACTAAACCAAAAGTCAAACCTAATTTGTATTTTTGAACTTGTTTGCCTTTCACTGAAATCACTTTTATCTCTAATCAGTTCATGGCTTCTTAAAAAGAACCCCAGCCCTTCGCAAATTCTACATTGCTGTACATTTTTCTGAAATCATAATTCTTTGATTCTCTCCCCTCTCTCTCCTTCATGCTTCGACCAGACTCCTTCCAACCTAGTAGTCCTACTAAACCAAAAGTCAAACCTAAACCACCTATCAGAAGCAGCAGTAAAAAACAAGAGTATTCACCAGGTTTGTTATTGGGCTATTTAATCTTGCAGTGATCTCATTTCTCTGCAAAAGCTGTTTGGTGTTCGGCAATTAAATATTCACTCGCACCATCTTGGCCCAAATATTTGCTGTCGATTTTATTATTGTTGTCACAAATGGTGTGCAGTGTTTTGATTTAATTTTCTTTCTTCTGGAAGTCATTTTACAGTCACTTTTCTTTCATGTGGTCATTTGAATTTGAGTTATTCTGGTGAAGCTGTCTTTTCTTTTCTTTTTAAAGTTCTTGCTCAATGAAGATTTGTTTTGGGTTTCTTTTCAATTTGATGGTGCACAAGCTTTTAATATCGTTTTTTTTTTCTTTACCTAGTTGTGATGTCCTTGGATACAATACCTCATTTAATTTTGCAAACCATTTATATAACTTTACCGACATATTAGTAAAGAAGTTATATTTCAATCCAACAGACATCTTTCAATTCAAAATTGATGTCTGCCAAGCTTTCCTAAATTGGTTGTTAAATGCTCTATAGAAATGGTAATGTTATAGAATTATGATATAATTTGGGATCATAAATCTTCATACTAATCATTTTATTGTCTTCTCTTGTGCCTTGGCCAAGACTCCACACCATCTGTTTTGTAAGGGGGTCCAAATTTTCCCAGTCTTTACGCATGAGCCCTATGTAAAAAAACAACAACAAAAAAAAAAAAAAAAAAAAATTGGGGGGATCCAGACTTATTGGGCACCTATGTGTCCTGGGCACTTGTTAGTGTCAAACCCTGATGTAGTGTTTGTAAACACATTTAGTCAAATTTATATGATTGGCACCTACATTTGTCATATTATTGCACAATTTTCAAGAACCATACATTTTTATTTCAGTAAGAATATATTTACAAGTGATTCAGTATTTGTTTTGTGTTTATATTATAACATTTTTGGGGGTATTATTTTGGTATGGTGTGCTTCACATCAATGTTTTCTTTATATGCCAGACAGTACAAAATACTTTCCTCTTTCATTCTATCTAGTTCTCCTTTCCTGTGATATTGTGGACTTTTCATCTTTCATTTCTATTTGAATCTGTTGAGAGCCAGTAAGATGTTAACTCTGTGCTCACGTATATGAGTTAACACTTTTCTCACTCACAACGGATCATATCTAAGGCAGTGTTTGAGCTGTGTGTTTTTGATTTTGTTACGCACTTGTTGTTTTAATCGAAGTCGCACTCGATGGCACTCTTTTGGAAGCTTTCTGTTCTCTTCTCATTTTATTTACCTTTATTTACCGTAATTAAGCCTCGGTGTTTCTCTGCAGTGCTGTTTGGAAGCGGTAACAGATTTGTGATACATTTATTTTTGTTTGCATAGCTTTGTTTCCCTTAGTTTCTTCTCTTTGAGTTTTATCTACATTCATATTGAAAAAACGGGGAGTGGATAATTCATTTTTGATGGTGCTAGGTGTGCAGGCTATTAGTATCTCAATGTAATTAAAAAGAAAGAAAAAGAAAAAGAACAAGTGGCTTGTGTGCTGGCTTTTTGGTAGAGCAGTGGTCTTGTAACCGGGAGGTCCCAGGTTCGAAACTAATTCAATGTGCTAGTGCCCTTTGGTAAGCCATTAATCCTAATTACCAAAACCCCTCGGAGAGGACGGAAAGCCATTGGTCCCCTGGTTGCTTACTTACAAGCACACATGCTTTCTTATCACTCGGGCAAAACAAACAAACGTAACTTTTTCCATGGCAATACAGCAAGATACACACGTATATTAGCAGCCAAAGAGCAAGTATAATTGCCATGTTCATTGTGAGAAAAAATGCTTTACTGCCCGTTGCAAACATGTATAGCTGATATTAGCTCATTTGTCTGGAATGATCAAGATGCTGCAAGAGGAAGTTGGAACTGAAACTGGGACCTGTTTCACAAAACTTGTCATCAGTGACCAATGACAGTTTTTGTTATAAGCTACTGAAATCCTTGCTTCTGATTGGTTATCAGCAGATTTGTCACTGATTTTTGTCATTTGTCATTGAATAAGGCTTTGTGAACCAGGCCCCAGGTGTGAGACATCAAATTAGTGGGATACAATTGGAGCCATTGACATGTTGATTCATTTGGAGACTTTTACATGTTCATTTTCATTTAGCATGCACTTTTTATTGGGTCAAATGGGTTAAAAGTATTCATTGGCCCTGAAACTTTATAAACAGTGAATAAATATTTCCTCTAAACAAGCTAAGGCATTATCCTTGAGAGGGCGAGATGTTGTGGCAGTCACAGCCTATTGAGAAAGAAAGTTTTGACATGCTCATGCATATATGCTCAAAGACCAGTTCATGAAGCTTCAAATACTTCCATCCTGTACACAATCGTTTTGGAGTGACATGTTGGAGGCAGTCTCTGGATTTGACCTATGACTTCTGGTGATGCAACTAATGCAAATAATAATACTCTGCTAGCTATGGTTGCAGGTGATTGTGGTACTGTAGATCCTTGTGCAGCTACATGTACAGATGCAGGTGGTTTTTACAGGTTGTAGTCTTCATTTGGGTTAAAGTGGCATAACTCTTGCTCATAATTGCCTAGTAAAGTTCATTACAACTAGCATATTTTGTTCATGACAAAATTGTACAGCTTATCATCTGGGGGGCGTTTCATGAAAAAATTAGTCGGTGGTTTTCACCGACTAATATCATGTTCACCGACAATTCTTTTGTCACCGACTATTTTCCAGGCCTGTGATTGGTCAAATTTAGTCAGCGCTGACTAAATTGCTGGTGAACATGATATTAGTCGGTGAAAACCACTGACTAATTGTTTCATTAAACGCCCCCCTGCATACAATCATTGGAGGAAACTGACTGAATACATATATGTGTAGTGTCTGCTTGGGGTGGGTGAGAAGGCATTAACTCATACTCTTTAACATAGAGCGTACCCTTCTGGCCTTCAAACAGATGATATGCCATACAGTCAAACCTGTCTATAAAGGCCACTCAATGGAAACAGACAAAGTGGCCACTGTAGAGAGGTGGCCTTTATAAAGAGATGGCCACTTAGAGGCTGTTCACACCGCAATGAGATAGCACGGTCTATCGTAGCACCCCCTTTTTTCTAGCTCGCGCTATCTCTCGTGGACCACCCCCAAGAGGTGCTCCAATGGCACGCCATTTTGGCTCGCCGTGGCTCGCTGTTGGGCGGACCAAAACGACGTTGTACCTCCCACACCGCAGAGATAGCGCGCGACCGGTGTGAACAGCCTCTAGGGCAGGTTTGACTGTAGTTATTTTCCATTCATGGTAATACTGTACAATCCCAAAGCAAGCATGTTAGATGGGAGTGGTGTATGCAGGTATATAGTATTGGGTCAGGGCAATTAGGTTACATATTCACCTACAACAGTTTAGAATTAAATGAATACATTGAAAAATCAAGACAAGACGGATGATTCTTTGCCTTTTATTTGTTATCATCTAACAACACATCATCTCTTGGAATCAAGATATTCCAATCCAATAATTTGCATATTCATAACAGTAGTCATTTGCATAATAGATGCGTACCAACCCATAGCTTTGTGCATAATTAATATTATATAAGACTTGCATTTAATTCATGTATGAGCTTACGTGTAATTGCGGTCAATCGCTGTAGAATCATATGCTCTTTCATCCTCTTGGGGTCTAGATATATTAGCTATCTTTGCTTTAATGTGGGCATGCGGATTTCACTGCTCCTAGCCTAATATAGAGTATAACATTCATTCAGTAGGTTGAAATGTGTTTATACATCATCATTCTGAATATTTGTCTGCCGCATGGAAACAGGAAATAATAGATTTCCTAGTTTTCTATTAAAGACAATAAGTTGTTTACATGTTTTCATATACCTTAAGAGTGTATCTAAAGAGCAATTGAAGAAAAAAAATTATAAAGCAAATTTAAACATTGAGTGAGAAGCATTTATACTGCACTTTCCATGATCATTATTCATTTGATGCATTTCGAATAGCTATTAATTTTATTATATAAACAACAACCAACAACAAAAAAATGGAAAGAAAAGAAAATGATAAATATAATGTACAAACGTGTTTTTATATTTTCATACAAAATTCATCATGCTGCGATTTCCATGATAATTATTCAATTGATGCTCTACAAAGTTGATAAAATAGGCAAAAAACAAACAAACAAAAAGTAAACTGTGAATTAAATTAGCCAGCTTGTTTCAGTTTCCATGACAATCACTTTGATAAAAATTGTATTGTTGTTCTTACAACACAGGTGATAATGCCTCTGCAAACACTACTACCCAGGAACCGGAGGGTTAGTTGAAAGTGTTTTTATGTTTTCATGTATATCTCTTTTCAGTGCAACTTTCTTAATCTTTTGTTGTGCGTGTGACTCGCATATATGTATGACTAACACACTAGGTATTTTAAATCACGTGTTGGTATGCACACCAAGAATTATGTATATATGTGTAGGGTAGTCACTTTATATTAATGCCTATAGCCTGAATCAGGCAATCATGTAAGTAGACAATACATAAGAATCTTTTTAAAAAGATCTGCTGAATCTTGCAGATGATGAAAATTACGTGTATGTAAATTAATTCTCTGAAGACAAATTGGTGAAGTTTAATGCAAGTTGTACTTACTAGTTAATAAAAATGAGTATGGTCCATATATATATTAGAGTTTTATACTCAGATAGTTAGCTACATCACGGAGATGTATTACATAGATATAAAATGCAAGAATTCACTAATTGACTTTTATTGCAAACAGAAATAGCGGCCTATGGAGAGTATAGTGGACCAACAACCAAGGCAAAACCAGAGGGTACGTTCTCAAAATAACTGTATCCATTATTTATCTCTGCCAATTGAGGGAAGAAGCAAAATATTAATTATTGTGAATCTGAGAATAAATAAGGACCAATATGAAGGGTATCCTTTCAAAAGAATGACAAGTACTTGATCAGGGTAAATAAATATAAGCTAAAGTTAAACCTCATTTTGTTTTATTCTTTTAACAAAACAATGTGGTTATAATGTTTCGCCAAGAAATGAAATATATATATGGCAGTCAATTTATAGCAAGTCTTATAGCATGAATCAGGCAAACATCTAGGAATAAAAAAAAAGAAGATCTTTGAATCTAAAAAGAAAATCCACTTATTTCTTCAGATTGTGAAGATTGTGAAATTAAATATAATAATTTTATTGCAAACAGAAATAGCGGCTTATGGAGAGTATAGTGGACCAACAACCAAGGCACAACCAGAGGGTATGTCTCTGAAATATCTGTAGCCATTATTTATCGCTGTCATCGATGGAAAAAGCAAGCTATAAACTATTGTGAAGCTGAGAATGAATAAGGACCAATATGAATGGTACCCTTTCAACAGAATTACAGGCATTCGATCAGGTTAAAGAAATGAAAACTAAAGTTTAACCTCAATTTATTTAATTCTTATAACAAAATGATAGTGAAGATATATTGTTTCACCAAGAAATATATATATTAATATAGATATGGCAGTCAATTTATATCAGTTTATTATAGGATGAATCAGACAAACATCTAGGTATTTCTTAAAAGATATATGAATCTAAAAGAAAATGCCCTTAATCCTTCAGATTGTGAAATTACATATAATAATTTTATTGCAAACAGAAATAGCGGCTTACGGAGAGTATAGTGGACCAACAACCAAGGCACAACCAGAGGGTATGTCTCTGAAATGAACTGTAGCCATTATTTATCTCGGTTAATCAAGGGAACAGGGACGATAACAACTATTCTTCATTTTATTAGAATAACGAAAAAATAAGTATTCCCTTCAAACCGATTTAAAATAGGAGGTACTTGTTCTGGTTAAAAATACATTAACTACTCTCAAATATTGCTTTGTTATTCTTACAGCAAAATTATGGTGCAATCTTTGAATGCTTTCATGGGGTAGATAGATGGTGTAGAATTGAGTTAAATGTGAGGCAAATATTGAAAATGATGCCTCTTACCGATAGTGACTATTTACAGTAGCACATGTTTTACATATAATGGGGAGAATTCATTAGAGATGAAATTGAGGTCGGGTCATAAGATTATATTGTGAAAGAAACTGTTTGGAAGCCATATCGAAAAGTCAATTATGAATTACATTTTCTCGTTATATTTTGAATATGAGGGCTTTTTGCAGGCCCCCCAAAATAAAAAAAAGTTAAATTCCAACAGCATTTGAAATATAATACTAATTTAGAACTTCCTTCACAACGAAAGGGCTTGAAAATGTCTTCTAGTGGGAAAATAATGAGCATTAGTTGTCAATTTGCAATCCATTTAGTAATAGTCTGATTTTCAGACCCTTGTACTGAATGGTAGTACGTTCTTTTTAATCAAGCTTCTAAGCGGCTAAGGAAAAACGAGAGGATATGTGTCATTTGAATCGTCTCTTGGAGCTAGAAGGACATGAACTCTCTGTAAGATGAGACACTTGATGCCCTTCTGGTATCTCAGGGACAATATGAATGCATCCCCTGTTTTCTGTCTGAAATTATGGGAACAAGCAATATTAAAATGTTTTTCCTTTGGAAATAAACTAATTAAACCATTATTACCTCGCATGAGCGGTAAGCAAAGTACAGCTACCTCACACAGCTCTAGTAACTCAAGTTGTTATTACATGTGACAGAGACCCATTAAGGTTATATAATGGGTATCCCCAAAGAAAAGTAATTGAATGAAAATGTTTTGCAGGAAATGTAGACCGAATTTCAAATTTGTGCAAACATAAAAAACAGACTTGGATTTTTTTAAATTAAATTTTCTCCATACCAATTAAAGAACTTATATCAAGTGATAATTTGTAATAATAATAATAATAATCATTAAAAAATTGATGATAATAATTATGATTTTTTTTCAATAGATACAGAATCATTTGAACACTTTTTACACTTAGAAATAGTGCCCCTACTGTACACAAACATTGTTGAGTATTTTCTCCGTGTTCCAAAGGTGCGATTGGAACAAAAATGGGGTTTTATAACAAATAAAATGTAATTTATTTGGCAGAAATTCCAGTGTATGGAGAGATTGATAGATCTGCAAAAAGAGCTACTCCTAAATCTGATCCAGCTGAGGGTATGTGTCTGACTGTTCAAAACTTTAAATTAACCTATACACATATATTAGCATTCATCAGTCATCAGTGACATATGTTAAACTCTGCATAAGTCAATTCTGTTGGGGACCGTAATAACAAAAAGTGTAGCGTGTGTGAAATTTGACTTTGGAAGTGTAAAGAACGCATGTTTTGTAAAGTTTGGTCAAAAAATTGGATTCAACTTAGTGCGACTTTGATTTATGCAGAGTTGGCAAGCCTCTAACTGTCTATTTAATCACACTCCATTTAGAGCATGTAATATATATTAATGGGCAAGTCCACAGTATTTTGTCACATAAGGCAATATTTTTTGTTACTTTTCCTGAACATTGCTCCAAGTTAATATCCTCACAGCTTGGAAACAAGGTAAATGGCTCCCCCAGTGGTCGTTTTGGTCCATTCTTGACTATTCTCAGTGATACATGGTATGGGACACCAAATACCTTATACTGTGGATTTGCCATTATGAGCTGGTGTCACACATGTACATGTGTATGTACATATGCATGTATGCATTCATCATCGTGAATATTGTAGGGTTATGTATAGGACAGATAAAGAGCATCATATTTACTCTTTGTAGAATTAGAATAGCTTCTTTATATACTTGGAAGACTAGAGTGTTCACACTAACTAATTGAAGGAAACAAATCTTTTCCCTTGCATTTACTCTGTGTGCAGAATTAGAATAGCTATCTTATATACTTAAGAACTAGAGTGTTCACACTGACTAACTGTCTGAATGAGGAGAATTTTTCTCCTTATACCATGTACAATTGTCATATGCTTAGTCTTTCTTGCATGACTACTGTCATGCAAGAAAGACTAAGCATATGACAGTGATAGTACTGAAGCTATTGATATCAGTAACAAGTTACAGTAACTGTTATAAGCTACTGAAATCATGGCTTTTGATTGGCTGACAGCGAATTTGTTTTAGAATTCTAGCATTTGTTATTGATATTGTTATTCAGAAGCACCGGCATATGGAGTGGTCAATAGAACTTCTAAAAAGCCTCCAGTGGCAGCACCGGGAGCAGAGGGTAGGTCTCTCAGGCTTATTTATGAATTAAAAAAAATATAAAATATATATATATATATATATATATATATATAGCTGAAAGATATTTGCTTTGACTTTCTGTGGCTCATAGACGAAATAGGAATGGTCTGAATTGTTCTTTGTAATCTGAATGCACTGCAGACATATTTTTGCAGTATTTTGAAGGATAAAATGCATCCATTATTCCAAATATACTTAGTAGCTCAGTAGATAGACATGACGCACACAGAGGTGCATGAGATCACAAGATTAAGATTCATATAAGGTCTTATATCGTATATGCATTTTCATGTCAAGTTTATTTGGCGAGTGGTCTATTGAAGCTCGTTAGTGGTGCATGAGTTCACATGATTAAGATTCATATAAGGTCTTATATGGTATATGCTTTTTCATGTCCAGTTTATTTGGAGAACGGTCTATAGAAGCTCTTTAGTGGTGCTAGAGTTTACATTATTAAGATTCTTATAAGGTCTCGTATCGTGCATTTTCATGACCAGTTTATTTGGAGAGAGGTCCATGGAAGCCTTTATGAGGTGCATGCCTTCACATGAATAAGATTCATATATTCACCCTCAAGTCCACTTTCTTATGAGAGATATCCATATAAGCTCATATATATGCACTGTCTTGTACACGAATTGTATGTAAGCATGTGAGGCAGAACAATTTGTTCCATAGGGTCCTATGGGAATACTGATATGATATTTTTCATCTGGTGATGCAACAATTATATTGGCATCATTTAACATGTGCTTTGTTTCTCTAAAGACATAGGGCTTAGATTTATTGGTTATGTCAAGGGTTATGGTTAGGTCATCCATGATTTAAGTTAAACAAAAAGTGGTTAGTGTTAGGGGCTGCATAATTATTGATTGGATCATGCTTTATTTTTTGGTTGTGAAAACATTTTGAAACTCCAATCAATGTCTTTTCCACTGAAATGCACGTTTTGAACTGTACCTTGAATGACTTTAAAAAAAAATCTTCTGAAAATAAGCTTTTTCTGATAAAAATAATCTGTACAAACTCAGATATTTTTCCTGTCGTGAATATGTCTACACACGCACTGTTATAATGTTATAGAAATTTTGCTGCTCCCAGCTACATGGACAGTGTGCCATATCAGTTTATCATTTATGATAATTATATATAACCTTATTATAAAGTGCTTAATTCATCATTTTTACAAAAAAAAAAAATGGAAGATAGAGAGAGAGAGAGAAAGAAAGAGAGAGGGAGACTATTTCACTATTACTACTATTGCTTCAAATACTAGTGCTGCAACTACTTCTATTCCTACTACTACTTCCACATCACTACTTCTACTTCCACTGATGATTTGATTGCCTTAAATTTTTTTTTTGTGTGTGTCAATATGCCTATGGTGGAAGCTTCTTGCATGTTGATGGGAAGATCGTACATTGATGCTCTGATTTCTTTTTGTTTACAGGATTGTACGGCGTTGTTAATAAGCCAGCTAAGAGCCCCAAACCCAAACTTATGCCGAAACCTGATGGTGCGTGTCTTGTCATTTTATCATCTTTCTTCTCTCATTTACATATGTATGTAGCTAGAGGGCGACATATCGTTGTCTCTTTTATGAACCGACTAATCTGTACATTTAATATACAGTTATTTTCATGTAAAATTTATCTTCGGAAATTAATCACCTGAACAATTGCATTAACATTTTTGAGGATTCCATTTTCTCATGATATCCTGAAATGCAAGTTTTCACGCATTACGAGTCGACTTTAAAAAAACCCTTAACCATTTACAGTCAAACCTGTTTTAGTGACTACCTGTCTACAAGAGCACTTTTTTTGTTTCCCTTGAAAATGGTTTCTCATTAAAAAATGTGCTAAAGGAACCTGTCTACCAAGACCACCTGTCTGCAAAGACCACTTTTTGTGTTTCCATTGGGCGGTCGCTATAGACAGGTTTGACTGTATAAGAAATTGTTTTGCATGTATATTATAAGAAGCAAATTTTTCCTAACTTAAAATCTTTTCCCATGTGTGCAGCAGTATACGGAACTGTGAACAAGCCACCCAAACCTTCTCCATTCTCGACCCAAGGAACTGAACTTCAGGGTTCGTCAATCATTGATTTCTTTGACTCCATCTTCAAACCCACAATGCATTGCCAGAGAAACTTGATCAGAATTCCATTAGTCTGGGACAATTCCTTAAATAAGATACAAATATAAGAAAGGGAGTGGCATTTTTTTCCCTCTCGTTGAACTTGTTGGTTTGACTGAGGTATTCATAAAAGCATGGTTTTTGCTGGTTTTCTAGTTGCGAATGAAGAATAATATTGCCAATTTGAAGATTCTTCCAGTAGTTCTGACAAAAACATGTACACACTTATCATGTATATATGAACATGAAAAATGCATTTTTTTGCAACGATATTCCTTTAGGTATTAATACAAGCATGGTATCTGCTGGATTTCTAGCAGTGAATGAAAAATAAAATTGCCAATTACAAGACCTGTAGTTCTGACAAACATGTACACACTTTGCATGTTTATGAACATGAAAAATGCAATTTATACCAGGGTATGAATTCCTTAAAGTTGTTCTGGTAATGTATTCATTTGATTTTGAGGTTGATTTTGCGTTTTCTTCATTGATCATATCTTTATTTCTTCCTTATTTTTGTTCATTGGTATGGTTCACCTTTGTACATGAGCATCTCAACATCATGAATCTGCCATGTTATATACCGGTACATCTCTAGATCAAATCTTTTGCTAAGCAAAATTGGAAAAAGGAAAGAAAATCACTCTCTATATGTTGCAGAAATTTACATTTTGCACACAAACAAAATAATAAATATATATGCAAATATGTATGATTGAGAGATTGAATGCATTTACTTATGATAATGCAGCAATTTATATTGCAAATTTGTTTCCATTTATTTCAAGACATACTGTTGAAGGAGAAACCAAGAAAAAGCAAAGGTTTTCATTTAGATTAGATGTTTCGGTGGTTCTCATTCACCAATGTCAAACGAAAAACAATTATGGAACTCAATCAAAGGATAATTTACATTTGCCTTTTGGAGCACTATTTTGTAACTTGATATACTGTTAGCTTCAGAATAGTTTATGTTGAGGGGGGGGGGGGGGGAAGAAAAAAAAAGAAAACAGGAAAAATGGTCAAACCAGTCAATTGAGGCCTCCCAAGGGATACAGAAAGTGGCCATTCTAGACAAGTTCTACTACACACAATTCTAACTTCAAAGAGACATAGTACATGGCCACCGAAGACAGGTGGCCTTAAGAGGGAGACATCTTTCACTGTTTTGCCTGAAAACGAGGCTGGGTTCAAACTTACATGTAGCTTGTATTGTGTGTGATGGGATGTACTTCGTTGTCCATGTGAACGTTGCTCTAGCTATTGCTTCTATGCAGGTCTTGCCGGAACCACGGGAATGTATAAGGAAACAGACCAGAGCCAAGGAAAGGAGGGTGTGTTCACATTTTCTCTTGTTGCTCTTCTTCTAAATTTGCTATTCTTTATGCACATTTTTCTAAAAACCATCAAACAAAACAAAACTAAAATAATTTTTTTTCCATGGTAGATTATTTTCATTTTTCCACTTGATGCATTATGCCCTTTTTTTTTTCTTTCTTCGTAATACCTGATTGTGCAATCAGTCACAAGTAAATCATTTCTTAAAAAACCTATCTGAGTAAAATGCAACTTTATATCAATGGAAAGCTAAATGAACGTAGAATACAAATGTAAAGGAATAACAAATATTTTACCTGTCAGTTTTGCACGAAACCAAATTAAAATCTCATTTTCCACATCCCTCCAGATTATGGGTCGACAACTTCCTATTTTCAAAGCTTAAGATTTAGAATTTTCAGAGAGCTGGTACTTTTCTGACCGACAATTTAAATAGCATTTACATGTTACTGAATATGTGATTGTAATCTATGGCTTATAAGCTTTTGTTGATATATAAATCATTTATTATTTTTAGCGCATCAGACTTGCCTTTAACTCTAACTAAATGGGATCTCAATTCTGATTGGCTACTGCTAGATTTTGGTCCTTGCATGTTGGGTTTTTGAATGATTTATCATGCACACTTTACACACTTTGTCTAATACATCCTCTCTTTAATTTGCAGTGGAAGGGACCTTTAAAAACATCATTTCTTTCAAACATTTCATTTTCAGAGTTCTCTTCTGAAGCCATCTCCTTTCTTGAAATCTTACATTTGTGTGATTTACTAAATTTCTTATTTTCTTGCAGTTTTTAGATTGTGTTTGAGATTTTTTATTAAAAAACAAAATTGTATAACCTTAATTCTTTTGAAGGTGTGATGCTATCATGTGTGAGAGTGTACAATGATTTTCCCCCTGAAATTCTCATTTCTTTCCTTCTAGCTTGTGTTGCATTTTATCCCTTCTACTCATTCAATCTTTGTTTCAAAGTCTCCTTTGCGGGAATAAGGAGCTTTTTGAGAGTGGATTTTACAGTTTTCTTGAGCTTTATTTTTAAACTTTTCTCTTGTCTCATGTTTCTGCACACATCAACTCAACTTTTTTTCTTTTACTCCTATCAAATGGAAATATAAAAAGGAGCATGTAGTTTTTGCATTTTTAGTCATCTTTAATAAGTAAAGATTAAAAAAAAAGCTGCTTTTTTTTCTTCCTGGTTGCCAATTTGGTTGGTGTTGTAAAATCTATTGCCGTGACTTTCTTGCCACTTTTACTCTTCTCCTACGGCTATCAAATGAAAATTCTGAAAAAAAAAGACTATTTAGCTCTTTGCTGGTTGCATCATGAAGATATAAATAAAGAATACACAGTGTTTTGTATGCCTAGTTGCCAAACTACTTGGGTTTTCTGTTTCAAAATCTCATTGTGCTCCAGTGACTTTATGAAGTCTTCTAAACTTGGATGCTTGTATTGTATCTTGGTATTTCATGTTCATGTTGCTAGCATCTTCAGATATAGCGTTAATTAATGGTTCTTTATACTTCTCTGCGGTTTAAATAATGACATTTATTGCACTCCAATACTCTAGAGCCTACCTGTACAGTCTACTAAATTATTCATACCTATACCAATTTTTGTAATTTTTTAAGTACATGAATGTGAAAAATTGATATGTCCCTATTCATATCCTTAAGAATTTAACATATTAAAACATACATCTAAAAGTATTCAGCAAAGGCCCTAATTCGACAAGTCCACTTTAATTTCTTGAGTTATGGACAAACTAAAAGAACATCAAATTTACAATGGGTATTAATACTTAAGTTGTTATTACTGTATGCTTTATCTAGTTCTGAGCAGTTGCTATAAAACATAGTTTCTTATGAAAGCTATACCAAAAAAAGAAATGTTCGCTTAAACAGCTTTTCTACTGTATGTTTACTTTCAATGTGGGCTTCTCTGCTCTCCTCATAAATGTGTGCTTACTGTTGTTCTAAATATAACAAATAATTAGCAAGGGAAATGGGTTTCTTGCCATATATTCAAATGCATCATTTCTGAAATACAGCTCTGACAATTTTGTTCGTAAATAACTTAGTTTCAGTATTCATAATATACCTATAAATCTGTGAGATGGTAAGTAGACATGATTAAATTCATTATTTCTGCTCATGATCAAATAATACATACACAAGTGAAAAATGAATGAATTGCTTAAATCTAAACTTATGACTTACCGCATGTACTTTCTTTTATATATTTTATTTTATTAAGAAAAATGTTCTATTTAATTTAAGTGTTTATGACAAGAGAAGCTATGTTTACATGTTACTTGCAGAAAATACGAAAATTTAATTAAATATACCAACTAATTCTCTCTACTCTACTTGCATTATATTTATCTAAAAAAAAGATTGTATAACAAATGAACTATTCTTAGTTGTTATTTTGGAAACAACACACCATTAACAGAAGGCAGTTATATAATTGACCTTTGACCTTTTTTAAAACTTGACTTTGTTTCCTTGTAGATCTATATGGCACTGTAGACAAGTCTCGTAAGACCAAAGAAGAACCGCAATCAGTTGACGTTTCGGCACAACCAGAGGGTGCGGTTTCTAATATGACATCACTTTTTTTTGTGCTCATATATAATATGAATGATGCCTTAAAATTGCAGTTTTAGAAATTAGTTGCACATAACATGCGCTGACTTAATAGCTCGTATTAACATTGGAAACTTAGCCATCTCCTGAGAGACTAAAGGGCAGTAATGCATGTACTTGTAATTTTTTAACCTGTCGTGGTATAGTGGGTACGTCACCGGACTGTGGATCACATGGTTCGTGGGGCGAGTCCCGTCGCGGCACTTACGCCCTTTGGCAAGACATTCATCTACATTTGCCACTCTTCACTCAGGTGATGTAAATGAGTACCTGGTAGGAAGAAATTCCTTGAATGACAGAGCACGTCATCAGGGTAGCTCGGCTAAGGGCAGGGTGTAGCCCAGGGCCTAGGAACATTAGTATTAAGCGCTTTATTAGTCTTCTGCAAGGAGTTTATACCCTCCTTTCTCTCAATGAACATGTTAAATATGTATTAATCTTTATGTACACAGCTCGGAGTACTGCTTCCTATTTCAATATACCTAACACTAAGACGCATTATGATAATATCACTAATCCATATTGCAGTAGCACTTATCTTGATCAACTATTGTTTTGGTAATTTCCCTATGAACTCATTTTCTACATCAATTTCTTTCTCTGACTACTATTTTAATTCTTCAATTGATCTTTCTTTTCGATACTCAATATAAAGTGCCCGAGTCTCTCAAGCATGTTTGGTATTTAATCTTTTTTCATTCTCTATTGAATATTACTTTCAATATATTGTTCACTCATCTGCTTGCTGGAAAGAAAAAAAGAATTACTAACAAAGACGTATAGCTGTACTCACTCATTTTGATGCCCTTGATCTGTTTAGTTTTCTTTTAATACCTGTCTATAATTCTTCTTTGTTTCTCTTTCCTCTCTCTCTCTGTCTTCCTTTTTCTCTGTCTTTCTTTCTCTTGGTTCTATTGTCTACTCTTTTGAATTACTCCTATGATTTATTCCTATTAATTTATTTGCATAAAGTTGCTTGCAATAATCATTATTTGCATAGGTCATTAAAGCTATGGTCACAAATTAGAGCAGCGACCGACCGATCAGTAGCCTGCTCGGTCGCTGCTGGAATTAGGCATCGCCCAGCGATTAGTTCGGTGCCCGGGCGGCGACCGCCCAGGCACCGAGCGTATTTTGGGCGGCGAGTGAAAAGTGGGCAGGCGCCGCCCAAATTTTAACTCCGCGCTAAAACTTCAGCGGCGACCGAGCGATGCCCTAACAACGAGCGGTGACTGGCCGGTCGCCGCTCGGTGGCCGGGCAGCCGCCGGGCAGATTTGGTTAAAAACTCGCCGCTCGGCCGCCGAGCAGGCTACTTTTGGGTAATGTGACCATAGCATAAGCTTCTGATCTAATTAGGCATTCTCAATAATAAATATACAAATAAATGAATAAATCATAGATAAATCATAAGTTTTTACAAAATTGAATAATGAATAAATGAATTAATACTTGAATATATTAGAAATAAATATGGAATAGAAAATAAATATAAAATAAATAAATTGATAAATATTCTAAATAAATAATGGGTAAATTAATAAATAATTAATTATAATGCATGTATTGTAATCAAGTCATTATGACCTTCCTTGTTCAATGTCCGTTAAATTCTCTTGGGGTCCCTCAAAAATTTGAAACGATGCATGTCCAAATTTTAGTTTTAGTGAATAGATCTTTCTCACATGTAGCTCCCATGACAGTTTGTATGTACATGTAGACACAGTATCTTGAATTTTACATTCTTTCCAATCTTGCTAAATCATTTCCTACAACTATTTTGTTAGAAATATAGTTGATTGAAACTCTAACTTGCTATATTAAGGCTTGATATTTCATTATTTGTTTTTCTATCCTAAATCCTAACCTTCCTAACCTTCATCACTTCTTCATGAGCTGTTATTGTTTAATCAATTTATTTTAGAAAATCATTGAAATTTGCCTACTAACAATAAATTACAGTATTCATAAATGGAATAGCCTCTAATTTTGTTGAGGGGTATGTATATATGGATGGATATATATACATTCACGTACCGATTCAAACATCGATATATGCAGTGTATATGCATGTCTTTGCATGCAATGACATTCAAAAAAAAAATGTATGTTTTTTTAGATGTACAAGTACATCTTACTTGTAGTCATAGACTTCTTCACATGTATCATTGCAATTATGAAGCCAAACAAAGAAGGCAGAATTGTGTCTCATTATATGACTTAATTTTAGAAGAAGGTGGTATGAAAGCAAAAGTTAGTTGCTCCAGATGAATGAAAAAAAGAAAAGATAGTAAAACTGATCAAACACAAAACAAACCAAACCAGTAAGAACCAACTTCACACACTTTCTGCACTGGATATGGCTTAGCTAGTTGGTCTCAATAACTTGTGATTCAGAGCCTTAAAAATTATGCCATGAGAAGAAAAAATTTCTGCACTCACTGTATCCATTTCAGATTCATGACTGGACTACGTTTGGTGCTAGGAATTTCTAAAAGCGAAAAGAAGGTTTAAAATCATTTAAATTGGCAACACAATGAGAGATTAAAAATCATTGTTTTTCAATCAAAATTTGACATTTTCATCTTACCCAGGCACGCATATTGCTTTCAGAGACATTACATTTTATTTTCAACAATGTAACAATAGAAGTAAAATGTTATTGCTGCCAATGTGACGAACAGTATCAATTGTGATCAATTTCGGCCAGAAAAATAAAACCTGTCCTGAAAAGGTCATTATTTGTTCCAAGGTAGATTTGTAAGCCTGTGAATCATACGATTGTGAAATCATCTTCAAGCAGATAATGAATATTTAATGTTTGTTCATGACTGTAGACATGTATGCGGTGGTTGACAGGCAACGCAAGCCGGCCGAGCAAAAGCCGTCTCCGGATGAGCCTCCCCCAGACGGTCTGTTTAGATCTTCATTTTGATTTGTAGTCGCATTAATCTCTTACAATGTAGTTCTTTACCTTCATCTAATCTCACTTTAAGTTATCACATAGCAACTTTATCTCTCTGTTATATATAACATCCTCAGTTTAGAATAGACGTTGATGTGATGCTATCTATACTTGCAAGTACAGTTCTAATTTTAGCACTTTCTCAGTATAGCCACTTGATAACTATAGGTAAATACATGTATATTGACAGTGACACTAGCTGTCTCAAGCTAGTAAGTACTGGTTTCAACTGGTTTCAACTGGTTGGAACTGGTTGAAACTGGTTTATTTATATGTCACTCAAAGCTACATGTACAGTACATGAATACTGGATGATTGTAGAACCGACATGTATTTTACACTGACACTGATGTTCACCAGGGCATCGTTTCACAAAACCGTCATAAGTACAAGTTCAAAGATATCCTATTCAAACGCATAAAATGAAATTAACTTGTGTTTGAATGAGATTTTGCAGAACTTGTAAATATGTCAGTTTCACAAAACGCTGTCCAGTAGCACATGGTTTTCCTTGAGATTTTGCCAACACTTTTGGCACTGATCACTTGATGCACGTACATATGGACTGTGTTTTGCACTTGTGTAATTTGACTCCTTCAATACACTGGGTAAAACGTGCACCAGATGAATCGGCAGGTTTTGTTCTCATACTTTTTTTCTTCTATCTCACTTTATCCTTTTTTGTATGATATCGAGAAGAATGCATGATGTGTGGTAATTTCTTGTAGCTTGTTAGCTGTATATTACCACATAACACCTTAACGTATAATATACTCTTTACATACAGTCAAACCTGTCTATAGCGACTGCCCAAGGGAAACATAAAAACTAGTCTCTGTAGGCAGGTGGTCTTTGTAGACAGGTTCCTTTAGTACATGTTTCAATGAGAAACAATTTTCAAGGGAAACAAAACGTGGTCTTTATAGACAGGTGGTCACTAAAGCAGGTTTGACTGTACTTACATACTTGTAAAAATGCTTGTAAAATGTTGAGAATTCATCTTTAATGTCCGTGTACCTACAAACTTTGACCTTTATCAAATTAAGGTGGGGAGTCAGTGTACGGTGTTGTCGACAAGAAGCGTGACAGAAAGGCGGCCAATAGGAATTTAGGTGGTCGCATTGTAGACAGACCCGCTGAAGTCCCTGAAGATTCTGGTTTTGGTGGTAATTTAATTTGATTTCAATTTCAACAAACCAAGAAGAAGAAAAAAAATCATGCAGCATTCATCAAACTTTCTTTTCTAAAGATCAAATGTATTCTATGAAGTCTTAGGCTGAAAACTAAGCAATCAAGCACTAGTATAATTATAGAGAAAAGGCAGAGGGTGTCACCTGCTTGAAAGAGAGAGTGAGAGAGAGAGAGGTCGAGATGCAATATGTATATATATAAGTTCACCTGTTGCATTTAAAGCATGAAACTTTTCTTCTCCATTTTATATCTAACTATCTATCATCACTGCCTGCCCATTTTAAATATTATGAACATAATACATCAAGTTCTGTTCTGCTATTTAAATTTTAGTTTAAATTTGATTTTAAATTTCAAGCACTCATTAGTTCTTTTAATACACTTGTACTATTGCTTTAAATTGCTATCTTGTTCCTTTTTACTCTGCATACAATTCTGTTGCAACCTTAAATCCATTTAGAGCAAATATAGAAATAGGAGGCGAGTTGGCTCAATCGGTAAAGCGTCTGCCTGACGAACTAAAGATCCCGGGTTCAATTCCCACCTAGGTGGATGACTGAAGCCTGCGTTGTGAGTTAACGTGCCCCTCCCCTTGTTCATAGACGCAGGCTATGTTAAGTGGAAAACACTCCGTCCCTCGGATAGGACGTTAAATGAAGGCCCCGTGTAGAGAACAGTCACTACCTTTGCACGTTAAGAACCCACTTCACTATTCGTATAAGAGTAGGGGGAAACCCCGGTGTAGTTGTGCACCTGCACACACCCCAGTATAGTACGATAATACTCTGTAAAGAGGTCTGTACGCAAAATGGAAGAAGAAGAAAGAGTAAAAAAGAGTTATATATAGAGAGAGAGAGAGAGAGAAGAGAAGAGAGAGATATGAGGTTGAGAGAGGAGAGTCCCTTATTCTCAGATACTCTTTATTTACTATCTAATTTCTTTTGGAAACCTCAACTTTATTTCAGTATTTCTACTTCATTTGCTATCCACCTGCTTTCACATACATCCCTATGAGTTTCATGTATTCTTTTCATTTTTTTCTTCAAATTCTGCAAAGTTTCTTGCGAAACAAAGTACACCATGAAAATTTAGAATATCCCTTGAGATGCATTTTAGAATTATTCTCATCATAGTATAGCCTGTCACATAATCACCTGGAAAAAAAAGGATATTTGCTTCTGTTAATAGTGAGAGAATCTAATTTTCATGTACACATTATTGAGTGTGCTATGAACTTCGGCCAGAAGTCAGACATTCGTTTAACAACTGAATTATTCATATCTTTACTAATTTTTGTAATTTTAGAATTGATATGTCCCGATATATAGTTTTTGAGAATGTGACATATTACAGCTGAAAATTATACAAAATAGACTGTATTCCTAATTTTTCTGTGACAGGTATGAGTCAGACAAGGATGGCTGTGCCTGAGAAAACCAGTTTCCAAACCAGTTCATAGGCATTCAAGATATAGTTAAAGTTGCTCATGCATCGGTTTATAGAGGGCAGCAAATGGGCGTACACATGGGAGTGTCATACCCGTTGGCTCAGTGCTATGTAGTGATCGCCAAGTTGCCCACTTCACAAACGACTATATACCCACACATGAACATCTTTTAAATGCAAAAACTATTACAGTACCATTATCTAAAACTTATGCCAACACTGGTTCTTAATTATTCGCCCATGCACTGTTGCTGTTAGTATATACTACATTTATCTGTACACTTCTTGGTGTTCCTATAATGTTAAGAAACTATGTCTGTCTTTCTCACAATGCATCTTGTATGATCGTTTTATGACATACAGGTTAACAATTCTTTTTTAAACCTCATGATATTTTTACCTTGTAAGACATTTCTCGGATTTCTTATATTTCTGCTTTACTCATTGATATGTCTGAATATTAACATTGCATTGTTTCAGTCGACATTGTCATGGTTAACACTGTCTTGCATGCGAGTAATGTACACATACCCTTTTTAAGCTGTTGAATGTTTTAATGTTACTAACAAATATGCCTTAAAACATTAAATGATTGAACCCTCTTTTTCAAATTAAGGATTAATGATTTTTTTTCTTTGTTATGATGTATTGGTAAGTATATGTAATTGTGCTATCTGCTAAAGTGATTTCTTGTTGTATGATATGTGTTCTGGGGGGTGTTTCACAAAGATCCTAAGTAGAACTTAACTCTAAGTTGGACTTAAAAATTATGGACAGCCATTGGAGTCTTTAAATGAAATATATTCAAAAGCAGAAATTCAAGTATTTTAGACTTTTTATTAATTCCACATCCAGAACATGAAATCTCCTTGATGATAGAAAATATGAATGATTTCAATAAACAATGAATGCCTTTCAAAATAACTTTTACAAAATATTTTCAAAGATGCTAATGGCTTTCCATATTTTTTAAGTCCAACTTAGAGATAAGTTCAACATAGGATCTTTGTGAAACACCCCCCAGATACCATGCATTGTATTGCATGTTTGATTTGAGCCAAAATGTGTTTGAATTCACCTAAAAACAGACATCAAACAAATTTCAGATAGGACTTTCATAGGCCTGTTATCCCCCATATCTGAGGACTCCACTGCCCATGGAATAAATGAAAGTCTTATGTGATGGCATTGCAAAAGACTTGTGGAGTCATCGGGTCATCACGTCAGGTTGGGTGGTCACGTTACCCGACCTTTTGTGAAAACGGGCCCGTTCATACACTTGAAGTCAGGGTAATGTTTGTGAATCTACAAATCTCATCTACAAATGGTCTTGTCCAATTTACTTCACACTTTGTGAAAACCCTACAGCAAATGTACGAAAGGCTGCATTGTTCATGTGCATCTTCATATAATCTTCTGCTTTAGTTTCACAAAAGGTCTTGTATTGCGACCACCCGACTGGACGCGATGACTTGCTGATTCAAAGTTAGCCTTCTCAATAGTACATGTATATACAAAGTGAAAGACTAAAAATGCTAATAAATAGACGTGAAACCTCACAATTAAAAAAAAAATCAACGAAACAGGATCAAGAAATCTGCTGCTTTGTTACTACCTATTTTCCATCCGTACAAATGAGGGTACACACAAAAAGGCTTAATGTTCGGTTAAAATGCTTGTCGTTTTTACATGTTAGTTTGTGTCTTTGTAAACAGGTCTTTACGCGGCAGTAGACAGGGGGTTCAGGACGTCCACGCCAGATACGAATCGCCCTATGGAAGGCTCAGGTTAGTCCCATTAGTTCATTTTTGTGTTTGTGAAGAAAGAAAAAAGTGAGTTGAGTGTGACTAGCCAAAGAAAACTCATAAAGAGGTCTTTAAAAATGGAATTATTACCTCTCAGGAAGTTGTGCCTGTAATAGAAAATAGTGATCAAGGAATCTACTTTCCTTTTTTAATTTAAAAAAAAATCCCTCTCTCATCTCTCTGTCTTGGTTTTTCCCTCTCTTGTTCTCTATTTCTCTCTCTCTCTCTCACTCTTTCTCTGGTGAAGGTTCATTAATGAGGACTTAAAAATTTAAATAAGTTGTAGCCCTTGTATCATGAAACATAGTAAACAAATTCACAGAGACTGAGCTGACTCTATTGTTCAACATTTGTTATGATAAGCATTCAGCTCGGACATCTTGTTGTCTCTTCCAAATTTGTTACTTAACCTTTTTGACTAAAAACCATATTTGTGTAAATGTATGTATAACCTTCCATGTTAATATTACATTATATGTTGATGTCGCTTCTTTCATTTCATGTTTGTGCATTCTACCACAGCAGGTTATTAGATGTTTAACTTTGAAGTAAAGTCCATATTATGATCAACAAACATCCAAATGTTTTATTACATTATATGTTCACTGCTTCATGAGTTTCATCTTCTTACATTATTTACACTTGTGTGGGTGGGTGTGTGTGTATATGTGTATAGGGTTATGGTCTTGAGTAAAAATTATATTTGTTTGCGTACATCTATGTGCATCGATCCTTCCATGTTAATATTTCATTATATGTACACTGCTTCACAAGTCTCATCTTCCTACATTTTTTACATGTGGGTGTGTGTGTGTGTGTGTGTGTGTGTATAGGGTTAGGGTTAGGGTCGTTGACTACCGGTAAAAATCATTTTTGCTTGTGTACATCTATGTGTATCCTTCCATGTTAATATTACATTATATGTTCACTGCTTCACAAGTTTCATCTTTATACATTCTTTACATGTGTGTGGGTGGATGGGTGTATGTATGTGTGGGTGAGTGTGTGAATGTGTGTGGGTGCACAGGCAAGTGGGTTGGTACCGAGAACACTCATAAGAACTGCATCTTTGCTTTGAAGACCACTTGCAAAATGAGGATGTCCTCGGTTGGAGAACACCGCAAATTGTTTAAAATTTGAGACCCTTTTTTTTATAGGTACAGTTATTTAATTGCTTTATTTGCACAGAAAACAAAATAGGTCTGTGGTTATGCAGTCAATTTCTAGATCAAAATTGATGCATTATATTTCTACAAAATTGAGTGTTCTGGAATATGTAATAAGATACTGATTTGTAGTACGCGTCCTCAATTTTCAGCACAGACGTGTATGTGAGGTGTGTGTGTGTCATGTATTTGTCACTCTTGCTCTGCATATTATGTTGATGTCGCTTCTTTCATTTTATGTTTGTGCATTCTACCACAGCATGTTATTAGATGTTTAACTTTGATGTTTAACTTTGAAGTAAAATCCATATTATGAGCAACAAACATTCAGATGTTTTACTAATTATATTATTATGTTTGGGGAAAAACAAAATATTACATGCAGCATTTAAAGGGAGTATTATCGATTAGTTTGGATTTTGTGGCTGTCCCTATAGTATTGAACTCACATTTTGTGAGAGATTTAAGTTTGAAATGTTGAATACTTCCTCTTGAATACACTGGATGCAACCCATTTAACAACATATAAAGGCAACTTTACAATGCAAACTCTTTGTTTTGTATGTTGGTTGTTTCTTTTAAATTATTTGTGCAATGGGACAGGGAAAACTTGTATTGAGTGTAGTTGCATGATAAAACTAGATCAACATTTAAGAATAAAGGGAAATGCAATTCTCATTTACATTACATTAACTTGCATGTAAACGTTTAAAAAAAAGTTAAAGATCTATCTGTACAACAGAATTCCAATCACATCCATTTGCAACAAAAAGCGTTATTTATTTGCAAAAGAACTTATCACATATTAAAGTCTCTAGTTTATAGCCTACATGTATCTTAGCTACATCTAAAAAATATGCTCTTATTTTTTAAACACCTCCACAAAATAAATCATGCATCAATTCCAATTATTTTGTTTGCTTCTTACTTTATGATAACAATGATACTTGATAGCTGTTTATAGATAATATTTTTTCTCCAGTTTTTAAAAGCATTATACATTAATAAGCAAGAACAAACATCACAATATACACAGATTGTGAGTTTATTTAGAAGTTCAAAGACATGGTATGAACTATGTGCGTGAAATGACAAAATGAGTACTGTTATTGTTGCATCTCTGAAACATTAACCTCTTTTACATATTGCAAAATGAATATCTAAACTAAGAAAGGAAGGATTGGCAATCCTTTCTCTCTTATTTTATATAATCATATTATGTGTATGTAAAATAGGTTGAAAGTAATAACGGTCATGCTGCTTAAAAATCACTTGAAATATTTGTGTGTATATTGTGTTAAACTTTAATTACAAAATAGTTATACAAAAGAGAATACAAAATAATGTTTAAAAGCTGAAAAATATTGAAAAGTTATGGCTTAAGCTACGGTCACCAATGTTCATACGAACAATGTGTTCGTATGAATCTCCCTGTTTTTCCATGGTCTTCCCGAATGTCCATGGTCTGAAAATCGTTTGTACGGCGTTCGTAGCAGTTCGTAAAGGCATTTGTGACCGAGGCTTTAAGGAATATAGGTGTTTTTTTTTCTGTTCACATTCTGCAAATTATGTTATGATATTTTGATTCCTATGAGTTGACATTTTCTTTGAGTAAGCTGAAATAACTAACACACATTAAAATGCATTAAATTTAAGTTTTATGCTCACATATTGCAGTATATGTATATGAATTTATCACATATAAACCTTCACATGTCAAAACTGCCTTCAATCAAGCGCAAGTAAAACACACTAAAATGCAACAGTTGTAGGTGTTATTTGCTTGTCATTCTTGGTCAGTAAAGATGTAGCATCACCATCATTATTACATGTATAATGATCATATGAATTAATGTTGCCTTCAACGAAGCATAACTAAATATAACACACTAAAATGCATCATTTTAATTTATGCATAAAAGAAAAGGTCACCATTATTTGCCACAGCTTTAGCAGGTTGTTCACTTTCACACTGTGCGATAAAAAAGACCAGTTTAGAGATAGCATACGTACAAATGACCCCTGCATAGCCGCAGATCTTTTAAAACATGGAGAAGTCCCACTTTGTGCATTTAAGATTGAACACTGCCAAAGTAATTGAAGAGCCTTATGAATAACTTTTGTTTGTGGTCTCAAAATTAACACTTCCACCTGTTTATCATATATTGATATACCATTGGTGCATAAATTAATGATTACATAACTTTCATGAACTGGTATGCAGTATTCTTCTTAATGGGTCTTTAATTTTTTGCAAATAACCTTATCTGGCCTTGCGCATCTGCTATCTCTGAACTAGCACACATACGGTCAAGAATAATACCGCAGTCGCATCAAAGAGACCGACACCAGGACCCTGTTTCATAAAATTTGTTATCAATGACAAGTTGCGAAAACTGTTATAAGCTACTGAAATCGTTGCATTTGATTGGCTGAGAGCAAATTTGTCATAGAAGGTACTTAATATTTGTTATAGAAGGTACTTAACATTTGTTATTGATCAGAACTTTTATGAAACAGGGCCTGGGTATTATTCAAAATGAAAGATTTGTTAAATCTACAGCTGTGTTTGGCCAAGAAGAAAGATGGAAATTACCAGGTCTTGCTCCGGATGAAGAAGAAGCAGAATCTGAGGGTTTGTACCCACATGTACATTTCTAAGAAATCTGAAAATATTCCTCTTTAAAAGGCCCTATATAAATCCAGTTATTATTATTTAGGCATCATGAAAACTCGTGCTGGACATTTCTAAAGTCCCTCGCCCTTTGTATGGGGGATGCCAGGGAAAGATGCATGGCATTATTTGTTAGTTATTCATAATATTATTAAATAAAAAAAAATTATGATTTGTGATTTAATTTGTCATGCTTTTGAAATCGTGATTATTAAAGAAGTGTAATTTTAAGAAATATGAAAAGCTACAAGATTTTCTGCATATTATTTATGTTTCAACTGCAAAATTAAAAATGAGTTTTATTTTGTTGAAGGAAAAGTCATGCAATATGTTTTTAATTAAGCAAGCGAGCATATCATATAAATATAACAACACAGGAACATGTAACAAAATACATATTAACTTATTACCATCAACACAGATAACAACTAAATTATTCATCCCCTTACCAATTATTGTAATTTGTAAAGTAACGATATAACGTTTATGTCAAATAACTGCCTTTATAAAATAATGAAGCCCTAATGAAATGATTGGTTGAGAGCGTACATGTGACCAAGCAGTTATTTTTCCTTACACATAATTTTACTAATGACTGGTCATATTAAACATAATTTTATAAAACAAATAATACACATCATTTGGTTAGTGCATTAGTAAAATGACCCACTCTCGGTACCTTCAAAACAGTCCAAACTCCCTCGGCTATCACCTCGGTCGTGTAGACTGTTCCAAAGGTACCTTGTGTGGGTAATTCTTACTAATACCCTCACTGCTGTGTATCATTTGTATAAAGTAGACCAGAATAAAAAGTCCCAATTTTTTATCATAGATATGTGTCGATCAAATTCCCAGGACCGTTCCAATGGAGAAAAAAAAAATTCACATCGCCAAAGTCAAACAAAATCAATCACTGACAAAGCACGCATTACACACTGATTTTGTTTACACAATACGCCATTGGTGGCCCTGTAGTCTAGACTTGCTCGCGCGCGCTCCACGATTCTCTCTTGTACTAACCTTTCTCCCTCTCTCTCATTCAGTTTGACCTATTTGTTGTTTTGTACTTCCTTGATCATACACAGATTATTTTTTGGACGATCATGTTCATTAAGTGCAGATACATGTTAATAAGCATGTACATTTGTGGGTCGTAACAAGTTAAGTTATGCAACAAATGGAAGTGGAAAATTTAAGAAAGGCAGAGACATAGAAACATGCCTTAATGGTCACATTTGTAGAGTGACAGAAGAATGGTACAATCACATAATTATGAATTCTGTCATGTTTTATGTACGTGTTTGTTTTGTCTGTGTTTTAATGTCTTTTCATCCTTGAATCCGTTTAACATGTCTTCTTTCCTATTTACTGTCTTTGGTTCTGTACAAGGAGTGACTCTTAATATTGTGCTAACAAACATCCCTTTGTTCTTTTGATGTAACTTTTGCTATTTAAATGTGTTGTGCAAAGGGTATTCCCCCTTCTCTCTCTCTCTCTCTCTCTCTCCCTCCCTCTCTTTTATATGCACATCAAATAACAATCCCTTTTTTCTCACACACATGATGTTTTGTAGGGATGATAGATAACGTGCTATACGACTCTTACAGCAACCAAAAGTCACCGGCCCAAACAGGTACAGTCCTTTTATATTTTTGAACTATATAGAAATAAAAAATATGAATGATTGATGCCAATTTGAAGATGGAAAGGTGTTTAATTTAGATCTTAAGAAAACTCTGTCCTGCCATTGGTTAATGATCAATCCTGTATTCACCCTTTGTCCTGCCATTGGTTAATAATCGATCCTATTATCACCCTCTGTCCTGCCATTGGTTAATGATCGATCCCATATTCACCCTCTGTCCTGCCATTGGTTAATGATCGATCCCATATTTGCCCTCTGTCCTAGGCAATTCCATGACCTATGCCACAGTGCCAGATTACAGAACGTCGGAGGAGCCGGAGGAAGGGATGCAGGATAACCCCCTCTACACCGCCTTCAGCCCCACCTTCAGCCCCACCCCTTCTGAGAGTAGTAGACAGAGGCAGGAGCCACCACCAATCGCGCCTAAACCAGGGGTAAGCATCTGCACCCCTGTGATCATTAGCGATCCCCATTTCTTAAAGAAATAGACACCTACGGTTGCAAAAGTTGTGTTTCTGTCCCTGAGTAGGGTCTGATCTCTAGAACCTCACTCCCTGTCACATACAGGAACCAGAAGACACACTGTTCCAAAATCATGGATATGTCTGTGCACTCTTTCATTTGACCTTCCAGACAGGAACCATAACCCACCACTCCCCGGCAACTCAGGGGTACATCTCTGCATCTATTTGACCATGAAAGTCCCCTACCCACACTCCCACCTCACCCCACACTCTGTTATTAAGTCATCAATGGTTTTTACAAGTTTTGATTTTGTCCTTAGGGTCTGGGTAGTCCCTTGTGCTTTGTGTATTTAATGTAAGCGCACATGTAAATATGTTGCTTTATCATGCAAAGCCTGCTTTAAGTTATAATTTGTTGGTGTAATTTCTATGTGAAATGGGATAGTGGTTTTCCTTTAATGGTATATCTGGAGAGCATTAAAATATATAAACCAGGTTTTGCTATTTTTGTGGAGATGTGTTAGAATATCGTGTAGCTATACCTTTCCCTCAATACTAGATAATGCATATTCTTGCTGCTAATATGGTAAAGGGCTATTGAGCATATCAGTTTTTGCTAAACTAGTCATGAAACTGGTGCATTTTCCTTCTTGTTAATGTTTTTTATTTAAGATATGTAAGCATGCTCTTTTCCCTGATTATATTTTTCTCCTTGGGAATGCTGGAAATATAACCGTTCTATGATATGTTTATTTATTTTTTCTCCCCATTAATTGTTTTCCTTTCCTCAAACCAAACCCTTGGCTTGATTCAATGTCTTCATTTTTTATTCATCACTGAAAAAATACAAAATAATTTAATTTCATGGACATTTAATTTCCAAATTAACTCTTTATAATATTTGTTTTTGTTTATGAAACTACATTCCATCATTTATGATTTGCTTTTCATCATGGCTTATAATATATAATAACTCATTGGATTTGCTAAATACATCAACTTGAATTATGGATACATAATGCTATGATTTATTGATAAAAATTATCTCATCTACACTCTAAAAACATTTCCACTGTTTTCTAAATATCAAATGTTTGCTTAAAATACTTTCATTGATATACAACAAAATTATACATCGCTACATTATGAAAACAACAAATATATCGTTTTTGATTCTTTCACTTCTGCTTTTGTCATTCCTGTGCCTTTGTGTATATGCACAAACCCAAACCCATCCTTCCACCCCTTGCTATCCCATCCTACCCCTCCCCCCCCCCAGAAACTGGACCTTACTAAATTCCCTGTACGCATGGAGGGGCTTATGCGCCCCATTGGTAACGTAAACCGCCCCAACGACCTCCCAGTTTGGCACCACCGCAGCACCCCCACCCACAATAACCACCCCCCGCCCTTTGCTAGCCCCGAGAGCGATGAGGGGGCGGGGTACTCCAGCCCGGCCGACGCCCTCCCCTTTGATCATGTCCGAAGGGTAATCGGGAGCAGCTTTAGGACCGGTGGTAGTAGCGGAGGAGGAGGGGGTCCCCAGTCGGGAATTTACTCACAGCCCCACGATCACCTGCCTCGCGGCACTGTAAGTTGGCTCAGTCTTGCACCCCTTTTCTCTGTCTGTGCATCGTTTTCAAAAGAGAGATGGTGAGCATGTGCTTTAGTACTCTCAGCACTGTGTGTTTGTAGTGAGCTTCTACCTTTGTTATGCCTCCGCCCACCAAAGGTCACCAAAGGTCACGGAGGTATTATTTTTTCGGGTTGCCGTCCGTCCATCCATCTGGACGTCCGTCCATCCATCTGGACGTCCGTCCCACTTTCTTGTTAGCGCGATAGCTCAAGAACCATTTGAGATATGAATTTCAATCTTGGTGATAATGTGTTTCACCATAGGAAGACAATCTGATTGGGTCAAAGGTGAAAGGTCACAGAGGTCAATTTATGAAATTCCTGGTATTGGCCTTGTTATTGCAATATCTCAAGAACCACTAAAGATTTGAGGCTCAAACTTGTTGATAATATGTATGAACAAAGGAAGACTATCTGATCAGATTTTCGGTTAAATGGTCAAAGGTCAGATAGGTCTGACATTTTTTTTTCTTCTGAAATGACATGTTTAGCCTTGCTTTTGCGATATCTCAAGCAAGCCCTAAGAGATAGGCTTTTTCTTTTCATCGTGATATGTCACAGATAAATCCATCCATTTCCTATACTGAATTTAGGGCGGAGGCATAAAGGAGACGCAGTCACATTTGTCTAGTTAGCTGTGCATCCGTGTGCCCTTTTGTTAGGGTGAGCCACGTCCATCTTATTTATGAAGGCTTACAACACCCACTTATCACCATACACAGTTTGTCTTTCATTGGGTTCTTTTATCACATAGCTGTAGGTGATGTCATAATCAAATCAACACCTAGTTAGCACCATATATCTGCCTGTCATCAAGGATCTTCATGGAGGTTTACAACACCTACCTAGCACCAGACACCACATATGTCTTCCATCAGGGTTCTTCTATCATATAGATGTAGATGACACCATATTCAAACCACACCTATTTAGCACCATGTTTGTTATCAGGGTTCTATGTAGGTGTAGATGACACTGTATATCCTTTAATACCAACAGGTTCTTAGCACCATACAGGTCTTTAGTCATGGTTCTTCTTTCTCATAGGTGTAGACAACACCTTAATCAAACCACATCCTACATACTTAGCACCATACATGCGTATAATTCAATCAGGCTCTATTATCACATAGGTGTAGATGACACTATTTAAATCGACACCTTCTTAGCACCATTCACAGAGGTTATTCTTTCACATAGGTGTACATGTAGATGGCACCCTAATTAAACCAACACCTTTTTAGCACTATGTCTTTCGCTGGAGTTCTTCTATCACCTAGGTGTAGATGATGCCGTTATCAAACTAATCTTCTTTCACATACAATTTAGGTTTAATTGTAGATGGCTCTACAATTATACCAACACGTACATGTACTTGGCACCATACATGTAATATATGTCTTTAGTGAGGGTTCTTCTCCATGTATCACATGGTGTACTGTAGATAACACAATAAACCCAAGCAATACCTTTGTTTAGTGTCTCACATGCTACATCTATAGAGTACCCAAGTGCTAGCGTCATACTCGCTCGTCGACCAGGTCAATGGTTCTAAGCAGCAGAGCCTGTGCATGAGGTTCACCGTGAAATCATTCCAGCAACGGGCTGGAGCAGGGCAAATTCAGTGTTTGGTACCGGTGTGATCACCATACCATTGTTAAGCATAAAGTTCTTTGGAACCAGCAACCTTGATGACTTGGCCTGTACGACCTCACACTTCGGTACTCTATTTGCTACAGATGGGATAGATGTTCTGTCACATGCCAAATGGTGATGTGGGGGTATCATCTAGCCACCTGTCTGCAGTGTTTGCTTTCATCTTGTGTCTCATCTCTCATAATTAGACTGTGCATGCTTTAAGAGCAATCTACTTCAGTGTGCTGTATTTCTCTCACTGCTCCACACTCCACACATGTTTAACCCATTGCGTATTGGAATCTTGTGGCTCCTGTATTAAAGCCTATAGGAATATGAGAATTCAGTAGTTAATGGGATAATGATCTCCATTCAAACCACAGCCAACAGTCCATTTTTGTAATGTAACTGAATACAGTGAAAACTGTCTATAAAGGCCACCCAAGAGAGATCAGAAACGTGGTCTTTATAGGCAGGTGGTCTTTAAGTACAGGTTCCTTTAGTACATGATTTGATGAGAAACTATTTCCAAGGGAAACAAAAAATGTGGTCTTTGTAGACAGGTGGCCTTTCTATACAGATGGTTGTTAAAGCAGGTTTGACTGGATAACACATACGTCTTTGTGAAGTGCCTCGATAAAAATTATTTAATTCAACTGTTAGGAATATTTGTATGTCAATAGTGAGAATACAAACTGCATTATGTGTTGTTAGGTAGGGCGAGCCATAATGTTTGGCCTACCTAGCAAAAATATTGTATGCAATTCGCATTCTGACTATTGAGAAACAATTATTTGTAAATGTGAATGAAATAATTTGTATTAATGCATTTAATTTTGTTATATTACAAAAAATAGCCTATTGGTAGCTTCCTTATATAGTTCTAAAACTTAACTGCCTGTCTCTCATCTTTGCAACCCAAAGCAAGATAATGAATCATAATGTTAGACGAGAATACTTTTTGTTTAGGGGGTATGAAATTGTATGAAGTAAAAATGTGAAACTATTTGTCTAACATTGCATTTTTTGTGGATACATATATCCATTAGTTTCGAGGCATAGCAAGGGCTATGGTTAGTCACTCTAGAAGATTCCTTACTTATAAAGTAACAAGTTGGCCATCATTGACCTCATGACCTCATGACCTCATGACCTTGTACAGTCGAACCTCAATATAAAGAGCTCTGATATCACAAGGTATCTGTTATAAACAAGGAGAATTTGCTGGTCCCTGCTCTTTATATCCTTTGTTTTTTTACCCTGATATAACAAGATTCCAGGGGCCTGTTTCATATAACAAATGCTAAATTTCTATGACAAAGTTGCTCTCAGCCAATCAGATGCCATGATTTCAGTAGCTTATAACAGTAGCTTGTAACTTGTTAATGATATCAAGTTTTATGAAACAGGGTCCTGATATAACAAGGTAATATCCATGGTCCCAAGGACCTCATTATAACGAGGTTCCACTGCATAGAGAAAGAAGATACTGCTTTGTTGCAAGTTGTCACGCTGCATGTAAGAGCAAGCAATGCTAGTGAGAGCTCTTTTATGCAGATTTTATTTGAAAATGTCAAAATCTTCTTTAAAAATGTAGTTTGATAGTCACACCAGTCAATATAGCGACAAGTTCTCCTTAAAAAAAAAATTACCAAGTGATTTGTCATAATCTAATGTTGTTATAAACCTTCATAAAGATGTCTACCATGTGGAGTGTATTGAATAGTGTGTATGATTAATTCATATCCCGAATCATCTGACTGAAACAAAATACTTTTGTTCTACTATTAGACACTAATACATTCGTAAGCATTTTCATTAACCATGCTTTTTTAGAAATATTCATTCATGTTTTGTGCAATTCCAATACGTCACAAGCTATTACTAATATTTTTGTACTAACCATGACTGTAACTCAGAAAATAAGTAAAATCTATATTTCAGTGAACTGATTTCAATTACCATAATTTATAATGAATCTGTACTCATGGCTTGTTATTGGTTTCTGATTGCATTTGAGTTTGTATGTAAAACACGTCTTTGCAAACGTCTTTCAAATGCTGCATTTTAGAATTTGTAATGATTGAAATCATGTCAGTAAGACAAGGAGAAACAAGTTTTAGAATACATTCCAGGTTTGATAAAATAATTAAGCTTTATCATTATAAGGTTCTCTTTCCATTCTCCACTCTTTGCAGTGAACATTAAAAGTATGATGTTTTATGATACTAACACAATATTTTCCTGCTTTATCTAGTAGTTTCATATGATGTTCTAACATTGTTACTGCAGTCTTTTCATTATGTTTGCAGGTTTGGTTTTCTCATAAGTCTCTGCAATCACATTGTTACTGTAATAGACCATTTCGTAGATCGATCTGCGCATGAGCCGATAAAGGTCATTTGTGATAAAATGTTAAAGCCCACCGAGATGAATACATGCTCATGTTATGTAATCATTATCAATTGTGCACCGACAGTACATTCTATAATACAAGACGGCACACAAAAGCTATTCATGAAGCACGTACATGACTTTGGCATTGATTTATTCTAAGATACACAAAGTGAGACTTCTCCATGAGTAGATCTGCATATATTTGGGGTCATTTGTACCATGTGGTAACTACGAAATGGTCTATAGATGTAATTTAGCAAAGTAAATGTGATCTTCATTTATGATGTTCTGTAGTTTCACTCAACCTGTCTCCAATTTTAACCGACATCCTAGACCTGGGAATCATGTTTGGCAATCACATTGTTTCTGTAAAAGATATAATTGAGCACAGCAGATGTGATCTTCATTTATGATGTTCTGTAGTTTAACTCAACCTGTCTCCCATTTTAACCAACGCCCTAGAACCAGCGAATCATGTTCGGCAAACCGATGGTCGCGACCACACCTCGCCCCACTGGGCTACCTGTAGCAAACAACAACACCCCTGATGCCTCGCCTGCGAATGCCAGCCGGCCCAGAGAGGTGCAGAAACAAACCCCCATCAGGAGGCCCCTGGGTACTGCGAATGCCAGGCACAAGAAGCGGGAGGATTTCCTCAAGGGATTGAACAAGCTTATAGAAGGTAGGTGTGCCTTTGTAACATCTTCAGAGTTCCTGGCTTGTATCTTGGTAGGACAAAGCCCTGAAGAACTAGGGAAAAGGGGGATGTTTGATGATCTAGGAATAGGTACATGTATGAGTAAGGGGTGGAACAAACTTATAGAAGGTAGGTGTTTCCCAATAACATCTTAAGAGTTCCTGGCTTGTATCTTTGGAGTTTTAGGAACAGGTGGGTCGTTTCATGATCTAGGAATAGGTATGTGGATCAGTAAGGGATCGAACAATCTTGTAGAAGGAAGCTGTGCATTCTGAATGCCTAGGACGGGCTCTTCAGAGTTCCTGGCTTGTATCGTGGTAGGACAAAGCCTTGAACACAACTTTTTTAGGGACAGGTGGGTTGTTTGATGATCTAGGAACAGGTTCATGGATGAGTAAGGGATTGAAAAAGCTTATAGAAGGAAGTTGGGCGTCCTGATTGCCTTAGACAAGGTCTTGTACAAAAGTTATGCAGGATGGGTGGGTCTGTAGAGCTCCTGCAGCAAGTGTCAGGGTTGGCAAAGGTTTGGAACTAACTTATTGAAGGTAGATGTGCCTTCCGAACATCTTCAGAGTTTTTGGTAGGACAAAGCCTTGAACGAAAATGTTTATGGACAGATGGGCCATTTGATGGGCCTTGACCACAGGTCTCGATGGGGCAATGGCTTAAACAGGGTTATAGATGTTTCTAGAACTCCTGAAGTGACTGTTCAAATTCTATCTCGATAAGTGATCAAAGAGCTGATCCTATTCCTACCTCTATTTAATTTATGGAGTATTATAGTTGTTAAAGTGGTTTTATATGATAAACTGTAAGCCATACACGTCTGAATGTTGCATGTGTAGTCCATATCGTGTATCTTGTACTACAGGTATTTTCCATTCAAAATGTATGACCGTGAATGCAGAACATGTCTTTATACCGACTTTATATATGTTTACACTATCACAAACGTGTAGCCCCCTTGTATGATCCCAAATCACACGATGAGCAAGCTAGCCAGGGTGAGTCACAACGAGATTAAGATCCGCATGCGAACAGGGTGATGCACTTTAAAGGCATTGTACGCTTTGATATGCTTTGATATGACCCTCCCAATACATGTAGAGGCACGATGGCCCAGTGGTAGAGTAGTGGTCTCGTAACCGATAGGTCCCGGGTTCGAAACGCAAGTCAATGCACTCTTGCCCTTTGGTAAGGCACTTTAAAGGCATTGTATGCTTTGATATGCTTTGATATGACCCCAAAATACATGTAGAGGCACGATGGCTCAGTGGTAGAGTAGTGGTCTCTTAACTGGGAGGTCCTGGGTTCGAAATGCAAGTCAATGTGCTATTGCCCTTTGGTAAGGCATTGTTCTTCATTACCAAGTCCCTGATCCTCATTACCAAGTTCCTGATCCTCATTACCAAGTCCTTGATCCTTATTACCAAGTTCCTGATCCTCATTATCAAGTTCCTGATCCTCATTACCAAGTTCCTGATCCTCATTACCAAGTTCCTGATCCTCATTACCAAGTCCCTGATCCTCATTACCAAGTTCCTGACCCTCATTACCAAGTTCCTGATCCTCATTACCAAGTTCCTGATCCTCATTAGCAAGTTCCTGATCCTCATTAGCAAGTTCCTGATCCTCATTACCAAGTTCCTGATCCTCATTACCAAGTTCCTGATCCTCATTACCAAGTCCCTGATCCTCATTACCAAGTCCCTGATCCTCATTACCAAGTCCCTGATCCTCATTACCAAGTCCCTCGAAGAGGACTTAAAGCCTTTGGTCTCCTGGTCTCTTACTTACTTTTGTGCAATTAACATTGGCATGTTAACGGGATATTCATGACCGTGAATAGACAGTTAGAGAATGAGGTTTGCAATTGCATGTGATCGGAGGCGATGCACTGCAAGTAGAACAAGAAAGGCATGCGAGTTTAGTTTTAGTTCAACCCGTATTTACAGTAGACTGCATGTTAGCAGGATATTTCTCTTTACTATTAAAGGCATATGTAGACTTTCATGGGGTTTTGTTTTGTTAGAGCCTTTTCAGTGAGAATTGAGTTATGAGTTTGATTTGATGATATTTAAGTTTATAGAATTAGTTTTAAGGCCCTAAAGGTAATTTAAAGATTTCAAAATTGATTTTATTTTCAGATTGAAGCAAGATGGTTGTGAATTAAAAGTGGTCGCTAAAGCAAGTTAGTTTGGTAAAAACACCATATTGCATAGTCGCCCTGAAAATACAAATTCTTTTTCCTTAACTTTTATTTTATAAATGAAAAATCACCCCTTTTTAAGTGACAGGTCAGCAGCTCTCAATGATTGAACGCATGTCTACGGTATTCAAAGAAACGAAGTTCCAATTTTATCAATGTTTGTTTTTATGAGTATGTATTTATTTGTTTCTTTCTATCTTTATATAGCATCCATGGACGGCTCTTTCCAGGACAACGAGCCTGTAAGTTTTAGTCCTTTTTTAAAATATTTTGTTCATTGTTTCCTGTGTTGCAAAAGGATTATAAAAAAGGTTGATTTTGCCTCTAGAATTGTTGAAATACCTTGCCCTTAGTTGCAAAAAGTCTTTAATATTACCTGGATATTCTTAAGATCCACTGAAAGAGAGCAAATAAAAAATAAAATAAATGCTAAGGTTTGTTGTCTAATGAGGTATCCAATAAGTTGTCAGGCAATCATTGAACCGACCAGTCAGCCAAGTTTTGTAATAATTTAAGTATGTGAAAAATTGAGTTGTCCTGATTTATGTTTCATGAGAATGTGACATATCAAAGCTTACATCAAAAAGTATTTAACAAAGGCCCTATTTCAACTAGCCACCTTTCTTTCTTGAGTTACAGAAAACATTAAATTTACAAGGAGTATGAATAATGTACTTGTTAACTGTAGCAAAAGTAAATTCAAATCCATTTGTGCAAAGCTCAACTAATTTGTATTAAAGGTAAAGACCAGTTATGGTCATGCGATTGCATTGTGAAAGAAACGTTGTAGAATCGATCAGAAAAGGTTGATCATCTAGCATCTAGCATCTGCAAGGTTCTGGAATCATCAAAATGATAAGAAATTTGGCCCAATCTTCGTAAAGTTACAAGCACTATACACAGAAAGATGTATATGGGACTACCCTATATCTCTCACAGACCATGAGAAAAACAAATTTACCAAATATATGAATTAGTAGGCGGTTTTCCAGCAAATTATGTATCATCATGTATTAGTCAAAACATATTATTTCACATGATTGGTAATGAGAGCTTCCATTTCATTTTTTGAAATTGGGGCGTTTCCAATACTGGTCTTTACCTTTAAGCATTTTTAAATGATTTGATTTTTGTCCTTCTCTTTCTTCAGAATACTCCCATTGACAAGTTGCCAAATAAAAAAAAGGATAACAAAGTAAGTTCATTTTTCACAGCATGTTTGTATGTAAAATAGCAATAGCCTATAGATCCTACCCAACGATATATATAAATCCTATCCCAGACTTGCCAACCGTTCCGATTCTAATGGAACCTTACGTTTTTAGATTCGGGGGAATCGGCTTTCTATAGGATCTATTCGATAAGTGCTGGAAGGATCGCATCGGGCAAGATGCGTGCATCGTGTACGCTGCGTGCCATGCTGATCTCTATTTAATTTGCAGCGTGTAATAAAGAGCTTGTGTGTGCGTATAGAGGGCCATGCATACTCCCTCAGCTATAGGCACCGCACAGCGTGCACGTGGCACGCTAGCATTATCATTCACAATGACAGCATGAATCTGGCTGTATATATATATATATATATATATGGGAGATACATATTTTGTGTGCAGTTGCTGCGTATGGTACATGATTTATGATTAATTACGGAACTTATGAGAAGGAAATCTGTCAAAATACAAGCAAAGATGAGTGTAAAAGTGTCAGCGAGATGAATTCAGAAGTACATGGCCCTTCATGCAGGAGCTTCTACCTCCAAATGATAAGAATCATAAGAATGACTTAAATACTCTCACAGTACTTTGAAACTATTAGTATGATTATGAATAATTGGTGATACCGGTAAGTGTTAAGATGTGCAAAACTGTTCATTGCTAGTTACCATTCTATAGGGATGACCCATTTAACAATTCATTATGATACAGTGAAAACTCAGTATAAAGTGATCTGATATCACAAGATTCTTGCCATGTGTAACAATGTAATTTTGATTGTCCCAAGGACCTCATTATACTTATTCTTGTCTCGCCTGCGTAGCAAAAAAGTGAGACATAGGCGCCGCTTTTCCGGTGGCGGCGACGGCGTCAACATCAAAAACTTAACCTGAGGTTAAGTTTTTGAATTTTTGATATACTTTTGAAAGTATAAGTTCTTAGTCAATGAAACTTGGACTATAGGGTAATTAAGTATCCCCAATCATGTGAGTAGAATTCAGGTCACTTAGTTAAGGTCAAAGGTTATGTTAGGTCAACAAACTTAGACTTTTTTGTGGCATCAACATCAAGATTTTGAATATATAGCAAATTTTCAAAAGTGTTTGTTCATATTCCATGAAACTTGTACCCAAGGGTTATCAAGTATCACAAATCATATGACACAAATTCCAGGTCACAAGGTCAAATGTCATTTTAGGTCAGTAGACTTGGAATATGTTTTCACAACTTAAAGATACTATGTCTCTTTTGCAGCCAACCTCAAATTCTGTAGAACTTTGCAGGAATTATGAATATGTCATGTATGTCCTATCTGTGAAATTTAAACGTAAGCAGTGTCCTAATATTCAAATTATGCAAGGAAACCTGTTTACTTGCTAGACTTAACTGGCAGACACTAATGTCAGTATTTAGTGACTGACTGGAATTTTCTTCTTCTTTGGTAATACCACACGTAAAATGAGCTGTAAAGGATCTGTATACATCAATAACCCACTTCTTGTAATGGCCAAAATTAAACTGATTGAATCTTTGCGCAGCATGAAACATACGACCATGCGGTACAATGGTCTGAAAATCAAGAATAATAGTCGTTATTTTCCCACTTAAAGACATTTTCAAACCACATTTTTTTAAGGGGAGTTCTAAATTAGTACTATCTTTCAAATGCCATTTGAATTTAACCTTTTAATTTTTTTGGCCTGCAAAAGGGACATAGTACCTTTAATATGAGAATATATGAATCAACTTTTGTTATTTTGTGTTGTTATTATTTTTTCATGATTCTTAGATTCACTTCAAAATGCTGATTATATTCAGAGGATTTCATTTTTTGGGGCCTGCTAATGGGCCACCCTGCCTTTAAATAATGTTTTAACCTCAATTTTTCGATTTGCGTAATGCAGACGGGAGCGCCAAGAGCGTTTCCCTTGTTTTAATTTTGTTTTCATTATATGCTGGGAGTTGTGGAGGTATTGTACAATTCACATTTCACCTGTATTTTTTCTGTATAGGGGGGTGTTTCACAAAGATCCTAAGTTGAACTTATCTCTAAGTTGGACTTAAAATTTATGGGAAGCCATTAGCATCCTTGAAAATATTTTGTAATTTTTTTTTTAGAAGGCATAAAATGTTGATTCAAATCATTCATATTTTCTATTATCATGGGAGATTTCATGTTCTTGATGTGGAATTGATGAAAAGTCTAAAATACTCCAAATTTTTGCTTTTGAATATATTTCATTCTAAGGCTCCAATGGCTGTCCATACTTTTTAAGTCCAACTTAGTGTTAAGTTCTACTTAGGATCTTTGTGAAACACTCCCCAGCCCTTTATCTTTTTAAATACAAATATGAATTGAGTTTAACCACTTTTATTTGATAGAAAAAACCAAAAGGCAAAAAGGGGAAGGATGGACTACCTTGTAAGCCGATAAAACCCGCTCTTGAAACGCTCATATTGAATGAGAATGGCGTTCCGTCTTTCATCGAACAGTGTGTGGATCGGATAGAGGAAGAAGGTAAGGTTTGATTAGGATAATGGGGATGGTGATGAAAGTGAGGAGGATGATTATGAAGATGATTATGATAGTGATGATGATGACGACGATGGTGATTACGATGATGATGATGAGGATGGTGATGAAAGTGAGGAGGATGACGATGAAGATGATTGTGAGGATGATTAAGACGACGATGATGATTACGATAATGATGATGAGGATGGTGATGAAAGTGAGGAGGATGACGATGAGGATGATTGTGAGGATGATTAAGACGACGATGATGATTACGATAATGATGATGAGGATGGTGATGAAAGTGAGGAGGATGACTATGAAGATGATTATGATAGTGATGGTGATGATGATGACAACGATGGTGATTACGATGATGATGATGATGGAGGTGACAATTATTAATGCGAGGATGGTGATGATGATGACGACGATGGTGATTACGATGATGATGATGATGGTGGTGACCATTATGAATGCGAGGATGGTGATGATGATAGTGAAGGTACTGATGTGTTGATGGTGATAATGATAGTGGAGGTACTGATGTGATGATGGTGATGATGATAGTGATAGTGCTGATGATGATGATGCTGCTGATGATGATAGTGATAATGCTGATGATGATAATGATGACGAAGATGATAGTGCTGCTGATGATGATGATAATTGTGAGGATAATATGACAACGATGGTGATTACGATAATGATGATGAGGATGGTGATAAAAGTGAGGAGGATGACGATGAAGATGATTGTGAGGATGATTAAGACGACGATGATGATTACGATAATGATGATGAGGATGGTGATGAAAGTGAGGAGGATGACTATGAAGATGATTAGGATAGTGATGGTGATGATGATGACGACGATGATGATTACGATGATGATGATGATGGAGGTGACAATTATGAATGCGAGGATGGTGATGGAAGTGAGGATGATCATGACGACGATGGTGATTACGATGATGATGGGGATGAGGATGGTGATGAAAGTGAGGATGATGATGATTGTGAGGATGATATGACGACGATGGTGATTACGATGATGATGATGAGGATGGTGATGAAAGTGAGGAGGATGACGATGAAGATGATTGTGAGGATGATTAAGACGACGATGATGATTACGATAATGATGATGAGGATGGTGATGAAAATGAGGAGGATGACGATGAAGATGATTGTGAGGATGATTAAGACGACAATGATGATTACGATAATGATGATGAGGATGGTGATGAAAGTGAGGAGGATGACTATGAAGATGATTATGATAGTGATGGTGATGATGATGACGAAGATGGTGATTACGATGATGATGAGGATGGTGATGAAAGTGAGGATGATGATGATTGTAAGGATGATATGACGATGATGGTGATTACGATAATGATGATGAGGATGGTGATGAAAGTGAGGAGGATGACAATGAAGATGATTGTGAGGATGATTAAGACGACGATGATGATTACGATAATGATGAGGATGGTGATGAAAGTGAGGAGGATGACTATGAAGATGATTATGATAGTGATGGTGATGATGATGACGACGATGATGATGATGATGACAAAGATGATGATAGTGATTAATATGATGATGGAGGTCATGATAATGAATGTGAGGATTCTGAAAGATGACAACGATGGTGATGCCAAGGATTGTGCTAATGAGGATGGTGATGATGATGATGGTGACGAAGATGTATGTAATTACAGACATTTCTGAAGACTGTTCTGATAGTTCACCATGAATACTCATACTTCTTGCAGGTATTTCCCAAGAAGGTATAATATGATATGATTTTATTGATTCGCTCATCAAGATGTTTGACGATAATCAGAACGCTACTCTGAACTTATTAGAGAACCTCATCTCCAACACAATTTAGAACTGGGCCCCTTCTTACAAAGAGTTATGATTGATTCAAATCAATCGCAAGTCCTCCAATCAATCGCATGTTTCTAGTTTACTACTGTAAACGTGATAATATTTGTGGTGCTATAATTTTCATGGATTTCGTGCTAAAGTCGGTGTCCGTGAATATTAAAACCCGCAAATATATATGCCTGACTTCTTATGCGTGTTTTGACGAGCTGAATTGCGTGCAACAGGAATTTTAGAACCCGCCAATACATTTTGGGATTGTCAGCGTGAAAAATTAATCACAAGAAAATACCAGCGTTTACAGTATCTCTTATGTACATAGTTGCAATCGCAAATAAGTTTGATATCAACTCTTTGTAAGACGAGTCCCAGATCAATACATATAGGTACAACATGAAAAACATTTCAAAGTGTGATTTTACCTGTCAGTACATCTCTGTTACTAGTGTCAGTAATGTCAGAACTGTCCTATCTCTTGCAGGTATCTCCCAAGAGGGTATATACAGGGTGTCCGGTAAAGCATATGATATCGAGGTGATCATCAAGATGTTTGATGAGGATCAGCTCGCCGATCTGAACTCGTTAGAGAACCTAAGCGCCAACACGGTCGCCTCCGCACTGAAGCAGTTCTTCAAGAATCTCCCGGAGCCGATCATACCCTACAGTACACAGGACAAGATGATTGCCGACTACAAAGGTAAGTGTAGTCCCTGACATAGGTTTCCATGCTGGTATAAAATGGTAAGTGTAGTCCCTGAAATAGGTTTTCATGCTGGTATAGAATAATAAGTGTAGTCCCTGACATAGGTTTTCATGCTGGTGGAGAAAGGTATTTGTTTTTATAGGTTCCTGATAAAGGGATCCGGTAACTTGTCTCAGATTCTGAAACAAAATCCTGGATTTAGCTCATGCTGCCATGATAATTATAAACCTTTAGGTCAGTCAGGAACCCCATGACTTTTACAATCCGATCACCTGTCTGATTATCAAGATATTTATGATTGGAAATCGAAACCAAATTTTGTGTTTGCCAAATGGTTTTCATAACACTACAGTCTATTGGGGAAAAAGAGTATGGTAAAACCGGTCACACACTGCATTACAAGCTTCACTATTCTTATCTTTTCACTATTGAGCAGATGTTAATAACGAAGATCTCTTTGTCGAGCGGTTGCCGAATACCTAATTAAAAAGAAAGAAAAAAACAAAACATTCGAGATTACGCCACATTAGAAGCTTGACTATTCTTATCTTTTCACTATTGATCAGATGTGAACAACAAAGATCTCTTGTTGAGCGGTTGCCCGAATACCTAATTAAAAAGAAAGAAAAAGACGAAACATTCAAGATTACGCCACATTACAAGCTTGACTATTCATTTCTTTTCACTATTGAGCAGATGTCAACAACGAAGATCTCTTTGTCGAGCGGTTGCCCGAATACCTTATCGGCCTGTCATCCGTCAAAAAGAATGTTCTCACCTACATGATGAGACATATGAAGAGGTATGTATCTAGAATGCTTGCGTTCACACTTCCTAGCTGTATGCATGTCGCATCCACATTTTTCATCCATCCATAATGTAGCATATTCATTGAGTAGTTGTATTCACACTTGTTTTCCAATTACATAACATATGCAGTGGTCGCATTCACACTGTGTTCAACTACAGGTGATGTTTCTGTTGGGTCATGTCCAGTGTATTTGGGCCTTTGTAGCACATCAAAATCAAAATCATGGTTTCCTTGATAATTTTGATGATTTGATAGATCCCGTCTAAAGAAGAGAAATCCCTGAATGCATATTTATACTTTCTTTGGTAATTCTGTTCTTACATTCATGCATTATATTACTTGTGAATGTATCATTGCATGATAATGATACAAATACAATTATACAAAAATACAATTCTGGACAAACCGAATTTCAAATAAAATTATTTCGTGTTAACGTGCCTTTATGGTATTAAAAGTGGTGGAAGTACCTTGATCTGCCTGAAAATCACATCAATTAGGGGATTTTAATGAGTATTCAGCCATATCTACCCATTGTTATAGCAATCAAAATGTCAGTATTTCAGAAGGATTTGATAATTGTATTATTTGTATTCATACCTAAAGTAGCAAAGCAATTCAAAAATATAAGGTTACATCCTGAACTTGATCAATAACTTCATAATAAATTCATATTTAAAATTGTTGAACATTGCATGCATGGATCAAGAAATATATAAATTATAGATTTTTTTCTGTTTTTTGTTACTGAGAAAACTAACATCATGGTGTATGAATTAATAACATTTGTTCACAAATAAAGAATACTGCTCGCAGCTTCATAAAAAAGAAAGGATTTACATGTATGCGCCCTAACACTTTTTCTTTTCGCAATGCTATCATGCATGCAGCACCCACTGAAGACAAAAACAAAACAATCCTAGAGACTTTTTATCAACATATCCACTTTAAAATTGTTTTTTTTTTTTTTTTTTTTTTTTTGTACTCCAAAATAGTCCCTCCATATTAATGTCATTGTCTCACCTGTTGTCAAAGTGTTTCATACAATTTGACATGTATGTGTACCGTAAAGAACAGTCCCACCCCCCCCCCCACCCCGCCCACGTGGCTGTTTTTACCGTTTAATTGAGTGGTCTCTTATTACTTTTCCTAATCATGCCATTTTTATTACATTGATCATCTTCCTATAACTGCTGCTTGACAAGTATACATATACATATTTTTTGTTTGTAAACATTATGTTACAGACAATGCATTTTTTTGTAAGAGTAAGCATTTTGATTGGTGCATTTCAGGGATATATTTGTATTCAAGTAATGCTTTTGAAGGTAATTTTTGTGAAGTAAAGTTAAAGCAAGTAATCACAATTTTTTTTTAAATTGGATATCATTCCAAATTTGACAAAGTTTTCCTCTGTTAAATGTATCCTTTTTATGTGTTACATTTTTCAGTTTTTGTAAAAATTAATGTTATTTAAATTGTATTGACTGATCAAATTTTATTTTTGTCAGGAGTTAACTTTGTTAAATATTTCACGGGATGTTAGATAGGAAATCTGATTTATCAGCAGAAAAGCTGTAGCTGCATGAAAATTCTTTTTCGTTCAACTTTATACCTTTCTTTGTTTACGTATTGAAGTTCTAGCATTTATGAATGGCAGATTCCATTATTAAGTGTACAAAAGTGCGCCATGGCATGAAATGCATGCAGTAAATCCCTATCCTAGTTGTTTGCTTATATGTAATTAGCATGTTCGTTTTGTATGTTAGTGAAGACAAATCCTATAGGTGATGTACTGCATCTTGAATATTTGGTTTTAAAGATAATATTATCCATTTCGTTCATAATATTCATACCATGTACACATGAAGGTCTAATATGCCCTACATGGAGCATTTGGTCACAAAATTTAAGCAAATAACAATAAAAGGTATGATGTGATAAGTTGTCAATACACAGCCATCAAATTAAATCTTCTCATCGATAATTTCAAAGAAATATTGAATTCGGAATATCATGCTATGAATAAATAGACAATCTCATAAATTTCCGATACTTTTTTCCGATTTCTTGAGACTTTTGATATGTTGTTTAGGGGAGCTTACTGAAATGCATTGCAGTGCAATAAATTATTTTGCAGTTAGTGGTGGGTTAGCCCCTAAATATCGCTAGATCAAATGGGCTCTGAGTACATGTATGTGATGGATCTAATGGATATTCATAACTATCTTCAATAGTTCGGGAACATTTCCTTCTAATGAATATTCATAACCAGAACCTTCAGACTCTCAAGTAGACTGTGCAGTTGGCATATGAGTTTCTTCTGGGCAGCATTTTACTCTTATAAATTAATGGTATTATTATATGCAAAATAAATGTGCATCTTTCGCGATGGGCGATTATGTTCGTATCAAAATACTGGCAATCTATGGAGCTCCTTAATTTTTATTAAATTATCTGATGTATATATTTATTTTTCCTGATATATATTTGTTAACCATATTTCTCAAAGGAAAATATTTACTTGACATCCCTGGAATTGTTTGTTGTCAACCGGGATTTGTTTATTCAAATTAACATTTATTTTCTTTCATTCAATTTGACAACATATTTGACATCTGTTCAAACAATACAATCTATACATAGGAGCGTAAATTTAATTTACCGGTAAGAACTTGTATAACAAGGAACAAGGCGCTAATCCCAGTTAACATGGCTTATTATTGGGTACGCCCAAATACACAAATACATAATATTTGACTGGTGCTATACTTGTTGGTGGAACAATATAACCTGGATTAATTGAATGTATCTTCCTGATATTTGTTCACTGGTGGCCAGAAAGGAGTTCCACACCCTTCCGGCCTTTAACAAATGATTGCATGCATTGTTCAACAATACTGAACGCCTTTAACTGAAAGACATTACCCACATGTTAAAGATGGTCATGCGTGGGTTTATAGTCGTTCATGAAGTAGGCAAGTTGGTGATCACTACATAACACCGAGCCAATGGCGTGCGTAAAAAGTTGTGTTGCCTTTTATATACCCATGCATGAGCGATTTTAATGTTTGACACATACATTTTTCTGTAGGACCACCTGGCTTTTGGAAGTAAAATTAATGACCATTGATCACTTAGCATGCAATATTATTCTTTGTTCCCTGTTGTTAAATAAGATGACCCTTCAACACACTGACACATGTAAAGAATGGACTATTCCATTATGTGAACATTAGTGACCATAATAATTTTTCAATCCTTATTAATTCTACTAGTAACACATCACAAATGCCTTCAATAATCCACCCCATTATTAAGTCTTATAACCCACATGCTTTAATACACCACCACCATGTGTACTATAATTTGGACTGTTCCATTATGCTCCATAGGATAACTCAGTGCTCGGAGGTGAACCTCATGACCGCCGAAAATCTCTCCATTTGTTGGTGGCCCTCCATGTTGCACCCGCAAAGCAAGTCATTTGACGACCTAGCAAACGAAGCACTCCTGTCGGCAGTCTTCAAGCTGATAGTAGAACACTCAGAGAGTCTCTTTGATTTCATCACGTGAACATGAGCTCACATGCGTTAATCCATTGACCTTTAACCTCTCACGTTCAGTTGATATTATAGTCAGCCTTAATTAACAACTGCAAGAATTAGATATATATGGTGAGGTTTTTCAAGCATCGTATCACTTCTCATCATGAGAGAGTCCGGTGTGGAGTCCCCCAGGGCTCAACACTGGGCCCATAAAGCAGCAGAATATGTGAATCTGTTGCCTTTGCTCTGTATTTGTTTTCACACTGTATCAAATGAAGCACCCATAGTTATATTATGTTATCCTGCACTACTAGAGGAGAATATCTGCTATGTCTTGTGAACGAAAGTACCCCTGGGTTGGTGACCGAGGGGATAACTAATCATCGGTTTCCTAATCATGGAGTTTAGTGCTCTGTGTACGTGGCACAAATGGTGGAAGACTGCACTTCTGATCAGGCTGGAGGACTGCTGCTAGTTTTGTGGAAGGAGAGTTTCAGCAGAGTAACCCAAAGCTTTGAGATGACGAGCGTGCCGGAAATCGTCACTGCGGCTTCAGGGATAGAATGTTTTAATGGTGTCCATGTAAAGGAAGGTTATTCTGAGATATTTGGAGCATTTTGGCCATGTCAACCAGCAGCTGTCAGATGTGGATAGATGCGACGATGCGAACCTGAGCTTCAAGGAAGACAGTATCACCAATGAATAGCAGGGGCTTGATGCAGAGAGCGATTGCGTTCACGGATACAGTGTCACCACCACTAACAGACATGTTATTAAAATATAGTCTTGAGCTTCAGAAACTTATGTTGCGAATAACAATGCATCATCATCATCACCATCATCATCACGTATGCACCCACGGTCACTATCTCATAAGTCGATCTCGAGTGCCGTAGATGAGACATCTACTAACCCTATTGCTACGCCATGTTCACATGCGAGCAATCATCTCTCATAGAGAATATTGATATGTTCAAACTATGTTCAGTAATACTGTAGTACCAGGGGCCTGTATCATAAAATCTGTCACTCATAGTGACTTAAGATGATTTCATATAAGCTGCTGAAATCAGTGTTCTTGTTCGGCCAATGGCAAATTCATTATAGCATTGTGGTAGTTTTTATTATTAATAGGTAGTTTGGTTAAAATTCGGACCCGATATCCTTAGTGATGTAAGTTACTCTCTGTGTTAAGATGGTTTCTTTCAAAACACCTTTCATGAACAATCGCAAGATGAACTTTATGTTGTCGGGATGGTGGTGCTAAATTCAAATTAACTCTTCTCTTTGAAAGAAGGTTTAGAGATTGAAGGTGTCCAAGGCCTATGGTTTATAAAGGAATTGTATTGATGTATATATGATTAAACAATGGTAACAGTTCATATAAGTTCTTGCTTAGAGCATCTGTTTATTGTAATTTAGCAAACAATGTATTTGTTGACTCTTCAATGCAATTACGTAGTGTTGTGAATTAATTTGAGAATATATGAGCTCAAGCCTTACAAAGATTTCAAAGGCAGTTTTTTTCTGTTTCAGTTATTATGAAGATGATATGCCTGTTCATTGAATGATCAACAGGTTTGGGGGTTAAAGAAACCAGCATTGGATCTTGCTTCAGAAGCATATGACGTTCTATACATTCCCAGTTGTGTAGATATTGGTTTTAAGGTGAACAAAATCTATACTAATGTTCATCTCAAAGGTATTTCTTTTTATTAAAAGTCATGGTTATGACTTTGTTTATTCTTTTCAAGAATAGTATAGGTCCCATGAAAGATCCTTGTGGCACACCAACATTGCCTATGAAGTAAAGCTTAAAATACTGCATTCAAATTATCATTCGGTCAAATAGACTATACATGTATCAAGCATGACTTGCTTTAATTGCTTGTCTGAGGGCTTTTCCCCTCTGTCTCTACCACATTCTACTATTTTAAAAATATATTTGTTTAGAACCTGATTTTCTTAAAATTTATACAGTGCTGATGTATTTTCCATTTCCAAGTTGCTTATTTGGAATTAGAATATTTCAGACTGGTTTCGTCTCTGAAAATTTCAATGGAATTTATATTATTTGAAATAGATTACTTAGGAATGCTTATTGGTTTTTATTCCGTGATTTCTAGGAATTGAAGTTTCATCTTTTCCCACCAATTTCATTTTTGTTTGCATTCCTTAATGTATTTTCAACAATCATTTTGTTTAGAGTGGAAGGTATTGTTTAATATATCTCTAGTAGATCAATGTTAGGGTTGGCAATTACTTTTTTGGAAACTAGATTTCATTCTCAAGGTGTATTAGACATCACTGCTTCTCATGGCATACTCATACTCCATTTCATACCAGACGGTAGGCATTCATTAATATCATCATAAGCAAACCTTTCTTCTGCTTTCCTTCTGTCATTACAGTACCAATCTGTTTCAATCTCGACCATTAGCAATACACACCCCCAGTAATAGAATGGAATCAACCAACATAGCTTTCCTCCTTTATAACGTGGCAATTCCATTTTAGAAATGGGGTGAACGATGATGCACCTACCTGTAAGGTCATATGTACCTACCTGTAAGGTCATATGTACAGTTTTAAACAATATAATTCAGCCCTAACACTCACAAGTCTTTATTTCTTCACATTTCATGTCTCATAAAATGGAAGCACCCACGTACTTGATTATCCTCACTATTAGATGAAGATCTATTGAATAATGATCATTTATGCATTCAGTGAAATCATTGTATATTGTGTCTTTTCTCTCCATTTTTATGTTTAACTGTACAATATTTTACCCCATTTATCCAGTATGGTCTTTGTAGATGGGCTTTCTTCATAATGTTCTCTCTTGTAAGAACAAACATCAGCTCATCATTTAGGGTCAAAGGAAGAAAAATAAAAAAAAATCTGGCTTAATCTGTCGTTCTTCTATCATATTTGTATTGGGAACCTAGGGCTTATGCTAATGCTCTTATTTATTTTATCTGCAAACTTTCTGAATATCTGTACATGTATATTGGTAGAAAATTTGTTGTATCATTGCTTTAGCTTTTGAAGGGTAATATTGGAAAAGCTGACAAAAGAGATTTCATAACATTTAGTAATGTCCGAAGATATTACTAGGCCAATGGAGTGAGTGGCTTTGGTACTTTGGCCTAGGGATTTCATCCGTGCTCGGAGTCATCCATTATTCATAAGGGGGGTTACAGGCTATCATTAGGGAACACACAAAAAATTTGGGCATCATCATCACCCTCGTGTGGCCGTCCCTTGCTAACCTCGGTCATTCCATTTTCTCTAAGGGGGTTTTATGGCATCAACATGGAACCAAAAATAGAGTTGATAATAAAAATAAAAACAAAATAATTCACTATTACATAGACACATGTATACTCTCATGCGCTTTGGTGACAAAACTTGCAGTGCTACAAATTGGTCTTTAACAAATCTTTGCAGACGGTGACAGATAGGGCTTCTCTCATAACAAGTGGGAAATTTTTCAAAAACTTTGGTGCGGCGCAACTAAACAAATTCAATCTCCAAGAGTTAACTTTGTTTTAGTATCTGATGAATTTGTAGGAGCCTGTGAACTTTGTTTATTACATGAATATGGATGCAATTTCAAAGAGAATTCAATTCAATGGGCTTAATCATTCAAAGCTTTGTATGGAAGCTAAGTATCTAAAATCAGGGATGCCAGTTGTCAGGCAATAATCTGAAGTCATGCCCTGGCGAGTTATTTTCAGACCATAGTTTAGGCTTTTTTTAGTACAAAAATGCTCATTCTAGGTGATTTTCAGGCCCTCTGATCAATTCTAACTGGCATCCCTATTAAATGCAATTCTGCTTTCTTTTTGAGACGCAACCTGGCATGCATGGCAGCCCCATGCTCTTAAACTAGGATCGTTCCATTATTCCCATAAGGTGATTGGTCATCATCAGGCTTGAAGAAAAATTAAAGTATATTAAATGCAATTCTGCTTTCTTTTTGAGACGCAGCCTGGCATGGCAGCCCCATGCTCTTAAACTTGGATCGTTCCATTATTCCTCTAGGGTGACGGGTCATCAACAGGAGAACAAAATGAAGGCCGAGAACCTTGCTATATGCTGGTGTCCGTCCCTCCTGCAGGTCCCCCCGGAGGACTTTCATACCAAGTGGGAAATACTGATCCGCATCCTCCAGCTCATAATGGAGAATGAGGAGAGTCTCGCTGGTATCACCGATTGATACCGCCACCAGGTTTTCAGTAAACTCTTTTAGGGCTGGTATCACCGATCGATACCGCCACCAGGTTTTCAGTAAACATTTTTAGGGCCGGTTTCACCGATTGATACTGCCACCAGGTTTTCGTTAAAGGGCCACTCTAACCAAAACTGACTAAAAAAATGAAAAAAAGACATGTAGAATAATTTTTGATGGAGATTCTGAACATGACAATGATTTTTCTTAGAATTCGTCAATGCTTCTGGAATCTAGCTTTAAAGGCACTATACAACCTTAACAAACTGTAGATATGTCACATGCATACAGCAACATGAACCCACAAACAGTAAACATCAATGAATTAGTAATATTTCTCTTTTTGTTTCCTTTTATTTTAATATCAAGTACAATGTATTTCTCTAAAAACAAGAGCCTGTTACAAAAAATTAAAGGAACACTTGACGAAAGACATTATCACATGCCTAGACCTCACAGAACAGCTCTATATCTTCAATATCCAGCCAAATCACCAACACCGGTTGGTGCCGGTCCTGACGTGGATAGTTAAACTGTACTATGAGTTTCTCTTTTCAATCTTGTCGGGAACTGTCCAGTGGGTTGCTCGATCCTGGCAACTCTTTCGATCTTTTGTATCAGTAGCTTGTAGTATTGCACTTTCATGTCAAAAATTCAGTTTTCCAAACATTTCAAAGAAAATTATTTAGCAAGCCAGTGATTAAAATGTTTAAAAGGAAACATAGAGGGCTGATGTCTAGTTACTGCACAGTGAGGATAATCGCGGGCCGTGAATTGTAAAATTGAAAGAACTGAAATATACTACTCGCAACAAAACTATTACTGTAGAAAGTTCCATAAAGGTCAGGTCAACTATTTTTGCTCGGTTGGCAAATGCTTCAGTGTCTACTTCATCAAAGTATGGAGTAAAGGTTGTAATTGGGATTAGGTTTAGGTTAAGGCTGAGGGTTAGGTTAAATGATAGACTTGGTCAAGGGTTGGTGATAGGACATTGGTTAGTGTGGTACATAAAGAGTAATTATCGTACGAACGTGTGTCGTACATCCCGTAATCTCATGCTAATGTGGATCGTTCCATTATTCCTGATATAGGGTTACAGGTCACATTCAACCGGTAGTCTCATGCTAATTTGGATCGTTCCATTATTCCTGATATAGGGTCACAGGTCATAGTGAAGGAAACAAAATGAATGCGGAGAACCTCATGATATGTTGGTGTCCCTCCCTCTTGCAACTATCGCTGGAAGACCTGCGCACCAAGCTGATGAGTCATACCCGCATCCTCGCGCTCATGGTAGAGAATGAGGAAAGTATAGCTGGTATTGTTGATCTATAACAAGTTACAAGCTACTGTTATAAGCTACTGTTATAAGCTACTGAAATCATGGCATCTGATTGGCTGAGAGCAAATTTGTCAAGTTGATGAATCGTACCCGCATCCTTGCCCTCATGGTAGAGAATGAGGAAAGTATCGCTGGTATTGTTGATTGATACCGCCACCTGGGCCCTGTTTCATGAAACTTGTCATCGGTGACAAATGACAGTTTTTGTTATAAGCTACTGAAATCCTTGCCTCTGATTGGTTATCATCAGATTTGTCACTTATTTTTTGTTTTGTCATTGAAAAAAGGGTTTGTGACACGGGGCCCCTGGGGGGCTTTTCACAAAGCTCGTCATCGAAGACAAATGACAGTTTTTTGTTATAAGCTACCGAAATCCTTGCTTCTGATTGGTTATCATCAGATTTTTCACTGATTTTTGTCTTTTGTCATTGAAAAAGGTTTTGTGAAAAGCCTCCCAGGTCTCTCTTAGTTTCCCCTCCTTCTCGATAGCACATTAGGAGAGCATTTCCAATATCGATGCTCGATACGTTTGCAGGTTCAGTCTTTAAAAGATAAAGTTTAGTTCTGCTCTTACGTTAAATGCATTGCAAAATAAACTGTGTGGAGGTGATGTGAAAAGGTTGATCATGTAGTAGATATTAAAGTGTTGTTGTACACTGTGAAGTAAGGAATTATCAGACAGATAAGAAATTGGCCCAGTCTTGCTGAAAATTACTAATAGAAGAGGGTTTTGGTCTACTAAGACACCATTTTTTTCACCAAGTTCGGCCAAGTAAACATAGAATGAGATTGAAAAAAGAAGAACAACATAAATAATATTTTGATTAAAATTGGGCCTTGGCCACATATTTTCACCCACTGGCAATCCAGTGACTAAAAGGATTTCTTAGCGGGGCACATGGAGAGTGGATAGCTATGCTCACAGGGCTGTGACTCCCACACTTGAGAGAACTGAAATATACTGTTTCCAAGCAGACTCTTACTATTACTATTAAGTTTCATCAAGGTTGGATCAATGCAGAAATGTATGAGGGAAATATAACATAACTTTGTTATTCATTTTGGACGAAACATTAAAGTTATAGAATTGATATGAGTACCATTCACAATGTGCTAAATAAAAGAGATAAATATAAAACTAATTCAACCACCCTTAAATGTACTTATGATGCAAAGTGTGTACCGGTAGCCGAAAAAATGACTTTAGATTTGAATACAACTTTTGTCATGCAGTGCATGCTACTCAATAAGAAATAGAATTGAAGTTGGATTTAATTAAAATAGGGACTGTTACCAGCCAAATAAAACAGATATTTATAGATGCCTTACTTTGATTAAGCTACCAACATGTTTAAGTGATAAGGATTGAATAATATTCTTTTGTTGTCAGTGGAATTTAGTTAAAATCGGTGAGTTGAAACAGTCGCCTGTTGTATTCATTTCAAGGGTAGAAAATTGTTGCTTGTTATGTTACAATTTTAAACCGGTGTACCTTATGCAAGGTCATGTACATGTAACCAGTAGAGAAACGAAGTGCTAAGGTCATAATAACTTGTCGTCCAGGTCACTGGTTCCAAACAACACAGCCTGTGCATGAGGTTCATCGCAAAACACTTCAAGCAACAGACTGGAGCAGGGCAAATCGGTGTTCGGTACTTGACCCTGTTTCATAAAACTTGATATCAATAACAAGTTACAAGCTACTGTTATAAGCTACTGAAATCCTTGCTTCTGATTGGTTGTCAACAGATTTGTCACTGATATTTGTAATTTGTCATTGAAAAAAGGCTTTGTGAAACGGGTCCCTGGTGTGTTCACCATGCGATTGTTCAGCACAAAATTGTTTGGAACCATCAACCTTGATAGATCGGTCAGCATGACGTCACACTCCGATACTCTACATGCATCAAAACCTTATGCTTAGCTATTCATATAGATACAATGCTGCCAATTAGAAATATATGAAAATTTCAATTAGTTTGATGTTGCATTTAAAGAGAAAACAGATTCTAAACAATTTTATTCACCACACTATGTGGATGTAGAGATTAAAGATGTGACAACATATTTTGCCCTTGTTAAAAGCTCATTGTAGCGCATTTAAAGCGTGCAAGACCGACATCGGATGCAAAGTCCATCAGTCTTGAAGTGAGGAATGTAGAATGGTCTATTTACAGCATAAAGTGGTACTGTCGTTTTCAAAGTTATGCATTCAGCAAAGCACAGTCCAGAGGTGATCGTTGGGTTAAGTTTTATACTGCAGCACCAAAGACAGTGAGACAGTGTGCAAACTCTTTGCTGTATTCTACTTATTCAGATAAACCGTATCCTTGGTCTAAGAACTTAGACCTGGAACTGACTTCCTTTGTTGGACCTGAATTTTTAAGAACTGCTTAAACCCAGTATCAGAGTTCAATTGTCGGAGAATACAGACACCTGGGGGTGTTTCACAAAGATCCTAAGTTGGAGTCGGACTCAACAATTAGGGAAAGCCGTTAGCATCTTTGAAATTAATTTTTAAAAGTTATTTTAAAGATTCAAATCATTCTTATTTTCTATTATCAAGTAGATTTCATGTTCTTGATGTGGAATTTATGAAAAGTCTAAAATACTTCAATCTTTTGCTTTTGAATATACTTAAGGCTACAAATGGCTCCACATAATGTTTAAGTCCAACTTAAAGTTAAGTTTGACTTAAGATCTTTGTGAAACACCCCCCTGGGACCACAGAAATTACAGTGTCATATCAGGGTTTTAAAACTAGCGAATGTAAATAATTGCGACCACAGTTCTTTATTGTTAGAATGAGAGCTTTATTTAGCACAGTGCTTTTTGAATTTCATTTTGTTTTGAATGAACTGAGTTGGCATTCAGAAAACCGTAAAAAGAAAGTCGAAAAAAGGACTTGTACCAATATTGTACGTATTCTATGCCATTGTACTTAAACACGACATGGTTTCAGTGCACACAAGGTTCTTTCAAGAAATGAGAAATTGTATTTCAAAGCAAAAGATTTTACAAGTCTTACTTCAGGTTTGTAAGCCAAGCAAACATGTATTATGTTTTCCAATTAAAAATATATGATTATATTTTCTTTCTGTTGATATTTTTGCTTTTGTGTGGAGATATATTTCAATGAATTGCCTTGCTTTCATCAAGTTTGTCTTTTCTTTAGCAAGCTAGCATGTTAATGTTTTCAATACTCATATTTTTAGGACAATACATGCCAAAACTTTCATGAAATATCTCTTTCATCCTAATAGCACTAGACTGATAGTAGACTGGGGGAAGAAAAATGGTTTTGAGCCGGCTTCGAATCCGGTTTGAGCCGGTTTGGCAGAATGACTGTTGTGTTAGATTCTTGTCACAATCAGATATTTAGTGGAAGTAAGAATGTAAATTGACCTTCCAAAATATTTTCAAAACATAACCATTTTAGAGGGTTACTCTTTAAGTCTTATTAAGTTGAAGATAGAAATCTGTAAGCTGTTCTGTTATGACTTCTCAACGAGTGGAACTGATTAGATGCAGGGGGAGAGGAAGTTTGTTTCACTTATTTTAGTCTTTTAAACAAAAATTAGTAGTGGTAATTATTGATTATTGATAGATATTTCTAGACTTTGCTTTCTTTCTGAAATACTTGTTTTAAGAAATCACCTGAAGTGACTGTGGGGAGAAGCTCCACTCCAGTTTTCTTTGAATTTTTCCTCCTATTTAAAACAAACTGAGATCTTATATTAATTGATATTCCTAAATCTTTCCTGAATGTTTCTTTCTCTGTCATAAAATCCTTTGAAAGGCAATATTGTTGTCCTTCGTTATGTATTTGTCTTGGGAGTTCTTTTAAAGCAGCAACTTCTTTCTTAAAAAGAAATTACCATATATATGTTGAAAGTCATTTAAGGAGTCTGTAGCTGGTGTTGAATGCAGGCCTTCATTGCAAATCTTTCACAATGATATTTCATTTATTTGCTTTCATACTCTGTGAGCACTACAGAAAATGGTGTGTTCTGTTGTATGAATGGATTTTGATTTTAACCACTTTTTTGATACAATTCTTTTAGGGACAAGCGACATGTAGCTATTTAAAACCCCATGTTTTAGGTATATATGTTCAAAATTGTGCTTATATAGTAAAATGTAAATTTGTGTCATAATCTATTGCATAGTATGTTAGGGCTTGAGGTGTTTTGTTTCTTGTATGTTTTGGTAATGGTTATGGAGAATTTTGTTACCCAATATCGCAGCAAAAAAGTTCAAAAGGTCAAACATTCAAAATCTGTTTTTTTTTTCCCGTTCAGTGAATATACTTTCTTACTTTGTATGCCTAGTTAAGCAAAATGCGTTAAAAATGTTCAGTCAGCCCAAATATTTCCAAGAAGATAATGTGAAGGATGACTAGGGTTATGTGGTAAGAATTTTATTTTTGTTTTCATTTTTAATGGTTCTGTAAAAGAGACATATATATATCAGGAGAATCCTTCGCTATGTTCTTATCTTTATACTTCTTGATTTAATGTCTATTTTTAATAATTATAACCAATTGTCAGATTTATGAGATATACATGTATTAATCAATACTAGATGTTTTAATATGATGTCTAAGTAAGTAACCTGTTTTTGCATTCAATCTAGAAAACTATCCATGATATGTTAAGTCGTTCTATTTCGAGATATATAATGTGTAACTTTCCTTACCGACGGTCGTTTGTTATTAGTATACACAGATAATGTGATACTAAGAGAGGTTAATGATGTGTTAATATGGTGTGGGGAAAAAATGTATGAAATATATATGATTCGTATGTAACAAAACTTATAATGAAACTGAGAAACGTCTGTCATGTGTGTTATGTTATAGTGTGTACCTTCGAGAATTACATGTACGAAATCAGTAACGTTGATTGTTGAGCGCGTGCGTATGTGCGAGAGGTATATGTGATGACATGTGCGTGTGCGTGTACGCTTGAGCGCGTGTGTGTGTGTGTGTGAGCGTGTGTTGAGTCTAATGGCGCTTGTGTGAATTTGGAAGAGCTAACACCGTCGTTGAATGATAACAAGCGAGAAACGGGAAGTTTATTCAATTATTATTTTTTATCAGGAATACCTGTCAAACTACAAACAACTTTTTGTTTTAAGACCCTGCTGTATGCAATTAATGATAATAATAGGCCTACTAATCTGCTTTTATATAGCGCCCAATGCATAAAATTACATCGCATAATATGGTAAAACGTGAGATATGCAAAGCATGATTAAAGACATAGTGAAATATAAATATGAGTTATGAACTTTTATGAAACAGTAAGAATAGTGAAATAAATGAAATAAAATAATGTAAGATATCCCTATTTTTCCTATTAAATTATAAATCACTCGATTTGCTGAAGATCCACAGCCTATACTAATTAATTTTCTTTCTTACCCAAATTAATTGCCTTCCAACACCCAGTCAAAATTAAAAAAATATCTGCAAGAAATTATTCCTAATAAGGATGTTTGTTTCCTGATCGAAATCTTTAATTAATTTCGATTATACGACATGCTCCGCCTTTATTTTCAAAGGGCGTTATTCTGTAAAAATATGGGATTTAAAGGGCAGTCCAACCCTTGTGATTTAACCATAAACTGTTAAGAAACCCGAATAATGGTGAAATTAAATGAACTAAACTACAATAAAGTAGGATATTAACAACAATTTTGTCTATTAATTTGTAAAACGATCATTCATTTGCTGAAAATCCACAGCCTGTGTTAATTCATTTTCTTTCTTGCCACAATTTATTGCCTTTAAAACCCCGTCAAGATTATTAATGATAATAATAAATGGATTTATTCAATCATCATCGCAGCTCGAGAGCTGAATTACAAATGATTTTACAATAACAAGTGCATGAGCTTAATTACAAATGGCGTAAAACAGAAACAAAAATATATCTTCATAATAATAATAATAGAAATATCACATTAGAACAGGAAAAATGTATCTATCCCCTTGAAAGGGAAGTAGAAAAGGAGAAGCCGAGTTCTTTTTCAATAATATATATAATAAAGGGCAATCCAACCCTTGTGATAACTTCTCAATGATCCTCAAGAAAGAAGAGAAACAGAAGACGAAACATGGAAAGTTTTTAATACATTAGGCCTATAAAAAGGGACTTATGAATGTTTGAAATTAGGCCTATGATAAGGGACTTACGAATGTTTGAAATTAGGCCTATGATAAGGGACTTACGAATGTTTGAAATTAGGCCTATAATAAGGGACTTATGAATGTTTGAAATTAGGCCTATAATAAGGGACTTACGAATGTTTGAAATTGGGTATATAATATGGGACTTATGAATGTTTGAAATTAGGCCTATCATAAGGGACTTACGAATGTTTGAAATTAGGCCTATAATAAGGGACTTACGAATGTTTGAAATTGGGTATATAATATGGGACTTATGAATGTTTGAAATTAGGCCTATAATACGGGACTTATGAATGTTTGAAATTAGGCCTATAATAAGGGACTTATCAATGTTTGAAATTAGGCCTATAATAAGGGACTTACGAATGTTTGAAATTGGGTATATAATATGGGACCTATGAATGTTTGAAATTAGGCCTATAATACGGGACTTATGAATGTTTGAAATTAGGCCTATAATAAGGGACTTATCAATGTTTGAAATTAGGCCTATAATAAGGGACTCATGAATGATTGAAATATGAGCTCTCTGAATCAATGTGAATCTCAAATTGACAATTTGGTCATTGGATTGTGACGTTGCTACGGGACAAGATCTCCCGTTTTTAGTGGGGAAAAAAATGTCACTTTTTTCCAAAGTGCCTTCTCACCTTTGGGTACTACTATTTGGATGGAATGTCATTACAGGGTCTCTTTTTTGGGGAGAAAAAAAATCAGAGACACTTTCGTCACAATGACATATTAATCGATTCAGCAAATTTCAAGTGCCCATACTTATTGCCCCGAATACACAAAGGAGGTTTGTCGACAAACCTTGGTTTTCGTGCGTCATATGCGTCATATGACGCGTTTCGACGCGTTTCGACGCGTTTTTACAAACCAAGTTTGTAAAAAAAAACGCGTCAAAACGCGTCATATGACGTACATAAACCTCGGTTTGTCGACAAACCTCTGTGAATTCGGACCATAGTGATTGCAAATTGCCAAAATTCCGAACAGGTCTTGAAGGGCTATTTTACTACACAGCCTATTGTCTAACATTTTAAAATGATTGTCTGATAATGTATTATGTTTTCATTTCACAAACTTCAGAAGATGATCCCTAGGGCCATTGAAATTGTTTCAGTTTGATCTTTCGAAAACCTTCGCAACTGTGCTCTCTCTGCACTATTCCTTTTATTTCCCGTTACTCCCTCTTTATTCTGAAAACCACGTCATATTATACATATTACATACGTTTAAAGGGGAAGTCCATCCTGATATAAATTTGGATTATCAAAAGCAGAAGAACGAGAGAAACATAATAGTGAAAGCTTGAGAAAAATCCGATTAGAAATAGGAAAGTTGGGAATCTTTGAAGTTGTCATTAGTGAAACACAAATATTGGCAACACTGTGACGTAATTGGCAACACTGTGACGTAATATGCGAACTCCTAGCTGTAATTCGCTTCGGACAGGAAATTTCATAAACTATGTTGTTTTTTGTTGTTGTTATTTATGAAGGAATATAGTTGTTTCATTCAAGGGTTGAAACACATTTGCGGTAATTGTATTTAGGGTGAATGTATTATTGAAAATATTTTTAAAGCCCAAGTCCACTCCAAAATTAACTTACTTTCAAAAGAAGCAGAAAAATCAGACTAACCAATCAAAAAAAAGTCTGAGCGAAATCGGATAACTAATTACAAAAATGATTTTTTAATGACATTAAAAAATTGGAAAATCACTAGACAAATTGGCAACTCACTCATGAGTCTGTGACGTCATGTCCTCACTATCCACTGATTATTTTCTTTATATTGATCTTATAAATTTCCTATTTTCTCCTTAAGAATCCTTTTTCTTCACACCAGCATCCAAGTTAGATTAATAGTAATATGTTTTTGTGTGGATGCACTAACATAGAGTAATTTTTTCCAGTTAAATCATGAAAAATGTGAATTTTGATAAACTATTTATATTAAAAGCAATAATTATGAATATATAATATTCAGAAAATAGTATAAATGCTTCAAAGTTCATAAAATATTCTGTGAAGTGTCATGCACGCAATATGATACAAATAATATAACCTGGGCAAATGCATGGGGAAATCAAGTTTTGGGGAATAAAAAGGGAAATTAATGGGATTAAACCATATAGAGCAATTGATAAATAGTGAGGACATGACGTCACAAACTGATAACCATCTTGTCAATTTGTGTCGTGATTCTCATTGTTCCATAGTTTTACATACTTTTTCAAAAATTCATAAATTTCTTATTAGTTATTAAAATGCCTAATTAATAAGACGTCACATTGCCTTAAAAGGGCAGTCTACGTTCTCGTCGTGCAGAATCTAAAAGTCCCTATTATAAAAACGAACATGATTTGCTAAAATAAAAGAAACATCATTTTCAGGATACCATCCCTACGCTGTCATCAAGCGGGACTGACTACTTATAGATACTTGCGCCCTCTATATATTGCCAACAATGCCTAAGCGGTACCCGTTGATCCCCCATGGTCCCCTATTTTTCTTATTATGTTAATTTAGAGCTGATTTGATGAGATAACCACCTGCCAGTGACCACGCAGGGATTCCTAATCCCTCCTGGCCAAACTAGTGCAGATAGGTTTTAAATAATCTTATCCTCGTGTAAGTGAGAGAAATTCTTCTCTAGTCTTAGCGTCGTCTTTGAAGGGCCCCTCCATAATAGATGTGATCGTTTTAGCTTCTTTCTGTACTCCTCTCAGCGTCATGCACATGTGTCTATGTGAAAGGGGTTTAAAAAACACAAAATATCAAAAAGAAATTGAAGAACGAAATGGGAATGAAGAACAAAATGGAAATAAAGAACAACAATACGGCTCGTATAAAAAAGATTTCATTGAGAAATTAAAATTCATGAAAAAAATATTAAAAAATAACTAATTTAGTATAAAAACAGAAATAGTATTGTCTACGTACACGGATACACGGACGGCTCTAAGAGGGAGATGGTGTCCATCATTTACTAAATGCAATTAATCAAACGCAATTTGATGCTGAAAAAACGTTGGCACCGACGGATTTTTGATAAAATGTGCAGTTGTGCCCAAATTCCCAGTTATCTTAATGCAAACTTTTGCAAAAATACCAAGGAATAAGGTAATTATTTTTTAATTTTTGAGTAAATATTTATTTATCTCATATGAACACCTCTCAATTGATAAAACTTTTTATTATGAGTTTGAAGTAATAAACCTGTTTACTATCATAAATCATTGTTATTGTTGTTTGTGTTGTCGTATTTGTCTTTATTATTGTTCTTATCATTATTTTCATAATTTTATTCATTTTTATATATTTCTTTTATTGTTATCTTCAAATTTTTAAGCTCATGTGAACTTTTTTTTTAAAGTATAACTTTCCTTTTTTATAATCCTTTGTGAACTGAAAGTTGACAATGATCCTCCTTGATTTGATTTTAATTATTAAATTGATTTCAGTTTTAATTTGAATGAAGTCATTACTTACGTGGCTTCGACGATGACGCCCACACCAGCCGGATCAATAGCCTGGACTACTGCGAGGGCTATTTCTTTAGTCAACCTTTCTTGGGCTATGGGCAAGGATAACAAAGTATTGCAAATTCAGATCGCACCTAACCACTTAAGCAAAACAAAACAAAATTGTGCAGGAGCTGTAACCGTTGAAGAATAGTACTTTGTTAGGATAGTACATTGTTATTATTATTCTTTTTTTAAATTTTTATTATTATTATTTTTTTAAATCTATATTTTAAATTATTTTTTATTCATTTTTTATTATTTTTTTTATTCATTCTTTTTCTTCTATTTTGCCTTTGTGTGTGTGTGTGTGTGTGTGTGGGGGGGGGGTTGAGGCATGGGGTTCTTGTGGTTATTTGTTTGCAGGCACCCTTTTTTTAAAATAAAACAAAGTTGAGGGGGGGGGGGTTCGACTCCCTGTGTCACGTTGTTAATCTCCTGCCTCATCAACATTTTTACCCAGTAAAAGCCGGCTGCCAAAAATATGTTGCGGTCGAGAAGTGGATTAATGTTTCTCCAAAAACAAGAAGTAGATGAGAAAAAACAAATACAGCCGGGCTGGGATTCGAACCCTCATCTCTTGAATTGATAGTCAAGGGAATAGTAAAAAAAGAAAATGGTCAATATCAAACTAGAGCTTCGGTACATACCTTGGAGTCTTCTGCTGTACATCTCGACTATCCTGGCAAAAACAAAGAAATAAATATAGTGTTAAAGGTAATACAAAGTCTTGGTATTGGGTCATGAAATTGGTGATCGTTGTCGCGGTTGAAATTGAGTCTAAAGTTATAAAATTGTAAATAATAAACTCTTGCTGTATAATAAACTGTATAGCCCCCTCTCAAGGTCAATGTTGCTTGACTAAAATCGACCAATTAGCTATTCCCGTTTGGAATTTATATATCACAACTACATATTCTGAGAATTTCATGGTCGCAGCTACCATTGTACGGCCGTAGGCGCTATTTGAAACCTATCAAAATTTACTGGGAGCACCGGTAAATGGTTATATTCAATTTTTTATCGAAAACAGAAGTGTTTTAGGGGCTACATTTTCCAGTGCTTATAATACATCCACATGGGCATCCACAAATATCAAAATTGTAAAGAATCACTATCCACCCAATTTTCAACATTTCCCAAAACTTTGTATTACCTTTAAACAATACGTGAGGAACACAATCACAAACAGCCTGCCATGCTACAACCGCAAGCCATACTAATAAGAATATATTTAAGTAAGGCGCAAATCCACTCGTAATAAAAATACTCAAGGGTTACTAAAAGTGCAAAATAGGAAATGACATAAAATTACCAATGCACATAGATACAACATGAAAAGGAAAGGAGTTATAAAATTAGGGAAATGATTAATTGTCGGTCAAATCAAAACAGATCCAGTTTTTAAATCTTTAAACAAACAAAAATGTCAGTGTATTTATTATCTAAACTTTTGTTGAATATCAACAATCTTAAACGCGTATAGCAGAGTACAACATATTTACAGTACAATGAAATGAGAATAATGATGTTTTTCAAATATATTAACAAATCTCAACTTGCACTGCATAACTCTAAGTGGGCAACCACACGTTCACCTACATACAAACTACTGTGAAACATCAAGTTTTGATGACTATGTCTTGTATTATTTCATGACGTGAAGTATGCGATGCGTGGATCAAAACTACAATAAATCTGAGTATCGTCTGCATAAAGATGATACTGGAGACCATGGCGTTTGATGATATCTCCAATAGGTCGGATGTACGTCGTGAAGAGCAGTGGCCCGATGACTGAGCCCTGTGGAACGCCGTATCATGTGTAATGAATATTTCCCCTTCACATAGTCACGTGAGGAACGTCCAGTGAGATGCGATATAAACCATTGAAGGGCTGTTTCCTTTACTCAAGTCGGAAATCTTGACAGCAGAATACAATGATATTATATGGTGTCAAATAATTCCTTTGATATATGCTCCAATGTAAGTTTTCCGTTTCCAGGATCGCCATTAAGTATCATTTTTGCAATTTAACCATTACAGATAAAGCGTCTTTCTTTCTGTCTATTTCTCTTTAACATACTTCTTCAAAAAAGTGAATGGGGGGTGGGGGGAGGGGGGGTGTAAGGTCATTTTTTGGGTCACCCTTTAGCACACACAATAAAAACGTTTTAATTTTTTTTTTTTTTTTAAATTAAAACAAAAGTCCCGAGTCCCGCCGTTCTGCGGGTCCTGCTTTATGTGTTTTTGTGTTGGCGGGTGACGTACAGGCCTTAAAATAAGTTTACAAGACCGTCAATACTACTGGGCCAGAAGGGATTAGACCACACAGCGAGGTCACTGACAAGTAGCTATCTTATTAACTCAGCTCTCAACTAACATAAGAAAAAGAGGATCATGGGGGACCAACAGGCACCGATTGGGGAAGTTCTCTATATAGAGGGAGCAAGTAGCTACAAGTAGGACAGTGGGGTTTTAATACTGCAGGTAACAATATATGCCGATGACGTACAGGCCTTAAAATAAATGTACATGAGGAAAAGTTGTGGTCAACCATTTGTGATAAAAAAATATATTTAATACCTTGCTATTTTGCTTAATCCGAGCACACTCTTTTTGGGTAGATAACCAACAGAAACCTGAGAATAAAAAAAAACATACAAAAAACTAAAACAAAATACGAAAATAAAAAGAAGAAGAAAACATTCTAAGCATTGACAACGCGAATTTATTTACGTCACAAATACTTTGGACTTTGGATAAAAAAACAATCATACTCACAATTTTTGGTAATTTTGGTTTTTGGTTCAATAGAACAATGCCTCCGTCTTATACAGAATTGCGATTGGTCGAACTTAATCGCAAGTTTGCCGTCTCTTATCTCTTATATACATACTTGCGATTTATATCAATCGCAAATAAGTGGCGATTAATATAAATATTAATTTATAACTATTCATATGATGGGGCCCAGGACTTCAAATACTATATAGCTCAACGTTTTACTCTAAAATGTTTCCTTGCCTGTCAGCACATGCAAATGGGAAATGTTTAAATAAGATTGACCCGAAATTTTTCGGGAGGGGGTAGAATGAGGCAAATCTTTGAAAATCAGTCTTTCCGGCGTCTAAGCATTCATATCCAGACTCAAGAATTCTATAAATCCACCACCTGATACACCACTGGCGAAATAAGTAAACTATGACCTGTATATTTATAAACAATTGGCCCACTTAACCGACAGCTCGCAAGACCGACAATGCCGGTCTTGGTGTCATTCTAATCAGTTATCTAAGGGTGTACGAGAGCGGCGGCAAACAGTCGAGAAAATGTCTGTCTCGCAAGATTTTTAAAAGTGTATCTGAGATATTAGGAGAGCGACGGCCCATGGAAACTGACTTGTTTGTGGATCCCGCAGGCCTTCTGATAAAATAGTTTTCTTATAGTATCTGAGAGAACAACATTGATGTGTCAGTCTCTTGGGTTATCGGTCTGCAGGACCGCCTCTCGATCTACTCACCTTCCCAACAATGGGCAAAAGATGGTGCTCACATAGAGAGAACATCTCTATGTCCCTGACTACAACCATCCCGTCATGGTCAGCCTCAAATATTGCACCATTCAACACATCTGAAATCCAAAATGAATATTGCACCAGAAGATAATATTGTACCACTCAGCATATCAGAAATTCAAAGAAAATATTGTACCACTCAGCATATCAGAAATTCAAAGATAAAATTGTACCACTCAGCATATCAGAAATTCAAAGAAAATATTGTACCAATCAGCATATCAGAAATTCAAAGACAAAATTGTACCACTCAGCATATCCAAAATTTCAAATATAATATTGTACCACTCAGCATATATGAAATTCAAAGATAATATTTTACTACTCAACATATCAGAAATTCAAAGAAAATATTGTACCACTCAGCATATCAGAAATTTAAAGATAATATTGTACCACTCAACATATCAGAAGTTCAAAGATAATATTGTACCAATCAGCATATCAGAAATTCAAAGACAAAATTGTACCACTCAGCATATCCAAAATTTCAAATGTAATATTGTACCAATCAGCATATCATGAGTTCAAAGATAATATTGTACCACTCAACATATCATGAATTCAAAGAAAATATTGTACCGCTCAACATATAAGAAGTTCAAAGATGATATTGTACCACTCAGCATATCAGAAATTCAAAGAAAATATTGTACCATTCAACATATCAGAAGTTCAAAGATAAAATTGTACCACTCAGCATATCAGAAATTCAAAGAAAATATTGTACCAATCAGCATATCAGAAATTCAAAGACAAAATTGTACCACTCAGCATATCCAAAATTTCAAATATAATATTGTACCACTCAGCATATATGAAATTCAAAGATAATATTTTACCACTCAACATATCAGAAATTCAAAGAAAATATTGTACCACTCAGCATATCAGAAATTTAAAGATAATATTGTACCACTCAACATATCAGAAGTTCAAAGATAATATTGTACCAATCAGCATATCAGAAATTCAAAGACAAAATTGTACCACTCAGCATATCCAAAATTTCAAATGTAATATTGTACCAATCAGCATATCATGAGTTCAAAGATAATATTGTACCACTCAACATATCATGAATTCAAAGAAAATATTGTACCGCTCAACATATAAGAAGTTCAAAGATGATATTGTACCACTCAGCATATCAGAAATTCAAAGAAAATATTGTACCATTCAACATATCAGAAGTTCAAAGATAATATTGTACCACTCTGCATATCAGAAATTCAAAGATGATATCGTACCACTCAGCATATTAGAAAATCAAAGATAATATTATACCACTCAGCATATCTGAAATTCAAAGATAATATTGTACCGCTCAGTATATCAGAAATTCAAAGATAATATTGTACCACTCAACATAATAGAAGTTCAAAGATAATATTGTACCACTCAGCATATCATGAATTCAAAGAAAATATTGTACCGCTCAACATATCAGAAGTTCAAAGATGATATTGTACCACTCAGCATATCAGAAATTCAAAGAAAATATTGTACCACTCAGCATATCATGAATTCAAAGAAAATATTGTACCACTCAGTATATCTGAAATTCAAAGATAATATTGTACGGCTCAGTATATCAAAAATTCAAAGATAATATTGTACCACTCAGCATATCATAACTTTAAAGAAAATATTGTACCACTCAGCATATCAAAAATTCAAAGATAAAATTGTACCACTCAACATATCATGAATTCAAAGAAAATATTGTACCGCTCAACATATCAGAAGTTCAAAGATAATATTGTACCACTCAGCATATCTGAAATTCAAAGATAATATTATAACACTCAGTATATCAGAAATTCAAAGAAAATATTGTACCACTCAGCATATCAGACATTCAGGGATAATATTGCACCAATCAGCACATCTGAAATCCATAACAAAAACTCCAGACTCCAGAACCTTGCAGTACACACCAATACTTATTTGATTCATGGTCAACCTTTTCTGATCGCTTCCACACCTTTTTCTTTCACAATGCAATCGCATGACCAGGGGGTGTTTCACAAAGATCCTAAGTCAAACTTAACTCTAAATCAGACTTAAAACTCATGGAGAGCCATTTGTAGCATTAAAATAAAATATATTCAAAGCAAAAATTCAAGTATTTTAGACTTTTCATAAATTTCAAATCAAGAACATGAAATCTCCTTGATAATACAAAATATGAATGATTTGAATAAAAATTCTATGCCTTTTAAAATAACTTTTACAAAATACTTTCAAAGATGCTAACGGCTTTCCATAATTTTTAAGTCCAACTTAGAGATAAGTTCAACTTAGGATCTTTGTGAAACACTCCCCTGAGCACAACTTTATCTTTAAGAAAGGATTACGTTTCATTATTTAGGATTGTGATAGGTCTTTATGTACCACGTTTACTTTGAATGTCAGCGACCCGTTTCACAAAGCCTTTTTTTAATGATAAATTACAAAATTCAGTGACAAATCTGCTGATAACCAATCAGTAGCAAGAATTTCAGTAGATTATAACAATAACTGTCTTCAGTGGCAAATTACAGTTTTTGTGAAACGCCCCCTCCCCCGAAAGATGCAATATTTAAAGCTTATTAGGAAAATATGCTTTTCGTTAAGTCTTCACCGTTCGACATCTTTGAATTTTGCAGTGAGCCGACCGGATTTACCTTCAATTTGGTCCTGATAGCCTCTGGTAAAGAACATCATGGCCTTCGCCGCTCGATGAGGGGTCTTCTTCAGATCCTCTCTGTCGGGGTCCTCGCCGACAGCTCGAAGGACAGACCGGTAGGCCAGCTCCAAACCGGGTAGCTGCCTTCCAGAATCTCTCCCGTTTGTCTCCGTAGAGGTGTAATCTCCGATGCCATTTTTGTATAAAATACCACCATCCATAGTTAATTTTTCAGTAGATGATGTCGTAAAGTGGGCACTTTCCAACGCCGTTCTGTGTGCGGAAAGAGTAGAGCCTACTACAGCTTCAGCTGAAATACTCATGATTGTTGGATATGCTTTCAGATAAGCATTGAAGGAATGAATTGGATCTTTACGCAATAAGCTGGCTTTTAAAGGGGCATGTTCCCTGTATTCCAGAGGGCGTTCAAAATACGTACGCGCTGGCGGACGGTACTATAGCTGCCAATCGACACCAACAGAATACGGCTCTTATGCAGATGACATGTTCCGATAACTACACTGGCGGGAACGTGCCCCTTTAATAGAGTTGGGAAACGTGCAGTTCATGGGCGAGGTCCTTGCCCATTTATGGTAATATATAGTTATTGTGTATACAAAAACTGGCCTAAAAACTGAATTATTCACATCCTAACCCAGTTAGAAGATGAGGGTAGAGCTAATTTACTTAGTTAATCAAGTGCCATATGGTCTTCCCTGCATATTTACAGACGTAAGTCAAATGTTATAATTTTGCTAGTGAGCCTTATGGAGAAAATTAAAATAAAAAAAATTGAGTTTGTTTTCGTGTGATAAAATAATATCTTGCTCTCGATATTACAATATTGGACTCATCCAATATTCTCATAACTCGAGCAATATATTCTTTATCACACTCAAAGCCATCCATCACATTTCACGTTATTCAGTTTTATATATACTACATTTCACATTTTACTTCATTCAGTTTCATATAATGAAATGCATTGATTCACTTAGTTGATGGTAGTAGCTTGTAAATTAACAACTGACTTAATTGAGAAATGAAATTAGTATTACACGTACCGTACTTTGAACCAGTTTTTATTTGTATTTATTTATTCAGTCTTCTTAGAAATGCAGGGTAGACCTTCAGAGCCGCAAGGCCTGCTTTTCAAGGAAGCCACGTCGGCAAGTGATAGATTTCATGGTAAAAATGACTACAACAAAATAAAACACGTACAAAATACATAATACAGAGTTATCTACTGCTAGATAAATTAGGTACGTTAACACAGCACACGTTTCATTTTCAAAAGACGAACTACATACATCCTGGGGGTGTTTCACAAAGATCCTAAGTAGAACTTAACACTAAGTTGGACTTAAAAATTATGGACAGCCATTGGTGCCTTAAAATGAAATATATTCAAAAGCTGAAATTCAAGTATTTTAGACTTTTTATAAATTCCACATCCAGAACATGAAATCTCCTCGATAATAGAAAATATGAATGATTCGAATCAACATTTTATGCCTTTTACAAAATAACTTTTACAAAATATTTTCAAAGATGCTAATGGCTTTCCATAATTTTTTAGTCTAACTTTGAGATAAGTTCAACTTAGGATCTTTGTGAAACACCCCCCAGGATGTTTACGCACTAAGCTGGCTTTTAATAGAGTTGGGAGACGTGCAATTCATGGGCGAGGTCATTGCCAATGATTTATGGTAATATATAGATATTTTGTAAAAAAAATCTGGTCAAACAACTGAATTGTTCATACCCCGACCAGTTAGAGAATGAGGGTAGAGCTGATTTCCTGTAATAATCAAGTGCCATATGGTCTTCCCTGCATATTTACAGACGTAAGGCAATTTTGTAATTTTGCTAGTTAGCCATATGTAGATAATAAAAATACAAATGTTGGGCTTTGTTTTCGTGTGATAAAATAATATCTTGCTCTCGATATTACAATATTGGACTCGTCCAATATTCTCATAGCTCGAGCAATATATTCTTGTATTACACTCAAAGCCATCCATCACATTTCAAAGTATTCAGTTTTATATATATACCACATTTCATATTCTACTTCATTCAGTTTTATATAATGAAATGCATTGATTCCCTTATTTCATGGTAGTAGCTTGTACATTAACAACTGACTTAATGATAAACGTGAGTTCTGGTAAAAAAAAAAAAAAATGAATTCTCACAGAATCTAACGAAACTTACACTGAATGTTCAAGATTACAAATAAATGTCATGTGCCAAACAATTTCGGAAGAAAATGTATACTGGCTGAGTAATGAGCATAGAAAGATAAAGAAATCAGGGTAGTACTAGCCCCGACACCATGTGTGTTGTCCCATATACATCTTTCTGTGTAAGTGATTTTTACTTTACCAAGACTCTGCCAAATTTATGATGATTTTGATGACTCCAGAACCTTGCATTTAATACACACCATTACTTACATGCTATATGATCAACTTTTCTGATCCATTCCACACCTTTTCTTTCACAATGCAATCGCATTACCAGAACTCAAGTTTATCTTTCATTGAGAAATGAAATTAGTATTACACGTACAGTACTTTGAACCAGTTTTTATTTGTATTTATTTATTCAGTCTTCTTAGAAATGCAGGGTAGACCTTCAGAGCCGCAAGGCCTGCTTTTCAAGGAAGCCACGTCGGCAAGTGATAGATTACATGGTAAAAATGACTACAACAAAATAAAACACGTACAAAATACATAATACAGAGTTATCTACTGCTAGATAAATTAGGTTCGTTAACACAGAACACGTTTCATTTTGAAAAGACGAACTACATACAATTCAAGCTTGGTTAAAAAGAGCCAATGCAAGGGCATATAACTATATTTATCAATTAAACAAAACAAGTTCAATTCGATTGATATACTTGCACTGATACAATAAAATCAAACAAGATTTAAAACACACTAAAAGATACAAATTCATAGTCAGACCGTAGAGTTTTAAAGAAAAGTTTAGCTAAAAAGAAAACGGAGGTTAAAGTGGATTGCACATTAGAAATAATAATAATAATAATGATAATAATAAGATATTTGTATACCGCAAATTGCAAATTGCCTCTAAACGGTTTAGAAGAAAATAGCCGATAAGTAAAGAAATACAGCATAACGCAGTATAAATGACAGTTTAACAAGACTAAAAGATAAAGATACCATCAAACAAGCAAAAGAAACAAAGTCAAACTAATAGGTGATAGGGCTTTTTTAAGCCCAAACCTGGAACTCCTTACCCTGTGTATTATAAAATTGTCATGTATATTCCATTAGCTTTCAAGCAGTGTCTTAAAACACATCTATTCTCTATTTCTATTAAAAATCCTCTTTGTTTGTATTTAACGTATGATTCGTATGGTAATACTGTCTTTCTTTCGGTGTTCATATGTATTTATGCGTTATGCGTTTTTTATCTCATGAAAATGTGCCTTATCAATGAAATCTTCTTTTTTTTTAATATGAAGGAGCCTAACTAAAAAGATAAACTTTTTTGTTTTAACTGTCCAAATGGGTAGACAATTATGTCGAAGTTGTGGAAAGAACAAAGCACCACATAGAAGATAAGGTAATTAATAAGTATCAGCAAAGTCTAATCATCAAATAATAATATTCAACGAAAAGTAAGGAATGGAAAAGGTTAGACCTGTGGTAAGTTCCTAGCGCTACAGAATGAAATCTTCAGACATTTTTAAATTTTGCAAAAAGAATAGTATAGAATTTTTAATAGAAATACACAAATTAATGAACTAATACATAAGATACTTCCACTACAGTTAAACTTCCTTTCAACCCTTCAGAAAAGTTATGAAAAAGTCTAGCTTTAAGCCCCACTGCCTTACTTGTAACTACTTGCTCCATCTGTATAGAAAACAATGCCTAAGCGGTGCCCGTTGGTCACCCATGATCCTCTTTTTCTTATGTTAATTGAGAGTTGAGTTGATGAGATAACCACCTATCAGTGACCATTACGGAGACATGTTATTTGAGCATATCCTCTCACCCATCACAAAAAAAAAACAATTAAAAACTTTTATCTCACACCCATTACCCACCACAGCAGAGAACACTTATAATGCAGTATAATACTCATTCAAACTTAACATATTAACACTTAGCATTATCATCAATACAATACGTGCTGCTTAATACCACAGCATAGAACCAATATAATGCAGTATACTCATTTAAACTTTACATATTAACACTTAACATTATCATCCATATATACATATATGCTGCTTAATACCACTGCACAGAACCAATATAATGCAGTATGATCCTCATTCAAATTTAACATTATCATTCATAGAATACATAATATACCACTGTCAGTGCTTCCACTCGTCAAATAATATTTCCTTACATAGAACATTAAATGTCCTAAAATTTGATGGAATTTCCTTAAGCCCCACTGTCCTACTTGTAGCTACTTGCTCCCTCTATATAGAAAACTTCCCCACTCGGTGCCTGTTGGTCCCCATGATCCTCTTTTTATTTTGTCAGTTGAGAGCTGAGTTGATGAGATAGCCACCTGTCAGTGACCTGGCTGTGTGATTTAATCCCTTCTAGCCCTGTATTGACGGTCTTTTTTAGTTATTCAAAATTTAAATACAGCTTACGCGCCATTTTTGTTAGATTTATAACGACATACGCATTTTGTTGCACCAGAATATCAAGATTCAAAATTAAAATTCACCCTCAATTCAGAGGAATTAAGTAAAAAATGTACATATAACGGTAGAAATCTTATACTTTTACAGTATTCCCTTACATTACTTTTGGGTTTCTTGATTTTTCTTCAATTTCCTTGGATTTCCTCAACATTGTGAATTTCCTTGACACTTTCAAAATTCCATAAATTCGACTCTGGGTATAAAATATGCCATTAGCTCCCCGGTAAACGAATACACATATATTCTAAAGTTTTCTTTTGTTTCATCTACACTGCAAAAACAGTGGTGTTAAATTCAACACCATAGGTGTTAATATTAACACCATTCCGGTATCTATATCGGAAAACACCAGTTGGTGTTATTTAACACCAAGGTCTGGATTTGAATGATTCAATTCTACTCTTGGTGTTGCAATTCAATTCTATTTTTGGTGTTAATATAAAATCCTACACCATTTTCTGGTGTAACAATGAATCTGATTTCTGGTGTTATTTAACACCACCGCCTGGAATGAAATAATTTTAATTCTACTCTTGGTGTTGCACTTCAATTCTATTGTTGGTGTTATTTTACACCAATTCTAGAATTAAATAGTATAATTCTGCTCTTGGTGTTGCAATCCAATTCTATTTATGGTGTTAATATAAAATCCAGCACCATTCTTCGGTGTTGCAATAAATCCTATTTTTGGTGTTATATAACACTAAAGGTCTACTACTTTTCTACTCTTGGTATTGCAATTCAATGCTAGTCTCAGTGTTTAAAAAACTCAACACACCATTCTTTCAACACCAACAATTCATTCCAGCTCACTCCATCTTAACACATGCACAGAAAATATTCAAATACACACAAGAAGTGAAAAGAAACAATTTTTTTTCGTAAACAAAAACACATGGTGCTTGTTTAATCAATAAATTAAACAACTTGTTTTCATTCATGTTGAAATCAATGATGCTTAGCGTTTTTATCTTGTATGGTTCAACATTAAATCCTTTTGTCATGTATTCAAAATCTGTGACTCATTTGTCTGAATACAACAAAACACACCTTTTTAAATCATTCAAAATCTGTTATTATGAATCCACCCTTATAAGTAAAAAAAAAAGGATGAAACAAGTAACTAAAAATCATTCAAAATCTGTTATTATGAATCCACCCTTATAAGTAAAAAAAAAAAAGGATGAAACAAGTAACTAAAAATTTTCCAATATAAAAACTTTAAACAATGTCATAATTCCTTTCAAGGAATGAAAAATCAAAGTCGTTTCTAATAAATAGAAACTAAACAGGATGCAAAATGCATGTATAAATGAAGACAAAACAAAAAAAAACAACAAACATTATGCTTCTACATCAGAGTGAATTATGTAGCTAATAAGAATTTTGACACATTTCACCTTGAATCCTAGTACATGCATGCTGAAGGAAAATATCACAGAATCTTTTTCATATGAAATATACAGAGTGCCCCCCCCCCCCCCAAAAAAAAAAAACCTTGGAAACTGCTAGTATAATCTGCAGGCAGACTCTCGGCTTCGGTTTTTCGCAAGTTTCGTAGTGCATATTTCAGAGTCTGCAGTCAGAGACTACTTTCACTCATATCATGATCCCTTAAAGGGAGCATAACTGTATGTGTATATGTAGTCTCTAAATGCAGACTCTACATCGTGCACTATGCAAATTGCAAAACCGAAGCCAATGGTCTGTGCCCGCAGACTAATTATAGTATGACTTTAATTTCTTATGCTAGAACAATAGCAACACTAACAAATCTCATCCAGCAGTTTTGTTGAACAAGATTTTTTTACCACAGGCCTGCAACCATTGAGATTCAGGATGATTTAATTATTTCAGGGGATTTTTATCTCCTAGCTTCACTGCTTATAAAGGGTTAAACAAATGTTTCAAAAACATTGAAAAAACACTATAAATTCTACATTCATTCTAATATAGGTGAACATTCTTTTACAGCTTTCTGTTTACAAACATATTCCATTTTACATCGTGCACTATGCAAATTGCAAAACCGAAGCCAATGGTCTGTGCTCGCAGACTAATTATAGTAAGGCTTTTTAATGTCTTATGCTAGGAAGCAGCCTTCAAGAACAATAGCAAAACTAACAAATCTTATCCAGCAGTTTTGTTTAACAAGATTTTTTTTTACCACAGGCCTGCAACCATTGAGATTCAGGATGATTTAATTATTTCAGGGGATTTTTATCTCCTTCACTGCTTGTAAAGGGTTAAACAAATGTTTCAAAAACATTAAAAAAACACTATAAATTCCACATTCATTCTAATATAGGTGAACATTCTTTTACAGCTTTCTGTTTACAAACATGTATTTCCCATTTTACTCCTGGGAGAAAAAATCAAAAAGTAAAATTATGCATTTCTATATCAACTAATTCGCTGCTCGTTTTTCCAACAGGATATAAACAACAACAACAAAAATCAGTCCATGCACTTCTAGTTCACTGGCTTTCATGCACAAACATCATAGAATTGTTTTTCTTGTAAGAAAAAAAAAGAAAATATACAACAGCTATTTGACTTCAATTTGGTTTCGAATTAACCAATTTAAAGATGTTAACAATTAAGAGTCCAAAATATTATTGATCAAAATTATTTTTAAAACCAATTGATACCACTAAGCAAAACCAGACATTAGCTTGAAAGCTTTAAATTACTTAAAAAGTACATGCCTTGGTGCTACATACTTCCTCGAGTCTGTCTTCGACAAAGTTGTCATCAAATCTAGTGGTTTGTAGTCAACAAGTTCCTTTTGATTCTTCACTACATGACAACGTGGAAAACTAAATTCTACTGCATAGGCATGATAGTGTGAATTGTAATACACTGTATCTAATTGGACAAGTACAAAAAATACAGTGCTATTGTGTACAATGATATGCTCTATTTGACCAAACAGAGGAAGCTCGCTAACATCATGGCAGACCAGAAGTGACAACTGATAATGCTTTCCATGTACTTTAACCCAGTTGGCATCAAATAATTCAGTAGAAAGATCCTCTACTTGGATTTGCTCTTGCACAATCTGTCCAATATTTTCATCTAAATCTGACAAAAGTAGTGAACTACCTGGCCCAACCTCCAGATATTCCAAAGGATGGTTTGACTGAAGATGGAACGTGCTGTCTGATGTTTTTTGGCAAGTGATTTACAAATGTTTTTGTAATTACGCACAGATTCTGCAACACGGCCAAAATAGTGATGTTTCGCTTCGTACCTCATACACCATACATGTATGAGTGGCCCAACTTCTCTCAAACACGTTGGATAATGCACCATAAAGTGGTGTTTTGGCAACAACCTTCTGTCAGGAAAGGTTTTCTGGAAATGTGTGTGATGTTCTTCAGTAAGAATAGACAATTGGGCTATCAAGCCTGCTGTCAATTGAGGAGCAAAAATAATGTCCATACAATCTAGTAATCTAAGTAGCAATTCCCAGTAGACATTTCCTTCTTCAATGTCTTGAGCAATTATGAATGGCAGATTTCGAATCAAGCACCATGCTTGCATAGCCTTCTGTCCAACATCATTCCTAGCTGACCTAAGTTTAATAAAGGATGGTTTGTTCTTGTTATCTGTACGGTTTAAGCAATGGCTGGCGACTCTCTGATTCAGTTCATCTTGGGACAAGAGGGGCGGTTGCCTTTCATATATGAAATACTCTAGAACAAGTTTCAGCTCATACTGAACTATGCCTTCCAAAAGATCATGCATTATATCTAGTGAAAAGTTTGCCAAGACATGAAAGTAAATACAATCATTCAATACAGTCTTTTGTTTCACTCCAAACACATGTGACTGGGTAGTTTGAGCTTCAGCTTCTTCTAAATGTTGCTCATAAGTCTGCCTGGTGCGCATATCCATTGAAACCTCTTTGAATTTGTTCTGTGCCTCTTCCTTACTTGTAACACATAATCGACAGTAATAATGAGCAGAAAAGCTCTCTACAAATCCCAGTAGGGAATTAGCACCAAGATTATCAGCACTTATTTGAGTAATGGTCCCCTTCTTCACAATTCCATTAGGGAGAGCAATGCCAACTGTTGACAGGATATTAATGTCTTTTACAATGTGCTTGAGAATAGCATTAAATCCATATTTCTTGGCATCTTCAGCATACCATAGAGCTATAAGATTGATATTGGAAAGATTGGAATTATACTTTGGTGGCAGATTTTTCAAAATGAAATATAAAGCACCTATCTTGTGAATTTTTGTTTTTGAACCAATGGGGTTCACAGTCTCGAAATCATCATAAAAACAGTGAATTTGGAGGGCATTCTCATCTTCATGGAAAAGAGGGGTTTTCTCAAATTGTGAACCATCACAATAATCTCTCATTACACCATCTGTGCTCTTATGGTCATGAGTAGCAAAATGCAATATATCTTTATTGCTTAAAAGCTGCTTCAAAGAATCTAAAATGGGAACGTAAACAAATGTATCTTCAATAGCAATCTGTTCATACTGCTTAGTTCTTTTATTGAGACGACTATCATATCGGATGCCTAACTTGATTTCTTGTGGTTCAACAAGTCCAATTGATTCACAATACTTTGTCCGCTTATATTCTGAATTCAAATTTTCAAAGGGCTTTTCAAGCATAGCAAAATGTGTTTGAATCTCCTTATAAGCCTCGGATTCTATAGGCAGCTTATGTTTTAAGAAAGCAGCTGTAACGGCTGCCGATGCACTTTTTACTACATCACCTACAATCGCACTGGTTGTTTCTACTACATCATTTACAACTTTTCCAGAGTTTGCACTATTTGCTGAAAATTTTGAAATTACATTTACACACTGCCTGTTCAAGGTATCTACAGATAAAATGTCATCTTCATATACATCCTGATCTTCAACAATCTCATCATTATTAATATTGTATTCTTGAAGACTTTCAAGACTTTCTTCAGGAAAGTCACTCACTTTATCATTTTCATTAGACTGCTCTTTATTATCTGGAAAATCGGTTTTAAGGTGAGTCTGCAAATGTCCCCGAAATCCTCGAAAAGTATGAAATGTTCTCGCACAAGCTCCCTGCCCACAGGTCAATACTTCTTTACCATCTTCAATAACTCCATGTTTCAATCTCAAATGTTGAACCAATTTGGGTATTGCAAACTGTTTGTGGCATTTGAAGCAAATCATGGTGCTAACAATTTCGATCTAATTTCACGTACTCTTGGTGTTTCCCGGGACACTCCGATATCGATTTCAAAAATGGCAGTCTGGACAAAAGTCCAGAACTGCCGCAGAGACAAGCAGTACTGCAGGCCAAAGACAAAGTGGGTCTTGAAGAGTAAATCTACTGCTGCTTCGACCGTGCGTGCCGAACATGGAATGGCCTTGTGATCCACAATGATCATGTAGTTGGTGATTCGGGCCTTGGAATTGCCAATTGCCAGAAGGAACGGTTGACTCTTGGTCTCTTTTGTGTTGTCGAGGAATGCTTGAATACTCCCTCCTGTCTGTGTTGAAAACAAATTATTTGTATAGAATGTAACTAGCACTCAACGCATTTCAATACTCAACGCATTTCAATGAACAACATATTTCGATCAACATTTTTAAAAGACAGCCTTACATGTAGTACTGGGGGAAATTGTGTTTTTACAAAAGGGTTATTGGACAATAATGTAGGACATAAAACCAAATCAAATTTACATCAAAGAAAAGAATTGGAATTGGTCCATCCAATGATATAACATCAAAATATCAGATGATATTTTTTGTAATGAAATACAATTTTTCTTACCCTGTAGAGGGGTAAAAATGCAAGTACTTTCAAAGCTTGTTTTATGTATATGATTAAAAAGGGTCTTTCTAATGTGGTCAAGACATTTCAACTTCCACAAAAGGAGTACGAAAAATAAAGATACTGCAATTTCTGCACTATTATTAACTTGCAGCAAATTTGTGGCATGAAATATTCCTTTTCATTTATTGATTCTCCATGTAGGGCTGTGAAAATCAAAGGCAACATGCCTGATATATCACACAAGTTGTTACTATGTTTTCATACACAACATGTTCCTAGTATTTGTTTGCAAATCTTGATGTCTACTGTTCTAGTTTATTTTACTCCGACCAATTTCAAGGCGGGTGAAGTTTTTGAATAGGCCTAAATTTCTCGAGCACCTTCTCTGTCCAAATCAGTCTAAGCCTCTTCATGTAAGAGATCATAAACCAATATAATTGTTCTCTTTGAACACACATCACGATGCTTTCTGAAACTTTTTTTTTAATGCAGCAAGAATGTGTTTTATGTGACAGGGTATTACCGGTACTTAATATTTACAGTTCTCTTTCGTAATGAAAAGCTAAATACCTTCTGAAATTGAATAACCCTCGAGAGAGCTGAAGAAATGGACACTTTTGCTGACGCAGCTTTGGACTTCCCTTGGCTTGCAGGAGGCAATAGGCACAAGAGGAGGAGGATAGCAGATGTGCTGGAATTCCATCCTGTGCATTACAAAATGAAAATGGTTATTATTAAACAGGCTTACATGTTGATCAAGGTGAAAAATAGAAGTTAAATGTACCAAAATAATTACAAACTGACCTGCTAAAATTTGAATCAAAATAGCCTGTAACAAGAAACTATTATAAGAAATAAGTATATAGTCGAGGACTTATCAATATTATAGCCAAAGCATGCAAGTGGCTGTTAATGCAGTTTAGGGGTACTAAACCAAAAATCCAATTGATGCCAGCTTGGCACCCTTGGAGAAATTTTACTGACACTTATAGCAACGCCTTCTTCTTCTTTCTTATGAGAATTTATACAAAGGGGGATGGGAAAAAAGAAATCAATAGGAAAATAATAAACGGGATATTTATGCATGGGAGAAGGCAACATTCATGGCAAAGCACCTAACCTAGATTGTTCTCTGTTGACACATATATAACAAACTCTTTAGTAGCATAAGTTCATGTTTTTTTTTTTACAATTTTTTTCTTGTTCTACTGAATTTAACATGCTTCTACCCAATTTGACATCCTTTTCATGATTAAATCACAAAAATTGCATCAATACTGGAATCAAATGTTGCAATTAACAATTTATCAAATATGTCCCCTATGGGCCACCATATTTTTCAAAGTTAACTAATGAAGAAAAACAAAAATATCATGATTTTCTGAATTCTAAAGCATTTATCTTCAAATAAAGACAGAGTAAACACAAGCAAGCTGCTAATATGTAAATGCAGGGTCCTGTGGGGTCGATTCAAGTTCATATTATAAGATAATAAGCCATGCATATCATATCTGAGGAAGAAAAATAACAAAGTGAACATATAAACATGATGCTTTGTTTCAAAACAGAAGCTCATTCTATTTCAAAAGTAATGATTGGCAATGTGATAATCCTTATAAAGATTCCACAATGGGCCATGCAACAAACTTTTTTCTTCATAATTATATAAATTTCTTCTTCATAATTATATAATTAATATAATAAAAGAATTATGGAGAGCATGTTCCAACTACAAATAACTTTGCCAAGTGGGCATGTAATGTAATTTTTTGTAATTCTCATTGCAACAAGAGTCCACATTATTTGAGATGCCCAATAACCCTACTGTATCCCAGCCTTCCAGATAAATATAATTTGTTGGAGGAGTTGACAAAAAAAAGGGGGGGGGGAATTGTTTTAATTGGGATGGGTCATTTTTTGTGATTTCAGCATACTTGTCCCTTAATATACATTTTTAATGAGACTGCAAGCTCTTTGGTGGAATTCTCAATGGTGGTTTAAGACCAAGGTCTAAACTTGGTTCAAAACCATGGATTGGATTAGATTTGCATGTATTCTAAAACTTGTCCAATGAACATGCTTGTGTGAAGCACATATATGCTCAAATTTAAACTAACCTATCAATGGTTTATCCATGGTCTCAAATAAACCACCATCAAGAATTCCACCCTTTATGACATCGGAGGGTGCATTCAAGGGAATGTGCAAAAATACCTTCTTTATTTTGATCAGAACTGTCATAAGATGACAGAAGCTCCATCACTGTCAAGTTTCCTTTCTGCTTCAGAAGTTGTCTTGCAAGTGTAACAACCTTGGGCTTCAACTCGGGCCATTTGGTCAGGAAACGCGAGTGATTTTCAGGAAAAAGTTTCCGAAAATCTACCTCAATCTGCAAGAATACATGTAAAAGGAAAACGGGGAAAAGAGAGAAAAAATAAACTATGCATAATTTTACAGTACAGATACCCCAGTTAGACTAAATCAGCAATATAATAAGGTACCGTCAAAGCTCAGACCCCCATATATACACACCCCAGATCCAGGAAAAGGGGATTCTTCAAATATTTATCTGAATAGCAACCACTAAGAAGTACTTTTGAAGGTCTCTCTACACAAAATCCATACATGAATGAAACTTGCTGGACCTTTGAAATAGATTAGATTTGCTAGATATCACTCATGTTGATGCTCACTGTCCAAAGGTACATGACAACCAGTAATGGTGATTGTTCACCAACAGACAGTCACATGCGGTAAATACAGATACAGATTGAAGGATAAAACTGGCAGAATCTTCGGACTGATATTTTCAAAATCTCAAACATATATAATAAAACAGAGAAATATGAATTTGATGCCTCAGTGCCAAGTAATAATTCTGATGCTTTAATTCCCATACACATAATTTTGTTGCCTTAGGCCTGAGAGGCTAAATCAAGAATTAGGAGTAAATTTTTTTGTAACACTTACCAAACCTGGAACAGTTTCAAAAGGAAACTGTTCCAAAATATCCGATGCGGAGCGTCCGTCCCTGACCATATGCTGTCTAACAGGAAAAGTGGATTTCATCTTTTCAACAACCAGGGTAGAATCACGTTCTAATGTTGGACAGTGTCGTAACCAGTTGAGGTCTTCATCATAGGTGCAGCCTGGAGCAGATTCTTGGTCACCTTCTCGGACCTTCCCAGGACCACCATCTCTGCTTGATGGCTTGGGTAATGGGTTGGATGTCTTCTCCTCTGTTGTGCGGTTAACATTTTTTATTCTAGCAGCCAGGAATCCCGTGTTACTTCTTGCATCAAAATAAGCTTCCTAAAGTGAAAGAACGAGATGAATCTTTGACCGCGTGGTTGAAAATGTATGTATAAGCTTTTTGTTGATAATATTAACCTTGAAATGATGCACAAAATGATGTGATGAGAAATTGTAGTTTTCAAAGAAATTTTAGCAAAGTAGCATTAGTGTCATATAATGCAAGCATCTTGACTTTGATACAAGGAAGCAGCCATCACTCTGCCCCACTTCAAGAAAAAAAGAGTTTTGAGTGGTTGTGAAGGAGAGTAGAATGGTATCATACATTTCTTATTGGATATTGTGCCAAAGATGGTGGAGTGTGACCTACACAAGATAAAATTTAAAAAAAAAAATTCTTCTCAGAATATAATTTAGAGAGATTTTGAGGGTATTTTTATCTTATCAGAGTATCATAAGTTTTCTTTTGATTAATGGAATGCAATACCTTCTTATCAGAGAGGACCATGCAGGGCCCATATTCAATTAAATACTTCAGTCAGAAAAATAAATATTTTTTCTTAGATTTTTGCTCGGATAAAATACTTTGCAGATTTTGGTATTCAATTCATAAATTTGGCTAAGTATTTTACTTTAAATTTAAGACACCTCTAGAGGAGACTTAAGCCAAAGCATTTACAAATTTAACTGGTAGATGAAGGCTTACATGTATGTGCGCAGTCACTCTCAGCTGCGGAGAATTATGAAGTAGCGCATTTTTGGTGCAATGTGTTGATTGCGCATCATTTGGTCACAAAATCGTGATGTCACAATGCCTCTCAATAAGTATTTTACTTAAATTTTGACTTACTAAAGTAAAATGCTAAGAACTGAATTGAATACAAAATAAGTAAATACCTTAGCCAAAATACTTAGTAAAAAAACTTACTTAGTCAAAGTATTTATTTGAATATGGGCCCAGATTATAATACTTACATGACCTGTGCTAGTAAACGGATCCTTGAGTCTTGGAAACAGATTCACTATCCCCATGGCATATTTGGTTTTCATAGCTGCTTTTGGATGTTTGCTGTGAAATAAGAAAGCACATCTCCTGTATGAGAATTACAGTCATATGGACTCATGACTGGCTCTATTAAAACAGAACTTAGTATGTTGATAACAAGTAGCATACCCCTAGTGGTCTCGTCTGCATCATATAATTTGCTATAGTTTAGTATTTTTTTATTACTTTAAAATCTCAAAATATCACATGGTTAGTTCATAATACATTTATAAAGTGAGGCCTCATGACGATGAGGCCGCTAACATCTACGGCATTAATCTATTTTAACGTAATGACCCAAAAATGTCACTCACAAGACTGGTAATACCTGATAACCATCATGTGCAAATCACATTTAAAACTAGATGAATCTTCGACCACGCACGGTCAAAATTTAAGCCTCTGCCATCATGCGATCAGAAAGATATTATTGCTTGTTCCATGCCATTGGAAATCCGAAACATTTTGGGTGATTTTACAAATTTTGGGCACTATGAACTTTGACCCCGTGAACCCAAAATCTTCTTCCTCCCATGCTAATACATAATTGAGCTAGGTTTGAAAGAAATTAGTTCAATTTGTCTGAAGTTATAGCAATATCGAGCTTTTTTCGGGTAATTTTTTACAATTTTTGTTTGGCCCTGTGACCTTTGCCCTTTGACCCCCTAAACCCCAAATCTAATCAGTTCATCCTCACATGTATATAAATACTTGTGTCAAGTTTGGTAAAAATCCGTCCAGTAGTTCTGAAGTTATCGTGGTAACAAGTTTCCGACGGACGGACGCACGGACGGACACACGGACGCACGGACGGAAGGACGGACGGACAACCCCGAAAACATAATGCCTCCGGCACCACCTGACGGTGGCGGAGGCATAAAAAATGAATATTTTGAAAAATGATTTTGAAGAGACAACAAATTCCTTTAAAGTTGACCATGTTACCTCAGTTTCTTTTCACATAATTGGTAGTACCTGATAATTATTATGTGCATTTACACAATCATAAAAGAAAATTTGCTGGCACTTACCCATAGTGTTCTTGCATGTGGGCTACCAAAAGGTTAATCATCTGCCGTCTAGTTTTATCTTGAAGTGCTCCAGTCAATTCATACTCTCGGAGAATGGCATCACCTCTGTGCCGCAAAATTTCTTGTACAAACTGCAAACAGGTAAATCATCCCATTAAGTCATAAATAAACATATTGAGTTTATAATGCACTTTCAGGCACTTTAATTCATACTGACCTTTCTAAGGGCACGAAATTTTATGAATGACTATGAATTTATATAGGTACATTATGATATTAAAATTGATATATGGCCAATAATCATAAATTCTAAATAATAATATATTTATTTATAGAGCTTGAAATAGTTTAAATATTGTTAAATACACACTCCCACAAACACCCCAAACACACATATGCACACACGCACATACACACACACGAGGGGACACATGAGGCTACAGGTAAATTTGTGTTTATTGTAATGCGAGTTCCTTCTACTTAATATAGACATGCAAGCCCAATGCCATGGGGAGACCGTCTAAAGTGCCCTGAACAGTGTTCATTACTTTCATATCCACAAACAATACAGCAGGAAACTATTCTATGTTTGGGATCATCATGAACACTACAATAAAGGTTATGTAACAATCGATGCATCTCATCTTCAACTTTTTAATTTTGATATTAGTCCTTTTCCTTGATACCCTCAGAGGTCTATATGGAACCAGATCATGAGATGTATTATTCGATGATTATTTACCTCATTTCTCTTTCCCATTTCTAAAACATTTCATAAAATTTGGCAATTCAATTTAAACCTCTAGACATAATATCATTTGTTTGAAATCATACCACCCATTGGAAGAAAATGAAACTGTAAAAGTTTATGGAAAACTTATGACAGATGACGAAGCAAAAAAGATGGCCAATATCTTACAGGAGTCGTCAGCTTAGATGTACCAAAAAAGAAATCAAATTAGTTGCCTAATGTTAACCTATACCATTACAAAAACCTTACTACAGGAAATATTAATTTACAATGTTAGTTCTAACTACACTAGATGTATTTTTTTTCTCCCAATATCATTTTCAATTTTAAATAATATGAAATCCGTATAGGTGATGAGTCCCTTATATTATGTTGATTATGATAGCTGAGATTGAAATGAAGCAAACAATTTTTTCTTAACCTTACCTCACAAGAGTTGTCAGTGATTGCACCTGATTCACTGAGGGCATTTAATCGTGGCCTCTTTCTACTGGAGCAAAAACTTGAATCAGATTCTGAGCTACTCAGGGAAGAGGAGCTGGTATCCACCTTGATAGTGTCTGCACTTGTGATGCTATGTACATCTGAACCTTTAATAAAGAAAAAAAGATATAAAGCCATGAGCACTGTTAAAAAACAATGAATACTGGCATCTTAAACTTTGGTAGAATTGAATACAGTTGGGCCTCCTTTATCCCCACACTTGGGATCAGCACTAACATGCATAAGGGAATCCTATATTCAAAACATGCAGTTGCCGAGTTTGAATGAATGCATGTTTCTGATCATGAAAAATTGAATTGAATGTGTAATAACAATGTTGGGAATAATGTATATAAGTAACCCAAATAGTTTGCGATATTACGAGTATGCTTGAAATCTTTGTTGGTTCCGCTAATTATTTGAGTAAAATAGGCAAATTCTCAAGTGATCTGGATAAAGGAGACTGGATAAGGGAGGTCCAACTGCATATAAATTTCTATTAGTCTAAAACCATCAGAAACCAGCTAAGTTATATTGGTCTGACACATTTGTTAATTTTATAATACTTGAGCATTTTTTAATGGACAATTTGTTAATTGATGCATTCATTCATGTCTAAGTGAATTATAATACTAGCATTTAGAAATGTTCAATTACTTTTCCATTGGACTGTTCCCAATGAAACCAATAGGTCTGTCCAATATAATCCAACAGAATTCTTTCATGATGGTTTTCTATAAGTATAAGACTAACAGAAAGAAATTGTTGGATTCCTATTATTGGATCAGCAAAAATTTTCTGATGGATTTCTAATGGACCAACAGAAGTATGTGTTGGATTTCTATTGGAGCAATATAACCTTTCTGCTGGTTTCTATGGGTCCTTTATTTCCCTTTCCCTATTGAAACCATTAAACTTATTGGTTTCTATGGGTCCAATAGCCCTCACCTCGTGCTATCACACAAAGCAAACAGAATCAAAATCAGATGAGAAATGGCATAGGAGTGGCCTTTTGTAGGATTTTGAAGCAAAAGGTCAAAGATCATACACAGACACGCACAGAAACACACAAGTATGGCGCCCGTTTCACAGTCCCCTCCTCAAATTTGTTCGGTGGGGTCACAATTTAAATTAAAGACATTTTTTTTTTAAATGCAAGTTTGCATTGTTAAAAAATTCAATTTGTAAGAATCTGTAATTTTTATAATCTTTAGACTTCGAATTTAGATCATTGACCGCCCACAAATCACGGCTCTTGTGGCAAGGTTAGGTCATCAAAAAAGGGTAGGTTTTTTTTTCCTCCACCAAGTTTTGAGACCTGTGCCTGTAATTTGAACTGCACATTCATTTATTGCTTATGAAAAGCAAAATGTTAATTCCCTAGACTCTATACAGCATACAAGCCTACACTGTACCTGCTACCAGACGAACGCTGACTCATTTTAACATGCATGCACATACAATGATCAGTGGCGGATCCAGCAGGGGGCGCACCCGGCATGTGCCCCCTCTATATTTTGAGAATTACCTCGTGAACATACACATTACTAAGGTTAAATTGTGATCTGCGCCCCCTCTTTATTTTTAATATGCTCTTTGCACCCCTCTAACTCTATTTTAAAATCCTGAATCCGCTACTGATGATATCACATTTAGCAGGGATTTGCAATTTTGTATTATAATGCACTTTATCCAAAACTTACCAGACCATTCTTCATCTTCTTTTAGCACCATGAGGCTGACTGTGGGATTGCTGGTCACCACATCTCCTAGTACGTCATCGTCTATACCAAACCCTTCTTGTTCATCCACAAGTACGAGATCTTCCCCATCCCTTATGTGGAATTTTCTTCTGACTGTAGGAGAGATTAAATAAATGAGAATAAATATCACAGTGCACTTTTCAGTTTCTTACAGATTGATGGCTCAGTCATAATAAACGAATGCTGCAAAAACTGCTGCTACAAGCCCAACTGTGCTATAGTATACAAATAACGCACGTCCCAGAGTGCAATAGCGGTGAATGCAGTACGCGCGAGGTTTCTTTATATTGGTGCCGCTCTGTGCAACAAGCCGCTTGCGGCGAGTTGACAGTGCGAACCATCTGAAGAAACCGAGCGAACACTGCATTTACGTTTCGCACAACAGGGTCAAGTGCGTTATTTGTTTTATAAAATAGCGACACAAACAGCAACAAACAAAAGTTTAGATCTTAAGTATACGAGAGTTCGATCTAGATCTAGAGTTATGTTGGTTCTAGAAATAAAATGAGGGTCTAAGACCTTGCAGGCTTACCAAAAAGTCTACAGGATTCATTGTTTGATTAAAAATAAAATGCATAGGGTGTCTAGAGACGAGTCTACATCAGACAGCTGAAATTCCTGGCTTCATTATAAAATCCAAAAGTCAAAACGGGTCTAAATCCAAGGCAAAAGTAAAACAAAAATTTGCTTTCTAATAATACCCCGCTCTAGCTAGAGCTAACGCGTACGCTGCGCTGGGGATCATGGTGGATCTTGGAGCGTACAATATTAGCTACGCGTAGCCTATAGCCTACAATGCACTCGAGGGAGCGTACTAGTACTACGCGTACGCGCGCGCACTGGATCCCCATGGTCACGCGTACGCACCGTGCAATATAACTTTTTACTGCGCTTTTTCTGCACTCATTTCTGCAAAATCGTGCTTGCATCAAAAATTTGTCAATGCCATGTGACGCGTATTGACCAATCACGATGCTTAAAATACTAGGCTAGATCTAGAGCCATTTTACACCCTAAAACTGTTAAATGGGACATCAAGCTCAACCGGGGGTGGAGTTTGGACTGTTGTGTGCGCTACAAATAGATCTAGTCTAGATCTAGATCTAGATCTAGAGATTGAATTTCCATGTTTATTATTTTTGCATTTTTTTTATTACATGAATGGGGTAGCCTAGATCTAGTCTAGATCTAACGTTAGATCTAGATCTAGATCTAGATATCTAGGCCTAATGTCAATGCAGATCTAACGTTAGAACTCTAGATCTAACTGTTAGGCCTAGAAATCTAGAGTCTAGATCTAGTCTAGACTTCTAGATCTAGATCTAGATCTAGCCTAGACCTGATATTTTTGCAAAAACCCAGGATTAGGCCCTAGAGTCTAGACTAGGTCTAGATCTACTGATTTTTCCTTTACATTTTGAAACAAATATGTATTAAATAACAATATATAGACCTAGATCTATCATGAATGTTTGCCCTTTGGAGTATTTATCAATGATAATTTTTCAGAAATCCATAAAATATTAAATGGCATCATGCTGACCGGATACCCAACCCGGCCGGACAGCCAAGGCATAGTAGGCCTAGACCTCTAGGCCTGGGCTACCCAACGACAGGCGCGGCTAGCGCCAGCTGACGAACACGTAATACTATAGGCTAGATCTATAAAAGTTTATAACAAACAAGAACCATGTACACTTACTGAGTTCAAAGAATCCTACTGTGTCTTCTGGATCTATAGGCAGGTATTTTCTAATACTTCGATCCGCTGAACAGACCCTGACGCTTAATGGCATGGTTGCATGCACTTCGATCACTTCACATCTAGAATCTAGGCCTAATTTGAAGAATTACTACTCCAGAATCAAGACTTCAAGTCAGTGCCAGTGAAATTCTCTAGCCACATGCTCTCGTCTAGCTGTGCGCGCGCAGCTGCAGAGGCGCATATCGGATCATATGACAACTTTCGTCCAATGATTTTCGTCGAATTCTCTAGCTTATGCGCATGTGCGATTTTATAACACCAAATATGACACCATCAGCCTGTAATTGAATATTTTCACACCGTTGGTGTTATTTTTCGCCAATCGGACATGAAATGAACACCAAGGGTGTTGATATTTTTCTATTCCATGCTGGTGTTGAATATTTAACACCCTGGTTTTTGCAGAGTAGTCACTATGCTTATTAACTACTTTCATAATGATGTTTTTATAATCATGTCAGCGAATTCGAAATCTGGAGACCTTTCGTTTTAATTGTTGTTAAATCTATTTCGGCAAGCACATCGGCAAATTCTGATCCTGAATCATACTCCACCCCTCATGAAAAAAATGTGATAAAGCAACGCCCCTAGCAAAAGTGGTTCGATTTCAGGTTGTTTCCGGGATGATTTACCATATGGTTTGTTGCCACTGACTAGGCAATTGTTTATTTGGTAAAGAGTACCGAAGCTGTGCCGTCATAAAAATCTATTTTTAGAATTTCTCATTTTTTTCTTCATTTTCCGAAAGAGCATCAACAATAATGTCCAAATGTCGAAAACAAATTGAATATTTAAGTATTGGATGAGCTATGACCATCTGAATAAATATATTTCCTATAGGAACTCAGTGTTATATGCTCTGGCTCGTAATGTTACTCTATAGGCATTAATTTATTAGTCGTAGACAAGGTAGAGAGCCATGTGTCTGAAATTATATCCATTACGGTACAAAGCTAATGAAGCTGATTTGCAAACCATGTTATGTATACAATAGGGTTAGTGTTAGGGTTTGCAAAGAGTAGGGTTAGGGTTATCTTTCAGGTTAGGGTTAGGGTAATGTTATGGATTATTTTTAGAAACATGTCTTATACGACTGATTAAATAATCTGGAGGCTAGATGGCTCACTGGTGGATGAATGGTTTCGTAAGTGGAAAGTCCCGTGTTCGAAACCACGTCAATGTGCTCGTGCCCTATTGTAAGGCATTACTCCTCATTATCTAAAGCCGTCGCACAGTGGGCCAGGGAGGAACCAAAGTGCGCCAAAACTAAGTTTGGGTGATTTTTTTTTCTTCAATTTTTTTCTTGCCCAGTTGAAAGGTAATACATAGAGGAATACCTCAGTGAAATATTTAATTCCGTTATGCACAATAAGGGTATAAATTTACTACTTCAAACAGCAATATCCTACATATTCACAGTTTTAGTGCAAAATTGACTTATTTTGATAAATCTTTCAATTCAACATGAAGTTTTTAAGTTATTGATATGAAATTGCTCTCACTTATTCCTGATAGTTCATTTCGTTCAATGAATGGGTTAAAATTAATAGAAACACAATCTTCATGATATCTTATAGGGTAATTCACTGAAAATGGACTAATTATCCATGTTTTTTTTTATAAATCCAGAAGAAATGTTTAGATCTCCGCAGTGTACCGCTTAAATTTTAATACCACCATTTCCTCTGATGTCTAAGCTTTAAGTTGATACCAAATTTGGCTGCCCGATCTTGCCCGTTGTTATGTTAGAGCCGATTTCCCTTGCCACATTGCCCCGAAAATGTGGGTTTTGGGGGTCCGCGGCTGAATCATGAAGGATTCGTGGTCATAAATCACGACGCGAGGGGGCGCGTGACACTTGTTCTGACACCGCGGACCAAAATAAACACATTTTCGGGGCAATGTTGCAAGAAAAACGGCTCTAATATAATAACGGGCAGAATCGGGCAGCCAAATCTGGTATCAACTTAAAGCTTAGACATCAGAGAAAATGTTGGTAATAAAATTTTAGCGAAAATCCCTGGAAATCCAAACATTTCCTCTGGATTTATAAAAAAAAAAAATCCCCAAACATGAGTTTGGGCGCACTTTGGTTCCTCCCTGGCCCACTGTGCGTCGGTCCCCTGGGTGTTTACTTACAAGCAAACATGCTTTCTTAGCAGCAAGGTTAAACAATCATCATTGAACAATAATGCCGTGTGTTCGGGTACATCCTCGAACGATTTTTGTTAATTCTGCATATCCATCATGAGAAAAAGGATCGATTGCGTAATGCTTAAATATCCGAAGCCCTGTGCACATGTGATACGGATAACCGCTTAAAAAGAAAACCGCCGCGAAAAATTAACATAGTAATTTTTCGTTTTTCCAAGAATTTTTTTCTGCCATTCATCCAGATGTAAAATCTTTATAAATATTGCTGGGATGATTTTGATTTGTATCCTTTCTTGTTTTTTGTTCTCTTTTGAGGCGGTTAGACGCGTCATTATATGAACGGCACTTTAAGAGATATAAAAACTGATTATCTAGTCCGGATAGATGTATGTAGGAGGACGATAAACCCAAGGGAATTTCACTCCAAAAATCTTCTCCAGTTGCGTATTGTGGGGCTGAAAGAACTTATATAACTTAAGCAACAAGTCATCGTCGATGGCAGGAAGAGATTTACCCTTGAGAGGAATGACGCACCGAACATCAGGTCTACTTGACACGTTTGCACAGTGAACACGCTTGACCTCGTCATAAACAAAATGGCGACGTTTGAGAAATGGCGGCAAGTTTAAGAATCGTTCCACTTCGACCAGACTGGGGTAGGGGTCTTTTCTGAACGCGTTTCCATCTATGATCAGAATTCTCTCTTTCCGGATGTGTTGGTAGAGAGTATGTAAATCTATGTTGTACATTCCTTGTCGTACTATGGGTGATAAGGGGTTCACGTGACCCGTTTCATCCAATAGGGTAGCTTCTAAGCTGCCCTTTAACCCTTCGTTATCTTCGTACTGTTTTCGCTCGTCCCCGGCCAAACTTTCAGCGATACTCAGCGTGCGTACGTAATCGGACACAAGACGTTTAACAGGATCGCGTAGCATCAAAATCAGTTTGACGTCATCGGGGAGATATTTGCGCACCATCTGAAACAATTGAGGCTTTGCGTCTGCGAAGAAACTATGATGGCCAGTAAAGGACAGCTGCTTGTAGGAAGTCAGTTGAAACGTCCCTTTCCAAGCCTCTACTGTTTCATTGGTGATTTTAGGACCCGGTTGCACAGGATAGGAGTAAGAGATCGATGGATGTAGTCCCAGGTATTTGCCCATGGCAGTTGTGCCACCCTCCTTCACCCCAATCAACAAAACACGCGGCAGACTCTTCTGACATCCTCTGACTTTCAGCTCCGCGGGAGGGCGCTCCAACCGCCGCCTAGCGACTTTCCCATCGACTTCTAAAGGAACATACATGTAACAGCTTATCCTGTTAAACAATGTCACCTCGTCCATGTCCCAAAATGATCGCACATCAGCGTCAGTTTTGCCTTTCTGAGTTCCTTTACTTTCCGGAACATTGTTGATTTCCAATATTATTATGACGATGCAGAGGAAACTGAAAAACGCTATTACACGACGGGTAAAACGTGTCATCATTTTTACTAAATCGTTGGATAATCACAAGATGAATCGCTAATTGCTAGACGTTCACAAACTAGGCTGCTGCTGATATGTAACTTTTGATTGCCTAGCTTTACTCTTGGTACGTCAAGCTAAATTGATGAAATTCGTAAACAATTGTTGAATACAACCATCAATAATTCTCTAGAGTTCGGAGGGCATAATCCGTGAATGTATCATTATTAGTCGCGGTCTTCCCGATGTATGGCGATCGTGTCGAGAGTACTCGGATTTAAATCGGTTCCCTCACGATGTGTATCGACCACGATCAGAGCAGGCACTTCGGCAGCATTCGACAGCACTTCGGCAGCATTCGTCCCTAAGGTTATGCGATTCTATCATGACTGACCTGTCAAGATTCGGTAATTTTCGGTCCTCGCGTATATCCACGAATCAAAACATCAACACCAGCTTGCTCATCATAATAGAAGGTAAACTGTGCCAAATCCGTCGAAAATCTGGCCGGAAAAAAGGAAATATTTTGTTTCACATCAATTTTACTTAGCTACCACATTGTCATATGAGTTTTTCATTGCTAAAAAACACAGGCTGAACGAGGGTATGGGCTAATTGCCACAATAAAGATGATATTCGTGATTCTATCAGTTATTGATACACGCATTGAGTAAAACATTGTCATGTGTAGTAGAAGTTATATGCAACATGAGTGGATATACCCATAAACATAAACACTGTTGGTCATAAAGGTGGAATCAGTTCATGGAATGATTTTGACAATGATTCATTCCTAATGGATCTAGATAATAGTATACATTCTCAGATTTAATTACATAATAAATTGCGAGTTTCTGTCTTGCGTGACTGCTATAGCATGTGTGTGTTTCTATGCTTATCAACTTGGGGGGGGGGGGGGGGTGTTTGAACACCGAAAACACGCCCGCTCGATACGCCAATGGGCGCATTATACACTGTTGTTCATAATGGTTGAATAATAATTTTTACCCCAATTTAAGGAATGATTTTGACAAAAAATTCCTAATAGATCTAGATGATAGTAAACATTCTCAGATTGTATTGAATAATAATGTGCGAGTGTTTGATTTGCGTGACTGCTAAAGCATGTGTGTGCTACTATGCTAATCGACTAGGGAACCTACGCCCTTAAGTCATAACTGAGAGTAATAAGGATTAATGCCTCACACAAGGGCACTAATAGCATCGCGACACGGTTTTTATCATGGGGCCTCATAGTAACGAGGTCATTGCTCAGCCACTGAATCATGACTGTACGCAGCAGGGTCAAGGGTACGTTGCCGCCCCACATATACAAAAACAAAGAAAATGCAATAAATTATCAATTCATTCATTGCATTTTGCCCCGATCCCCAACAGAAAAAAATCCTATGGGTGGCCATGCCTTGAACCATAATGCATGGCCCTACTGAGGAATTTTTCCTCTTTGGGACCGGGGAAAATGCAATAAATTATTGATAATCTGCCCTTTTGTGAGTCATTAATCCTCATTACTGTCAGTTTTTACTTAAGGACGTAGGTCCCCTAGTTGATTAGCATAGTAGCACACACATGCTTTAGCAGCTAGTCACGCAAAACAAACATTCGCAAATCATTATTCAATAAAATCCGAGAATGTATAATATTATTTAGATCTATTAGGAACAAATCATTGTCAAAATCATTCCATAAATTGGGGTAAAAGTAATTATGCCATCTATATGACCAACAGTGTACTGATATATAAATGTATGGACAGCTCTGCGATTTTTTCCAACATAGAACCAGGGATCGGGGTCTCACCTGAACACTCCCTGGTTGAAATTAATCAGTGACCGGTTCGGCCTTTGGTTTGCCAGGTGAGAGTAAGGTAAGGTAAGGTGTTTATTCATCAACATATCGCAGCCAATGGCTGAATTGCATGAGTGATTTACAGATATTTGGTTTAAAAATATAAACAAACACATCATATTTACAATTCGTTATTTACCAATGATAAAGAGCGTGATCATACCCGAGTGATTGCACAGTAAATTGTTTGTAGAATAACAAACAGGGCGCGTGTAGATATGGCATATTGTAGTAAACAACTATTACATTCGGTATTCATTATTAGCGCAGATAATAACGCAAGCAAAATGACGCCTCATCATATTTTGTTCAAGGCAAGTTGGATCATTTACATATGTATGCACAATGAAAGTATGTTACCTTCTATTTTTGATAATGTGTTCAAAGAATCAAGGCTTGTTCTGCCACATTGCACAATACATGCTAATGTTTTATACATTCCATTGTTCAAATACCATATTTGACGTAAATCAGTAAAATAATGCAATACTCACCGAAATCAAAAAGCGCCCATCTCTTGCCTCATTAAAACGAAAATATAAACGTCATCTGATGAAGGAGTTTCGTAAATACTATCTGCGCATGGGCAGATAAAGGTCATTTCTGAAATCATTATTCATGTGTACACCTACGGTACAAGAGAGCAAACAAAAGCTTTTCATGAAGCACAAACATGACTTTAATTGGCATTGATTATTCTAAAATAAACAAAGTGAGAATTCTCCATGAGTAAGTCTTCTGTGTATATTTGGGGTCATTTGACCCATGTGCTAACTACGAAATGGTCTATTGTGTTAAATTAGCATGTACACACTTGTTTATGTAGGCCTACTACGCACTCTTTATTTTCTCTTTACGTTGTATAATTATCTGCGGCCATTGGAGCCTAGCCTTTGAAAGACAATGGCCTCTGCTGGCTCCTCCACATTCGTTGTATTGTTTTTTACTTCAAATGTTTTTTTTTACTTCCAATGTGTTTTTTCTATTCGAGGAAGGTGAAACCCAATCACTTTGGTTCATCCAATCGATTCGCATTGTGGTCAGTTCTTATGGCTGTATAGAACAAAGGGACAAGGGGAATGTTTCACAAAGACTAAGATCGACTTTAAGTTGGACTTAACTATGGCAGGCCATTTATGCCACTGGTTGCTCTCACCATTGGCCTCAAAATTATGATATTTAACAAAGGTAAATTCTTTGAAAAAATTGTGACTACGATTTGTAAGCCCGTGAGAAACTAATGCCAGGAAATGGTGAGAGAAAACAGTGGCATGAACAGCCTACCATAGTTAAGTCCAACTTAAAGTTGATCTTAGTCTTTGTGAAACGCTCCCCTGTGCTCCCCTATTGACTGGTTCCCTGCGATTGATTTTCAGGAGCCAATGTGAAGCTCCTTTCACACAAAACAAAAGAACGTATTGATAGAGAAGACGGGACACACAATGGAGTGTGCAGCGCTGTTCTTACCGCGCACCATACAGAGCAAGGTTAGATCAGGTCAGGGTATTGATCCATGTACTCATTTGGATTATTTTCTCTTTTCACTAAACCTACCCGTGTAATTGAAATTAGTGCAACATTGATTTGCACTATTTTCAAAAACTGCATTCAAAATGAGTTTAGCTCGGGTGTAATATGTTCAGATATTTCAGATCATATGCCTATATTTTGTGTAAAAAAGTGCTCAGTGGCAACTTCTGTCAAGAGAGATGGACAAGTTATGAAGCGGTCAATAAATGATGAAAGAATCTCAAGGTTCGAGCAACACTTAGCTGAAATTAATTGGCAGGCTCCGCCTTCACTGGAACGCGTCAATGATTTATATGTACATTTTCTACACATATTTCTGGAATTATATAATTTATGTTTCCCATTAATTGAGGTATCGATAACAAGTAAATGTGAAAAGCTTTGGGTAACTCGTGGTTTATTGAAAACAATAAATCATAAACATAAGCTTTATGGTAATTCTATCAAGAGACCAACAGCTGAGAGTAAAAAGAAATATGTTGATTATAAGAATGTCTTGGTTAATACTCTTCGTATAGCCAAGCAAAATTATTACAATGATTTGTTCCACAGTGTTAAAGGCGATATTAGGAAAACTTGGTCTCTTATCAATGAATTGTTAGGTCGGTCAAATAGGCATTCACTTCCTAAAGAGATGGATTTTAATAATGGAGTACGTCTTTCATCTGCCAAGGATAAGGCTGAAAGTTTTAATAAATATTTCATTGGATTACCCATGAAAATCAGTGCAGGCATTCCTCAAGTACCACAATATTTTCAATATTATATGAAACAGTGTGATCATAATGATTCTATGTTGCATATTGTTTATGTTTAAACTTAAGTTTATGCCTCATGAGTGTACGTTAAAAGATTTTTTCCGTCAAAACTCACAAATTCATAATTATAATACACGCCGGGGGTCTTATTCATCAGCCTTTTTGCAAGAACAAATGTCACTCTGACCTCTTTCCATATCTCTTGCATTAAAGAATGGAACAGTTTGCATGTTCATATAAAAAATAGTACAACTCTTTCTAGGTTTAGAAGGTTATCTAAAACGTACCTATTTGAAAGACTAACACAGTTTTTCTTGCATCTTAGTAATTTCTTTTTCTCAAATGCTTTTTGATCACTAAGGACCTACTCATCAGTGTGCTTGTTGTGTATGTGTGTGCGTGTGTGAGAGAGTATTTGTATGTTCTATATTCTGTAGCTTAGTATTTCCAGGGAGGTGCCTCCCTGGTATTTCCATCCATTGTTAGTAAACCCAGGGAGAGTGAAACCGGTCGATTAAATGGATACTTCTGGCTTTTGGATAATAATAATTCTATTGCGCCGTTTATCTAGAAATTCTACTCCGAGGCGCATTACAGCTGCCATTACAGCGATCCAGCATTTCAAGGAAATAATGCCTGCCAGGTACCTATTTACATTTACATCACCTGGGTTTAGCGTGGCAAATGTAGATAAATGTCTTGTCAAAGGACATTACTGCCGCGCCGGGACTCGAACCGCGGACCTTGTGATCGACAGTCCGGCGACGTATCCACTCGAACACGACACCTCATATGCATAAGCCTTATCCACATGTTCTAGGTAGTCCGAACTCGGACCCGCGCTCATCTCTAATCGCTCAGTGTATGTGCCACTACCCCCCCCCCCCCTCCCCCAATCCCAGAATAAACTGTCTGGACAGCTTCGGCGTCGCCCAACACACCCTCAACGCAAAAACGGATACAGTCTTTGCCTTTCATTCTATTTCGGGGGACGCGCGTTCTTTATGGGATGCGTGTACTAGGAAGGAGGACGTGCTAGGTAATTGAATAATACAAAATCTATAAAAGGGACAGAATCTGGAAAATCCCCCCCTCATATTTTATCCCTGGCTCTCTCTCTCTCTCTCTCTCTTTCCCTCCCTCTCTCTCTCTCTTTCCGCTTTACCTTTGTAAAAAAAAACATATTCATATTTATTCATCTCTCCTTATCTTTCTTTATTCTTCTCTTTATGTTACCCAACACAAATGCAAAACGTATGAAAATTCAACCGAGAGTAAAAGGCCATTTCCATAATGTACTCAAATTAAAAGCACAACTTCTTACAAGTTATTTCAATCACTAGGGATAGTTACACTGCGTGTATACATCCGTGTTGTTAGGTAGAACAAGCAATAATGTTTGCCCTACCTAGCAGCAATTAATGTAAGCAATTCTTATTGTGACTATTGAAATGCAATACTTTGTAACAGGTAAATTAAATAATTTTAACTTTTATGGATTAAATCTGATAACGTTACGAGAATTGCCTATTTCTTTAGCCTTTTCCACAACCTGTAGAAATGATTGTAAATAAATGGCGTATCACGTAGCCTAATCAGAACACGATTTCTATGCGATAAACAAACGTTAATTGAATTGCCATAGAGTAAATTCTTTGGACCTAGTTACCACCTCACTTACATTTTTGTCAACCCTCTTTTATTTGATTTTACCCAATCTATTCCATACATTCTGTATCTCCTCCGTCCCGCCCCCCACCCCTAACAGAGAAGATGTTATTATTATTTTGTATATCTTTTTTTTTCTTACTCCTTCTTCTCTCTTCCATCCCATCTATGTCTCTGTCTCTGTCTCTCTGTCTGTGTCTGCCTCTCTGTCTCTCTTTCTCTGTCTCTCTAATACGCAGTATACTCATATACACATATAGTATATACCAATGTGTCTGCATATCTGACTCCCCCCCCCCCCCTCTCCAATGATTCTCTCTACTCTCTAAAGAATCGAGTGATCACTGACATAACTCCTCTGGAGAGTGAAAATGTAGTGAAAATACATTGAACATTCGCTCTTTTCTTTCGAGAGAGCACTCGAAAATCAATCGATATTCACTCCTAAACAAGTGATCACTGACGTGACTCGCAAGGGAGTAATAATAGAGAAATTTCACTCTTATCTTGTCACCCCTTCTCTCTCTGTCTGTCTCTTTCCCTCTTCTCGTGTCATGATAATATTCGATTTATCCTCGTACTCGTTGGCCACCTCTGTCCCCGTTGCTCTATCGACGCTATCCCAGTACTCTGTATCATCACCCCCCCCCCCCCCGTCCAGCCTCTGTATACCGTTTCCGTGTCGCGCGTCCAATCAGCTGATAAAATAACACACCCTCAACGTTGAAAGTAGACCTAGCCATTCTTCTCATTCATGCACGTTTCATGCTTGATTAGATGTAAATAGTAAAAAATTCATTTGTATTATTTAGATGTGAATGTAAAATCGTATTCTATACAATAATAGTAACATGCAGATTATTTTATGTATTGATTTTGCTATTGCTATTTTTGTTATTGTTTGTGAAAAGCAATGGAGAAAATAAAATATAATTGAAAAAAAAAAAATCTTTACTCGATGACGGGAATTCAGGGGATTGTGCGATTAGTGGGGAGACCGCGCTGTGTGTGAGATCGATGTGTGTGATAGCAGAATAAAAGCGAATATTAGGAACGGACTGAATCTGGACTACCCCCCCCCCCCCCATTCCCCTGTATTCTTTCCCGTGTCTGGGTACATTATTTTCCTCATATCTATCTTTCTCTCTCTCTCTCGCGCTCTTTTTCACTTTCTCTCTCTCTCTCTCTCTGTGCCTGTCTCCCTACCTCTCTGTATGTCCCTCTATCTCTCTCTCCCTCTCTCCCTCTCTATAGAGCTCTAGAGCTCAAGCAAAATTACTTTCCCTTTCCTCTTCAATTCTCAAAGTCAAACATCCCTTTTGAACCCAGAGTAAACACGTATGTTTGCTGGATCCTTCAGACATTATGACCCGAATTCACAAAGGAGGTTTGTCGACAAACCGAGGTTTATGTGCGTCATACGACGCGTTTCGACGCGTTTTTACAAACCTTGGATTGTAAAAAACAAAAGGAGGTTTGTCGAAACAAAAGGAGGTTTGTCGACTAGGTTTGTCGACTAGGTTTGTCGACAAACCTCCTTAGGAATTCGGGCCTATACCTTCTTAACTCGTACAAGGAGATCCTCTGTACAGTACATAACATAGGCCTGTACCAAATCGACGCCATGCTGCTCATGCATGGCCTTCATTGAAAAGTGACGCTATAAACTTTTGTTCTATAATATTCTCACCATTCTTTAAAGAAGATGATAATAGTGAAGACGGAATATACCTGCAAGGGATTATAGGTGAACATTAATCAATAAGCTTGGGCCAAAAATGTAACGTCTTCTGTGTTCCCTGTGTCCCTGAACGTGCCTCTATTGAAAGGGTTGTTGTATGGAGCATAATCAATATACGTCTTTAGACGTTGTCGATCGTAACTCTCGCCAGACCTTCGTTGTATTTATTGTTGATATCCGCGCTATAAACTCGATCAGACAACGCTGAACCCATATACTGGCACCACATCTTTTGCAAGTAGACCTACTTCGTCAGTAGGACCAATTAAGTCCGACGGGATGGAACAGATCTGACCGCGGAAGTGGGACCACACCCTTGCTGACATTATAATTGGTAAGTATTCTAACTAGACCTAAAGAGAAGTAGGCTATTTCTGTTCCATATGTAATAGTGTAGTCGTGTGTAGATATATATTCAAGTTACCCTTGTATATATCCTGTTCAACACCATGCACCCATCTGGTCTTGTCAAATATGGTTCATGGATATGATTATGAAGATGTTAAAAACTACATATGATATCTCCATCATTCTATTGATAAGTATTTATTTTTATTTATTTATTTCGCATCTTTATACAGCTAGAGTATCATGCTCAGCTACATAACCATTACGAAACATTGTTAAAACATTAGAATAGGCTGGTTTGAAACAGGGCTCTGTTTAAAAACAACATACAAATGACAATGAACAATATTATACATATAAATGACGGGGGTAACGAAGTATCAATTGGCCAATGTTCGTAAGTGCGTACTCGAATAGAATATAATCCTAGCACTTGAGTGTAGCAGTGTAGAGAACTGTTTCTATATATTTCCTCAGAAATAGTCAATCGAAAGAATCATAGAGATTGATTACTAACGTTCTAAGCAGATACGTAAGAGCTATCAAGAGTAAACTATACAGTCAAAATCGGGTCATTAACAGAGGTAACACAATATTCATGATATCTTATTCTAACCAGGGGATAATTCCTAACCGTCTTTATTGTTGCTATTATATTTTTTCACTCAACAAATAAGATCGGTCATTCATTAACTTCTTTCAAGTTATTTTATTTTTGTAATATTTAGTTTTTCTTGCATTTAGAGCCTTATTTGTTTATTTTTTGACTGATGTAATGAAAGGAATTCCATTGGTTAGAATTGTAAATGATTAATCATGTTAACAGGAGATCGATGAAAAACAGCTTTGCTGATTCGATTGTTTCTTTTTTATCCTGTATAAATATGTTAAATAAATAAATAAATAAATAAATTCATTACAATTTTATGGGCAAATATAGCTCTAATGTATCTTGATAAAGAAAACATGCCCTTAAAGAATTTCACCAGTTTCGTGGATTATTCAATTTCTTCTTCACTTCGATCTTCTCTAAAGTCTATCCTACACATGTAAATCAATACCAAGCTCTACCGGTAAATGTTGAAGTATACTTGTCAGCAATTATGGTGTAATTAATGTTTAGGTCTACGTATATAATCTATGTTCGCAATTATTATTATTTCGTTTCTACATATGGTTTCCTAAAATTAAACATAATATTGCGACGCATGATTGTTTTGAATAAATACATTTCTCATTTGAATTAATTTTTACTTGAAATTGGCTACTCATTCTATCTCGTTCATGAATTGTCATACCAGAATAAACTTAATGTCTAATGAATGCTTATGTCTCAGAATTCAAACCAAATAACGCTCGCATTAATGTCAAAACCGGATGTCTTCAGAGGTTTATCACAATTATTTCTGGAATAATGCGAGCAAAATATAATACCACATGTACTAGCTACAACGTATTGCAAGGTAGATTTCATAGGTCTATAGTGTAAAGGGCATGACAAAGAATAATAATTTTAATTTAAAATTGCCAGAAACAGGGGGCGTATAGGAAATTAAATGTATTTCAAAAAAGTAGTACATAATTAAACGTAATCAATGGCTCATCAGATCAAGACAAAATATCTTCCTATAATTATTCTTTTGACTTGTTTAATACGGTTTCTTACATGGGCCCTTTGAACAATACAATCTTTTGTAGTTCAGAAAGGGAATTGTACATTTGCAAGTAAACGAATGCGACGTTGCATAACAAAACATGTTGAAGAGGAAAAGGGCGTCAATTTATAAGCAGCGGAGTAAATACACAGAGCTCGTCGATCCTTGTTTACCTGTCCCCCACCTCGCAAACAAAGCACAATACAACCGGGATCGTATTATGTATAACTATGGACCTACTACCGTGGTATAATACATGGCCCTATTCTGCCTAACAATCAACATAATGGCCCTCATTTAGTATAGATTTCGTCGTGGCAATTTTTTTCTTATAACTTAAAGGTGAGCTCGTACATAATTCAAGAAAGTTACTCCTGCTTTGGAGAAAAAACTCCGAGTGAAAAATATGCACGTTCAAGATACACATGATGCATGTAGTTTCCTACATCGCAAAAGAAAGTAAATTGGCTGTATACGAAGTATACTCCTTATGTTAGTCAGTAGCATTTTCAGACAACGTTTAAGCCAGTTTCAATTATGGAAATTATAACAAATAAATAAGGTAAATTGCTTTCAATGCTCACATCAACCCATTATTTCACAGTTTTTGTTGCTGCTACATAAATCATTTTTCTTTCCTAAAATTGGCAAGAATTAATCTTATTTTCGACTACTATAGTTTAGTGACGCTTTGAAACATACTTCTTTCCTCAGTATATTCATGTGATTTTTCTCTTTTTCTGAGTTTAACTCTTTCATGTTTCCCTTCACATTCTGCAATTTTCTAAGTGCTGTTTTTTTTTCTTTCTAGCACTCCTATATGATACGTATTATTATTTGTATTATCATTATTATTATCATCATTATCATTATTGATATTAACATTAATATCATTATACAGTAGGCTTACGGTTGCACCATGTGTGTGACAGAGAGAGAGAAAGAGAGAGAGAGAGAGAGAGGGGGGGGGGATTGGGGAGTCCTGAAAAGAACTGCCGGTAATCTTTCTTTCTTGAGTGTGTGTGTAGTCCTGAAAAGGACTGTTGGTTGTCTTAAAGAGACTGATGGTAATCTTTCTTGAGCTTATAGGAGAGGATTGGTAGAACGGCTCGACGTTTCGAACATGTTAACTATCCTCCTCTCTCACATGGTACAACCGTAAGTCTACTGTATATCTACATCACCATGCAAGCCATGCAAGCAGTATTATTATTATTATTGTTATTTTTATAATTATATTTGGAACTACGAATATTTGAAAAGCGCCAATAATCCACGGTTTCTTCACCGTTTCATCTTACAGAGGGAACAAAATCATGGGATTGTGAAATGAGCCCGCCTGCAGGAGTGGTAGAGAGCAGTGATCAGGGAGATATCTTACTCATTTTGGACCAAGACAGACCGTATCAGCAAATCCCCAAGATGACTCTGAGACGGAAGGTCTGCGGTGTGTTTAGGAGTCCTTACTTGGTGATCTGTACCTTGGCAGTCTGCTGTAGCGCCATCTACCTGTTCTATGGTTACCAAACGTTTTCAAAAGGTGAGTTCCTGTTTTTAGTTTCACACTCGATGATATGCCCTTCATATTATACTTTTACATTTGCACGTCGACATAGTGGACTGCTACGTGTGGAGTCCTCTTAAGGCACTGTCAATGCCTTAAAAGACGTCACACGTAGCAGTCCACTATGTCGACGTGCAAATTTAAAAGTCTCTATTCACTAACCGAAGGACAAGTCACAACTTACTCCAGTAGTCACGGCAGTGGGGACGTTGTTTAGAATATCGTGTGCTTAACTTCCACCTCTCCAAAGCTTATTCCTTTGACACCCTTATTATATCGTATATTATGTGCCAGTATTACTATACATAAGATAAACAGATATGGAGATAGAGGATCCCCCTGTCTGACACCCCTTTCCACATTAAAATAGCCGGTCGACTTTCCTCCATTAGACTACAACTTCCTGTATTTCAGTATTTGTATACAGTATTTTCACCCATCTACAAAATTGCTGACCGAATCCAAAAGAACCATAACGTTTTGTATAGAAAGCTGTGTGACACCAAGTCAAAGGCTTTCTTAAAGTCAATAGCTATCAGAAACCCAGGCATGTGATTAAGAGAAGTATGAAAAACAACATCGTCAATTATTGTAATCGCTTTTTATAAAGAGTTGCGATCAATCCAAATCAATCGCAAGTCCTCCAATCAATCACAAGTTTTTAGTCTCCTATCTCTTCTCTACATAGGCCTAGTTGCGGTTAATATAAACTCTTTATAGGGCGGGGCCCTCGTGTATTAAATCGGTACCTGGTAATGCTGGGCTAATAATAATAACATCAGGGAACTCAGTAATACCAGTAATACTAGCGGATGTGTGACTACCCTTGATTAATTAGACTATAATAAAATCATTATTATCGTTATTATTATTGTTCTTATTGTTATTTTTACTATTGTTATTTTTACTATTGTTATTTTTACTATTGTTATTATCAATTTAGTGTTATTATCTCCTTTCCTCCTTAGTGCCTCGGTACGTTCATATTGGTCAGTTCCCTAAATCTCCTTTACAAGAAAACACCAACGCCCTTATCGCCAATCAGCAATACAATCAATTCAAGACTACAACATCAGAGGTAAGATCTTCACCGAGAAGGATAAGTTCTGGGGAGAGGTGAACTTAATTTACGAGCGATATCATTGTTATAATGCAAGTGTGAAATAACATCAGAGAAAACATGTTTCCTGGAAAAGCATGGCTCTTCAAATGCCTTCATATTCTAAATATGACAAGTAACAGCTTAAAAATGAGGCCCGATTAATATGCCACATGTTTGTGTAGTCCCATTTAAATTTTTCTGTATACAGTGCTTGTTACTCTACCAAGACTGGGCCAAATTTTTTATCATTTTGATGACTTTAGAACCTTGCAGTACACACCAATACTTATATGCTACATGATCAACTTTTTCTGATCGATTCCACACCGTTTCCTTCACAATGCAATCGTATGACCAGGGGCCCGTTTCATAAAACTTTTTTTATCTATGACAAATGCAAAATTTCTATGACAAATTTGCTCTCAGCCTATCAGATGCCTTGATTTCAGTAGCTTATAACAGTAGCTTGTAACTTGTTATTGATATCAAGTTTTATGAAACAGGGTCCAGAACTCAACTTTATCTTTAAAGGCAAAGTATTTATCTAGCATCGCTACTACTTATTAATATTGATATCATTGTTATTATTATCATTGTGATGTTATTAATTAAATTAAACATTGGTAGTATTATTATTATGATTATTACTACTGCTAGTAAAACAACTAGTATTACTAGGAAAACTGCTACTATAAATTGTAAGAAAGTCATAACATAATTGTTATTGTTTGTTTTCAGGAACACAAAGAATCGCAGGACCTACCATATGGAAAACCCGAAGAGGACAACGGTTCACATCCAGACTTTTTGGTTTCAGACAAGGAGGAAAATAAATCTTTCACCGATGTACCAGAGCCCAGCTCTACCACAGATAACATCGTGCATGGTACAAAACGCATTAAAGCTACCTCGTTAAGTCTTGAACTCCATAGTCATTCGAATACGTCCACAGCTTTCGCTGCAACCGAAAATTCTACATCACTTGAAGATGAGATATTGAAACTTCAGACAAAGCGAAAGCAGCGAATTGCTGACGTTTGCCACGAACACAAATTAAAAATCGGCGGGAACTTTCTCTACAAGGATACTTACAGACACATTTATGTCATCGAAGAACAGAAGTTGTTATTTTGTTACATCCCCAAAGTTGGCTGCAGTAACTGGAAGCGCGTGCTCATGGTGCTAGATGGGAAACGTGACGTAGCTGATGACATCACAAGCAGAGAGGCACACGCGCATAATGGAATAACGCGTTTTGGTATGATCAGCAAAACGAAACAAGAATATCGTTTGCGAAACTATCGTAAGGTAATGTTCGTGCGAGATCCACTCGCGCGTGTTGTCTCCGCGTACAAAAACAAGTTCGCGGATTTGGCCGTTTACCGCACGGCCCCGCACGTTTTTCACATGTTCGGGAAAAGAATCGTTAAAAGATATCGGAAGAATCCGTCTCCTCTTGCGTTGGCGACGGGCGAGAATGTCACTTTTGCAGAGTTTGTGACGTACCTGACGACAACAAATGAAAGGTTGGAGTTCGACAGACATTGGAAAGAAATGTATAAACTTTGCTCACCCTGTCAAATCCGATACGATTTTATCGGCAAGCTGGAAAATGCCTATGACGAGGCCGAGTATGTTCTGCGGAACATGAACTTCACACGTTCCCTGAGCTTCCCGGGGCGAGAGAACAGTCACCCGACGAATGTGAGCAGCAGTAGAACCGATCAATATTTTGAAAATTTCTCGAAAGAAACTTTGAGGGCGCTATGGGACATTTACCACACGGACTACGAACTGTTTGGGTACCAAAAGCCAGATTATATCACGTGATGCTTTGGGAAAGATAGAGACAAAATACGACCGCAAAGACTTAGGGAAATTCAGGGGAACATCTGTTTAAAGGCCCCCTGCATTACTTGTAGCTATTTGCGCCCTCTATATAACAAACAATGACTAATCGGTGACCATTGGTCCCCCATGGTCCTCTTTTTCTTATGTTAACTGAGAGCTGAGTTGATGAGATAACCACCTGTCCAGTGACCTTGCAGGGCAGTCTAATCCCTCCTATAAACTACTGCAGATAAGCTTTAAAGGGATTAGGTATCTTAGTCTCATATTCTGAAACAAAATCCTGGATGTAGCTCATGCTGCAATCATAATTATAAACCTTTAGGTCGGTCAGGAACCCAATGACCCCAAGTCGATCACCTGCCTGACTCCAGATATTTACGATTGGAAATCAAAATTTCCAAAACCGTTTTCCTGGGCGAAACTGATTATGGTCAAACTGGTCACTCCAAGATATTTACATTTTGAGGCACTTCATGATCATTATGAATCGCAATTTTGTTTAGAACTTCAATATTACACGATATCACATACACTGATAACACGTGGGGTCATGCACCTCAGATCTAACTTTGTTAAACGATGTCTTTAAGGCGATATCAAATTTCCCTCCAGCATGCTTTTCAAAGTTCTTTGTAGTCGTGTTTTTTTGTTGATAATACTTAAAGCCCCATTGTACTACTTAAAGCTACTTGTCCCCTCTATAAAGCTTACAATGCCTAATCGGTGACCGTTGGTCCCCATGATTTCTTATGTTAAATGTGAGCTTATTTTCCGATGGTTGGAGGTCTAATCCCTCTTGGACAAACTTGTACAGAGGGGCTTTAATAATAATGATAATAATAATAATATTCGGTTCTTGTATAGCGCAAATCACATTGTATAACATCTCTATGCGCTTCCAAAGAGCTTTGGAAATTATAACCATAGCTTTATATTAGCTCCGGCAGCCGTTATTAGTGCACAGTGCAATTCAAGGAATAATCCTACCAGGTACCCATTTAACTCACCTGGGTCGAGTTATTTATTAATTAAAGCTTATCTGCCGTAGTTTCCAGGAGGGATTAGAGCGCCTTGCAAGGTCACTGGACAGGTGGTTATCTCATCAACTCAGCTCTCAGTTAACATAAGAAAAAGAGGATCATGGGGGACCAATGGTCACCGATTAGGCATTGTTTGTTATATAGAGGGCGCAAGTAGCTACAAGTAGTGCAGTGGGCCTTTAAGAGTATGCAACGATTATGGATGAGCTTCCGAGTCAAGGTGGGTGTAAATTGTGCTTATGTTTGCTTCACGTCCTAAATCATCTTTAAAATATAATGATACCACTACCTCATACAATTGGCCATTTTTTTTACAACAATTTGATTGGAGCAAGTTATGTTAAAGTATGACCACAAGCCAGTGTTGTTTAAGCATTTATCGCAAGTTTTATCAGTTTATCCTGAATGTAGCTGCATATCGAGAATTATGTTAACCCATAATGTTCTGATCATATATTTTACATTGTTTTAAATCAGATAATACAGAGCGGGCCTTATATATTGTTTTGACTACTCGTATTAAAAGAAAGGAAAACTTTTGCCCCGTGATGACAGAATGATTGATACGGTGTTTTTGTTGATTTGTGTATGTTTTTTCTGATGTTTGCTTTGTTTTGCTCTGCATTCCCTTTTTTTCTTCTGTTTTCATAGTGGCTTCAATTGAGATAATAGGGCCACGTTTAATAACGAATACAACAATCGCAAAGACCCTCGAATAACTCGTTTTAGGCCAGGCCATGTCATAACACAACCGAACATGATTTCTAGAGGCAATGTTTTCAAGTTTCAAGTTTTCAAGTTTTATATTGAAATATCTCTTGAGGTGGTTTCTTAAAAGACTTTGCGACCGTGTTGGTCATGTTTTTCTCTTTTTGTTTAGGTGAACAAACTTTTATCTTTGAATTTATGGTACAGTATGATTTATTGACATTTCTGACTTAGGAATTCCATAAATAATTAGTTTCCAATTATTTTGTCATGCTTTATACAGGTAAATAAATTCATATATTGGGAATAATGATGCAGAATAAATTATTGACATTGCCCAGTATCTTTCTGACTTAAGAATGCCTAAGTGATTCTGTTTTTAATTGTTTTGTTATGATTTGTAAATTCTATAATAACAACATCTCCATTAAAATAAAGTTTAAAAAACTTATTTTCTCCATCTAGATGAAGAGCAGAATATTTATTATGATAGTATTTGTTTCGAAAGTGGATATTGTTTGTGTTCCATACGAATCGTTATTCATATATTTCTTCTAACATTTTTTAATAAGATACATTTGTAATGTGTCATCAATGATGATTGCTTTTTATTAGGTTCCGGAATTCTTCTTGTTCTTGCTCTCACATTTTCTGTCTAATTCGTAGGTTTCATAATCAAATCAACTCATGCAGAACCAACGAATATTAAAAGCAGTAGTTTAAATGACTTTTTGTTCATGGATTTGTACTGATTTTTAACATCTGTCTCTCTCTCTCTCTGTTCTTTCTTCCTCACTCTATCTTTACCTCTCTCTTTTCTCTTTCTCTTTCTCTCTCTCTTCCTCCTCTCTCCTGTCAGCATCCGCAATGATCACTGTTTCATTTGCACCTTTGTTTATGTTATTTATATTTAATTTAAGTAAATGCGTTAATATATTGTAATACACAGTCGGAGTCACATGCCCCTCTTTTATTAGCTACAGCAGTTGAAGTGATAGGGTATCTTTGTCTCAGATTCTGAAAACAAAATCCTGGATTTAACTCATGCTGCAACGATCATTAGGATCCCCATGACCTTTACAAGCCGATCGCCAGACTGATCATCAAGATATTTATGATTGGAAATCGAAATTTCGTTTTCCTAACTTTTTAAAAACATTACAGTCTATTGGGGAAAATGAGTATGGTAAAGCCGGTTACTCAAAGATTTTTAATTTTGTTGAGGCACTTCATGATCGTTTTGAAGCGCAATTGTTTTAGGGCTTTAATATTAAACCTTATCACAGACACTGATAACACGTAGGGCCTTGCATCTCAGATTTAACATATTGTTAAAAGGAGGCACGTAGCCAGATTTGATGTTTGGGGGGGGGGGGGGGGGGAGGGGGCACATACATGTAATCGATCGAGGCAACAAAGGGGTCTAAAAAGTTCAACCGATCTTGGAAATTTGTTGGGGCACGTGTCCCCCCCCCCCCCGTGGCTACCTGCCTGGTTAAAAGATGCCTTAAACATGCTTTACATTTTAGAATGACACATGAAATATCAAAGCAACAGCAACAAATAGTTGGCTTTTTTTTTTTGTTACGGTCATTTATTTATTTATTTAAAATGGTTTATTTCATTAAAAAACATTCGCGGCCAGAGAGCCGAATTGCTGTTTTTATTACAAAGTATACATCAGTGACAAAGTAAATATGCATGATAACAGTATGGTAGTAAAATTGCAATTCTTTTTGTACATATGATAGTGCTTCTACGACACCTGCTCCGGCTACAATTACTCCTCGGTAATTCAGTACATTTATCAAACTCCAATCCCTAGCCCGGTTTATAAGAAACCTACACCGCACCCAACCTAACACTAAGCAACCCCCCCCCCCCCCGAAAAAAAAAAACAAAAACAAACAAAACAAAAACATCCCTGATTAAATTAAAGCCTGGAGCAACCGCCGCCAGAGTAAGTATCGGGTCGCCATCGTCGCACATTATGGCAGATTGCTTGGTTCATATAGAGAAATCTGAATATTATTACGACATTTGCAATAAAATTATATATTGAACTTAAAAATAAAAAGGAAATTGTTTGAAATTCGAAAGAATTAAATGTTATGGGTGGTAAAATGCATAGCCAGATGAGTAGTGTATTTTCTTCAATTACAGAATCAGAAAACAACATAAACCAAATCCAGGAATTATAAAATCAAATAGATGATACAATGAATTAAACAAATTATACATTGTAGGTAGAATGCAGAAAATGTTGTATTTTAACCAATTTAGTAAAAGTAGAATATTGCATAAAAATGATTTTCTCATGAAACATGAATCGCATACAAACATGGGTGAAAAGTTGTAATAATCGATATAATGTGCATTATCTTTGGTCAAAAGTCGAACAATTTTTGAACAATTAAATCTGATTTAGTTAACAAAGTTAAATTCAACAATAACACTATCCAAAAAAGCATTCACACGTCACCCTTTTATTTAGGAAGAAATATCAGAGAAATAGAGAGGGAGAAAGAAGGAAAGTGAGAAAAGTGACAGAGAGGGGAAAGCGAGAGAGAGGGGGAAAGAGAACAAGATAGAGGTAGAGAGAGAGAGAGGGAGAGAGAAAAGAGAGAGAGAGAGAGAGAGAGGAGAGGAGAGGATAGATGGAGAGAGAGAGGAGAGGATAGATGGAGAGAGAAAAAAACCATTGCAATATTGAGAAAACTGTCAACAAAGGGTTCATAATGTTTTCATAGATGCCATTAGAATAAAAATTTCTGCCAAGTTGGCACTAGAACTCAAAACTCTAAAAACTTGCCCCTCGGCATTTCGGCCATTGAATGACGAAAAATTCTTGAACTAAAAATGAAAGAATAAGTCCATGATATTCCATATTTATGTCTCAAATGTTTTTTTTTATAACTATAACTTATTAACTATTCATATATCTGCGAAGTGATAATTCTACATTGTTTATAAAAATAATGGATAAATGTTCATTTTGACTGTACACGGTACATTGTACCAATTGGTCGAAATGACATAAATTTGGTATCACTCAGTATATCAGAAATTCAAAGACAATATTGCACCAATCAGCACATCTGAAATTCAAAGTTAATTTACTGCACCAATCAGTACATCTTCAATTCAAAGATGATATTGCATTCGATCTACCCCCTACGACACCCATCCACCATTTTTTTAAATTTCAACCAATTGATCGAAATTAGATAAATTTGGTATGAAAAGATATGGGACTGGTGTGGATTCTGCCCCCGACCCTTCAAAGGTTAATCCCCCAAATTGAATAATTGTATTTCAATAGTCCGCGTTAATAAGTTGTTGCTAGGTAGGACAAACAAAATAGTTTGCCCTACCTAACAGCATGTGGCATTTACAATTTGCTTACTGGCTATT